TAAATTTATTAAGACCGTATTGTACACCCTACTCACAAAACAGTTTTACTCTCCAGTATGATTGATTGGATGCGATCACAAAATATGGAATTATTTCAAAACGTTTTCTGTTAAAAGCAAAATGACAGGGGTTGGCAATTTATATACTTTTTTCTCGAAACATTACAAAAATTTTAACAGACCAAAATTTAGTGCAGAATAACTCATCGGACGGTGCCGGTAGCAATGGGGCCGAAGTATCTTAAGACGGAAGAAAGTACGGACAGGATGAATCCGTCTACAAGAACCACCGTCGACTAAGTGTTGTGCCCGGCTGAGGGATCTGCGGCCTACCGCTGCGCTCTTCTGTGTCTTAATCAATAAACCTCAGGCGCAGCGCGTCTGGTTGCATGATAATCCCGATGGCGCAATGTACCTAGTTCCTTCTTGGCAATCGGCAATGTGCCTGATACCTTATCTCGCGGTCGCTCGCTCGCTCGCTATACTTCAGTGAGTGTCTGTGTCAGTATGTATGCCAAGATTGTGTGGAATATATACGTGATTTCTTCTAAAGTCATTGGAGTCATGGCCGGACAAGACTGGGCGAAGGTTTTATGATATTTTATTTACTCATTGGACTCACTGTTCCCGAACATGAGAGATTTCCACGGTAACCGCTGACTTGGGAGCCAATTTTAATTTCGCATAGAGTAAAATATGAAGGATATGGAGGTTGCTCAAAAATGGGAATGTACGGTGTCCACGGGCGGGAATATTTCCTCGATTATGTTAGGGTGGCATGCGCAAGGTTAATGACCCGTCCTCTCATGGTCCTCTCTTTTCGCTCTCCCATGAGCGCCCTGATTCGCTTAGTCTCCAGTTCTCAATCTTCGTAAACTCTGGATCGTATGTGCTGAATATTGCCCTCTCATATGCACTGAGCGCTGGTTTAGCGGCCTAGAAAGGCTAAACTTAATTTCTACGTTGCTTCTTTGTCTAGCCTACTTGATACGGGCTCACCTTATCTACGTAATATGAGCATGATATGCTGTGTCGGCCGATCTGGAGCATCCCTGATCCAATATTTCTAGTTTATCAAATATAATCATCAGATAAGTCGATAAAATACATTATATCAAACTTTCCTCTTTCATTTTATTCCTTTTTAAAATTGCTTTGGCCCTTCCTGTGTACCCTTGTCATGACTCATCGCTGGTTTCATTATTATTCTACAATACTATTCTATACCCTCATAACAAACAACTCCATGGCAAGTTATTGTGACAATTTTATTTTTATAGATTTAATCCAAAGGAATATCGCCTGCTTCATTGAACTGGATCACATATACCTTACCATCTTGCGGTTGTCTCCAAATAGTTTCTTCCTAATGACTCCAAGATGGGATCTCGATCCTACTATGTACATGACAGGCTACTTGTAAAGGTTGCCGATGGAATGTATCTAAAGCGCATCTGCTCTAAACTAAATAGATGACCGGTAGACCCTACATACATTTTTTCTCCAAAGTAAAAAATTGAAATATAATGCTTCTTCAATCGTTCAAATATCATGCACCTGACTTTTCATGTGATATAGTTATCTAGGAAAACTAAACATTAATCCCAGTCGTTTGACATAGAGAAGGGAGGTCATTCGTTGATTAATTTAATATTTTTGTGCCCATTAAAAAAGTTATAGTGGATGGCATTACATAACGGAAAAAACCTAGCCATAAAATCGTATATAACAAATCATACTAGCAAGTAAATGAGCAATTATTCATCCTGAAGAATGTTTGCTGCTAACTTAGTCTCGAAGAAAATCATATAAATGACTTCTGTTTATCTTGGTCGAAATTAAAATCTGGCTGAAGCCTAGAATGCACTTAATTATCTGTACTTTTATTAAGACAGTACATCCGACTCACAAAACAGTTTTGGTCTCCACTATGATTGCTTTCAACCAATCACAAATTATGGAATTATATCAAAACGTTTCCTGCTCAGTGCATGATGACATAGGTTGGGAGTTTATATCTGTTTTCACGATACGTCCTTTAAATATTAACGGGTCGAATTTATTGCGGAACAACTCATCGGAGGTGACGGCAGCAATCAGGCCGAAGTATCCTAAGATAGAAGAAAGTTCGAACAGGATGAATCCGCCTTCAAGAACCCCCAACCCCTCTTCAATCCTCGGCAAACTCTTCTTCCCATTTTCCTAATCCATCTTCGAGGCCTTCTCCTTGCGATTACATCCAAATGAAGGGCTTCTCCTCATCCGGCGGTGCCGCTGCACTAATGCTGCTGCTGCTACTGCTGGCTGCCCGGGCGCCACTTGCGGAGTCTGTGAAGTGCCATCCCTTGTACCTGCTCCCGTGCTTCGGTGCCATCTTCTATTCGCGGCCGCCGTCGAGCCAGTGCTGCGCCCGGCTGAGGGAGCAGCAGCTGTGCTTCTGCCAGTACAAGAGGAATCCCATCCTGGTGAGCTACGCCAACTCCCGGAACGGTCACCGTGTGGCCACCACGTGCGGCGTCCCCCACGCCCGTTGCTGATCTGCGGCCTGCCGCCGCCCTTGTTTGTGTGTCTTCATCAGTGAAACTCTGGAGCACCGTCGGCTTGCATGCTTATCCCGATAGTGCAATGTAGCTTTTTACTACTGGGCAATCTGGATATGCCTCTCTCTCTCTCTCGCGCGCGCGCGCTTGCCATACGCCAGTGACTGTCTGTCTGTGTAAAGATTGTGCGGAATCTATTCGTGATTTCCTTCGATGTCATTGGAGTCATGGTCGGACTGGAATGGGCTGCCGTTTTATGATACCTTACTCTGTTTTATTAAATACTCGGTGAGCTTTCTGTTCCCGAAAATGAGAGTCTTCCACGGTAACCACTCAGTTGGGAGATAATTTTAATTTTGCATCGAGTAACATTTTATGGAAATACAGGTTGCAGATAAATGCGAATCGACCCTGTCCTCGGACGAGAAGATTTCCTCGAGAATGTTGGGGTGGCATGAGCAGGGTTGATAACCGAGCAATGTTCAGCCGTCCTCACATGGTCTCATCTTGTTTATCTTCCATGAGCGCCCTGCTCCTCTGAATCTCCACTTCTCTGTCCTTTAAAACTTTGGATAGTATGGGCCCATTATTGCCCTCTTCCCTACACTGGGAAGTGTTGCAGCCTAGAACGGATGGTGGATTAGGGAGAAGATCTAGATAATCTCATTCATCAGAGAATCATAATGATATTTCTTCTCGATAATAGTGATATAATTCATCAATTTTGAGGTTCTTCGTATCAGAGATTAGCAAGGATCAACCAATTCAATCGATCTTGCATATTTGTTAAAATTCTTTATGGTGAGCAGGATTTTAGTCCACAACACGATTCAGTGGCTGATTAACGATTCATTCATTTGATGGTAGAACTTGAGGAGGAAACCTATTAGTAGATTAGCATTGTTAATATCCCTTGTTTTATAGATCGAGTAGCTGAAGCAGGAAAGACGAGTTGGGGGCATCAGTCATCTCTTTTGTTGTTGAGAATGCAGAAACTTCAAAGCCGTATAGGCATTTTCTAGACCCACCACTTACTCTACACCCCATATAACCAATTAAACTTCATGGCAAGTTGTGGCAATTTTATTTTCAAATGAGCAATCCAAAGGAATATCGCCATGGTTCATTGAACTAGGTCACATCTACAATATCATCTTCTGGTTGTCTACAAATAGTATCTTCTCCATCACTCCAAGATGGGACCTTGATGTTATGGACGTAACAGTTACTCAGAAAGGTTGCCGATAGAATATGTTTGAAATCCTTCTGCTATATAGTAAATGGATGATGGGTAGGTCCCGACATATATCTTATGTATCCAAAGTAAAAAAAATTAAGCATAAGACTTCTTTTATTATTCAGATACCTTACGCATTATTTTTTTAACTCATACAGTTATCTAGGAAAACTAAAAATTAATCTCCGTCGTTTCACACGTACAGAGAAGAAATGGAGGCCATCTGTTGACTATTGTCATGGTTCATTGAACTAGATCACATCTACATTATCATATTCAGTTTGTCTAGAAATAGTTCCTTCTTCATGACTCCATGATGGGATCTTGATGTTACGATGTAAGTGACTAGCTACTTCGAAAGGTTTCCGATAGAATGTATTTGAGGTTCTTCTGCTCCTAAAACAAAAGGGATCACTGGTTGGTCCCTAGAGATATTTTTCGTACGCAAAAAGTGAAATTTAAATATAAGACCTCTTTATCATTCGAATACCTTGCACATGTCTTTTTACCTTATATAGTTACCGAGGAAAACTAAAAACGAATCTCAGTCATTTGACCTGGCCAGAGAAGAAACGGAGGTCATTCTTTGACTAATTTAATATTTTTTGTGCACATTAGAAAAGTTATAGTGGATGGCATGACAACGGAAAATAGGTAGTCATGGAATCGCATATGATTATATTAGGAAGTAAATCACACTGGTTTTTCAAGAGCGTGAAATAAGCCACTTATCGTACTGAACAAGGTCTGTGGTTCACTTAGTCTTGAAGAAAATCGAACCAATGACTTCTGTGCATCTGGGCCGAATTTAAAATCTGGCTCTAACCTAGTTAAAGTATGGACTTCACTTAAATCTAGTTTTCTTAAGACCATATTGTAAACCCAAGTCACGAAACAGTTTTCCTGTGCAGTATGACTGCTTTCATCCAATCACAAATTATGAATTTAAATCAATACGTTTCCTGTTGATGAATAATGACGTGGGTTTGCAATTTATACATTTTTTCCCAAAGCATTAACTTTTAACAGGCCGAATTTATTGCTGAACCACTCATCGGAGGATGACGGTAGCAATCAGGCTGAAATATCTTCGGACGGAAGAAAGTACGGACAGGATGAATCCGCCTGCAAGAACCACCCCCAACCCCTCATGAATCGTCAGCCGACTCCTCTCTCAATCTTCCCGTTCCACCTTCCAGGCCTGTCCTTGCGAACACCTCGAAATGAAGAGCTTTTGCTCCTTCGGCAATGCCTTTTCCCTAATTCTGATACTGCTCCTGATGGCTGCCCGGACCCCACCGGCAGAGTCGGTGAGGTGCAACCCCTCAGAGATGCTCCCGTGCTCGGGTGCCCTCTTCTTTTCGCGGCCACCATCGACAGACTGTTGCGCCCGGCTGAGGGAGCAGCAGCCGTGCTTCTGCCAGTACCTGAAGAACCCCAGCCTGAGCAGCTACTTCAGCTCCCAGAACGCTCGCCGGGTCGTCACCACGTGTCGCGTCCCCCCAAGCCGCTGCTGATCTGCGCCTACCGTTGCGCTCTTCTGTGTCTTAATCAATAAACCTTAGAAGCACCGTGTCTGGTTGCATGGTTATCCCGATGGCGCCATCTACCTAATTCGTTCAGAGCATTCCGGCTCAATGTGCCTTATACCTTATCTGTCGCTCTCTCGCTCTCTCGCTATACGTCAGTGAGTGTCTGTGTCTGTATGTATGTGAACATTGTGTCGAATATATACGTGATTTCTGTTAAGCTCATTGGCCTCATGGTCGGACTAGGCTGGGCGGCCGTTTATTTGGGTTGCCTTATAACTTCCCCCTCTCGCCCCTTGGACTGGGGGTTCCTCCCCTCCCTTCATCGCCTCTTGGACTAGGGGCTTCCTCTTCTCTTCTCGCCCTCTTGGATTGGGGGGACCTCCTCTTCCTCTTCACGTCGTCCTCGCCGTCCACCCCATCCCGTCGTCCCGCCTCTTCGCCGTCCGCCCCATTGCCGTCGTCCCGCCTCCTCGCCGTCCGCCCCATTGCCGTCGTCCCACTTCCTCGCCGTCCGCCCCATCGCCGTCGTCCCGCCTCCTCGCCGTCCGCCCCATAGCCGTCGTCCCGCCTCCTTGCCGTCCGCCCCATTACCGTCGTTCCGCCTCCTCACCGTCTGCTCAGTCGCCTCCTCGCCGTCCGCCGTCGCCGCCGTTCTGGCTCCTGGCCGTCCATCCCGTCGCCGCCACTTCATCTCTCTCTCCCGCCGAAACCCTCGTTCTTCTCTCCCCGCCATCGCCACGTCTCCCCGTCCTTTTCTCTCTCTTCTCTCTCTCCCGCCGAAACCATCGTCCCTCTTTCTCCCGCCGTCGCCACGTACCCCATCATTTTCTTTTCTCTCTCTCTCCCGCCGAAAACCCTCTTTCTTCTCTCGCCCGCCATCGCCACGTACCCCTCATTTTCTCTCTCCCTCTTCCTCTCCCGCCATGGCCACGTACCCCCTCATCTTCTCTCTCTCCCTCTCACCCGCCGTCGCCACGTCCCCCTCATTCCGTTATCTCTCTCATTCCGTCCCTTTTCTCTCCCCACCCTTTCATTTATTCTCATTATTATTTTATTCTATTATTCTTTTTATTTATCATTTAAACCTTTTTTCCTCCCTTATTTTTTAAAAAAATTATTCAAATATTTTGTAGACCTCAACTACCCAACTCAGACCTTTAGTTTTCTTGAATCGTCACTCATTAGAAATTCCTCAACAAGACTCATGGATCTCAAGCCACTAGAATCAAGAAAATCACTCCAAAACCTCTTTTGGTAAGGCACATTGATTTCAACTCCCTTAGTGAAGTGATCATTATTTTTAAATCCTTGCTCCTTATAAGAATTGAGTGAACCATAGGTTAACCCTCTTTGTACTTTTTATTGGTCATTCTAACATCTTGATTGAAACTTTATCTAAATCCTTGAGAGTTTAGTTTTTCTCAAGTAATTATGATCCTAATTCTTCTAAATCAGCGGGATTAGCCTACTCATAATCTTCTTTAACTTAGTCAAGAGTAATCTTAAATCTCAACTTTCTATTTAGTATTGATATTTCTCTGTGGTTTTGCATCATTAGGCCTAATGTAATCAGCCCACTATCAAACCCAATATTCATTTGAAAATTTTAATAAATCTAAGAAAATTATAATTTTCTTCTCCTGAGTTTTCACTATATAAATATATATTTCCTCATCTATTAGAGTAAAATTACTATGGAATAAAAGACTTCAAGGTTCAATAAAATATATATACTATGAAATGTGTAAAATTAAATAGCTTATGCATGGATTTTTGTTATTGGTCTAAAATCACATGGAAATAGATCCACCTTAAATGCACGTTCTTATTAAAATCTTTAGGCCACAGATAGATAAAATATCCATGACTTATTATGTATCAATGAGGCTTGATCAACAATGAACATCATCTTCTCTAATCTAGTTCTTCATTAGGTCTTAAGGACATTGGGTTGTAAGGAGAGTGTTATGGGTGAAATCATGAGGTGTTAGTAGTTATGGTTCATAAAAGGTTGGGTCTCCGAGGAGATAAACTTGAGGTATTTGGGTAGTTGATCTAATGAAAATTAGCCTTGAATTTCTAAAGAGATTAGTAAACACTGAAAGGGAGTTTCCTCTAGAACTAGATGTAGCCAAGTGAGGGATGAACCAAAAAAGAAAATTTAGCAACACATATACACAAGTATACGTGTGTTGACAAACTTAGCAACACCTATACACAAGTATTCTTAGTAAGAGAGCATTGAAAGCACACATGCGTTGACAAACTTAGCAACACCTATACACAAGTATAAGCTAAATTAAAAAAAAATCAAATAGTCTCAACACAATATACACTATAACGAACAGTCATCTTGATAGAAAAATAAGAAAATTTACAACATAGTACAGTCCATTGTGAAGCACTAATAAGAAAAAACAAAAAATAGAGATTCTTCTCTAAGAGCTCCGGCATTGATTTCATAATAAATTAGAATTATGGTATGCTCCTTCATGGGGGGGTTCAATAAGATATGAAGTTCTATTTTGTGACAAATGAATAATAAATATTGAGAACTCAAACCCTTAGTACATCTACTAATTAATTTTTTGAACTCACATATGATAAGTTAATATGCCCCAAATCAAGCTACTCATTTACAGAATGCTGATCAATTTCCACCTTTCTGTTAAGTCCTCATGAATTGAATTATTTGCTAGAGAAATTTCTGGCTTGTTATCACAATGTAATTTGGGAGAAGATAAACTTAGAAAGCCCAATTCTATTAGCAAGATTTGTAACCATAAAATATCACAAATATCATGTGCCATTGCTCTGAATTCTACTTCAACTGTAGAATGGGCAGCAACACTTTATTTTTCACTTCTTCATGTGACTATATTTCCACCTATAAATGTATAATAGCCTTAAGTTTGTGCCTATTATCTATGAAACCAACCCAATTTGTCTCTATATAACACTACTTCAAGTTTATGTGAGCAAAATAAAGAAGATCATGATCTAGAGTTTCTTTGAAATATCAACATACACAAATTACTACATTCATATAAGAATAATGGGAGTCATGCATAAATTGACTGACTGGATTCACACCATAATAAATAGATAGATGAGTATGTGAAAGATATATTAATCATCTAACAATTCATTGATATTGTAGTTTCTTTACCTACTATCCATTATTACTTGATAGGTGATGATTTTTCTCTATCAAAGTATCAGCTAGTCTTCAACCCAACATACTAGCCTCCATAAAGAAATCTAAGATATATGTTCTTTGGGAGAGAAAAATTCATTTAGAAGATCATAGAACTATAAATGAATCATCTCCTCATAGACAGTTTAGGAGTGTCTTATTACCAAAAATCCAAAGTGGGATATGATTAATCATTTAAACTGATTTCCTAATTGCATCATTCAGCAAAAATTTAGGAACACAAAAACCAATTATTCCATAAATACAATCTATATGATAAATACCTATTAAAATAATCAATAAATCATCTATGACCATAAATACCAGTTATTCCACATGGTCCCCATACATTAGATTGAATAACTTCAAGAGGTTACAAACAACATGTATCAATAGATGTATATGGGTTTCTAATATGTTTGACTGATTCACAAGCATCACACACTAGTTTTGTCCTATTACGTGTCTCATAAGCAAAGGGAAACAAGTATTTTAAAAGTGAGAAAAGTAAATGAGCAAGTCTTCTATAGTCTAGAATTAACTCCACCTCACTAAGAGAAGAAGCCACTAAGCTTGTCTCAATATAAATTTTGATCCATCAATCCTTCAAATATTAAAGTCCATCATATATTATATTAGTACCAAGTCATTTCCTTATCTAAAGCTCTTGAAATATGCAATGTGTTTTATAGAAGTTTGATAAATACTAAATCATTGATGATAGAGCTGATTGAAAGTACATTTGTTGCGTGTAAAATGTGAAGAACTGATGATAGAGATACTACTAGAGTACAATTTACAATCCCTCTACCAATAATAGGGGTGAAAGATCTATCAACAAGCTAAAAAAGAGAAAACTCATTGCATATAAGGACTATAGTCTAACCTCTACTATTTGTTTGAGCAAGGTTATCCTGAAGAATAGTCATGAATGATTATATCAAAGAGACCTCTATAGAAGTGCCACTGTTTGAAACCTACAAGGTGGATTTAAATTTTTACAGTTGTATTTTTTCTATTGTCAATTCTCAAATAGAAATTGAAAAATGAGCTTAAATATTTTCATTATGTTGATTTCTACCGATTGGTGGTGTCCCTCCACCACTAAAGCATCCATGATTGTGACCTCTCAAAGGTCACCCATGTAAGTCATAACAATAGGCCCTTATACAACCAAGTTTATGATAATAGTTACAAATCTTAACTCCTCATCTTTGAGAAGGTCTACCTCCTTGAGATATATTAGAACCACAAAAATAAGTTGAAGGATGTACTACCAATGCTGATCTGACCATAGAACTTTGATTAGATATTGTAACTAACTGTAGGCATGTTTCCTCACTAAGTATCATAGAGATGGCCTCAATAAGAGTAAGCCACACTTATATGTTCAATACAAAGAATAGTGATGCTCAAATTCTATATTTAATCTATCTAAGAAATCAACAAGATGCTAACATTTTACCCAATTTTTAAAAATTACAACATCATTAAGATGAGTAAGGCTCGAAGGATTATAAAAGTTTAAATCATTTGTTAACCTTTTTAACACTTCCACATATTATGTCACTGATTGAGAATCACCTGTCCAATTTCAAAATTTCTTTTGTATCTTGTGTGCATGCATATTGTTATCTTTATGAAAGTAAGGTTTTGCTAGAACTTGCCACATCTCTTAGGCATCAATCAATACCTCAATGGCTTGAGCAACATTAGGTTCCATTGTAGACAGCAACTATACCACAACTCTAGAGTTATTTAAACTTCACCTTTTGAAACTAACATGATCACTTATAGATTGTGTGAATCTACAATCAGACATACATGATGTCTCCAAGTTAAATGTATATAGTCAATTCAACTTGATTAAATTATGTTTCAACATCATCTTTGTACTCTCAACACTTGTAGATCAAAATTTCATCAACCTGACTACTAATATTTCTAAAACTTCTATTAGTAGTGGATTTGTATCAATTATTACAATAATAAGAGAAAATAATATGTACTCTCTTGAAGGTAGAGGAAGAACAATCCCATCAATCCACTTTAGCCATCAAGCTAAATACCTACTCATGTCAAAGGTGGTTCATAGATATTTGACTATGTTCAAACACATTTGTTGGAAGAGTTCTTGACCAACTATTATTAAGAGCATGAGTCATTGAGCTCCTAATATTACCATCAGTCCTAATATCATATTGCACAATAAGAAACAAAGACTAGGGGAAGAGGAAGTGTTATTAGAAGGAATGAGTGGGATGTGCTTGTGCTATGGAGAGGAAATAGAGAAGAGTGATGAGAGGCCTATGAGCATACAGAGGAAGCTTACCTATGAAAGAGGAAAAAAATGAAAATCCCTCCCCCTTTCATTGGTAGGCTTCATATCCTTTTTTTCCCTCATTAGTTCCCCCTTATAATGGAGGTCTTACAATGTCTTGAAAGTATGCTTGACAATACGACTAAAACCCCCCTAATAATACATCAAAAGGTTCTATTTTCTTGGGTTTTTTACATGCACTTCTTCCAATTCCCCATATTGATATTTTGTTTTTTATTCTTGGATTTTTTTTTCCTCCTAGTAGACTACCAAATGATGTTGTAGTTGAATAATAGATTCATCAATTTTGTTTATATTCTTATGATCATTTTAGTCATAAGGCAACTTTCTTCTCCTCTCTCTTATTTTAGTAGACAGCAAGAAGAATAATGAATTCTATTTTTAAAATTATTGAGTTAAAGCATTGCTCCAAAATTGATGTGGTGCCTAGTGATTTTCTTATCTAATCATAATTGAATGTTATCAACTTTTTAATCTGGGTATGAGCTCAAGAGCTTAAGGAATTAATCTTATCTAGATGAAATATTTTATCACATTTCTAGTTCTTTTTCACTATTGTGAAATTTCCATGTTCTTGGTGTTAAATATGTTTGAATTTTATTGTCTAAAGGAAAAAAAAAATGTTGGTTCTCCAATTCTACTTTACCCCTTACAATCATCAAATTGTTCACTAAGTTTACGTTAAAAAATGTATGTTTTACATATAATGTAGTGTCTACAATGGTGTATTTAAATTTGTAATATTTTCATGAATGAATCAATAACTAAACTGTGAAAAATTCACATATGCTATGATTTTCATTGGTTGACTATAGTACATAAAATAAGAAGTGTGGAATTTAAGGGGTTTAATGGAGTCAACCAGTTGACTTCTACAATGTGATCTCAAAATCTGCTCCTCCTACTAAAAGAAATGAACTTTTGTTTACGAAGTGACCATAGATTATGTATATCTTAAAATTTAATATATATAATGAAAGAATAAAAAATTAAACCGTGAAGAAATGGTATATATTCTGCATTGAATTAATTGACTATGTTATGTTCAAATTAGAAGTGTGGAATTTCAGAGGTTCAATGAAGTCCACCGAGTAAATTTTACAATGTGGTCTCAAAATCCCCTCATCCCACTAAAAATTACTTGACGATAGAAAGCCTAGAGATATTATTGTACTTCGAAAAAGATAAAAAATATTTTTTAGACTAGGAACCATTATTGGAAGGTCAGAATGTGAACAGAAATAAATAAATGAAATGTGAACAAATCAATATAAAAAAATCAAAAATACTAATTTCTAGTCCTATTTACCTTCTGTATTATGAAACGTTATTTGAATAGAGACTGAATAAACCCTACGCTCTGTCGTATGCCCGCCAGCTCAGTAGCGATGGAGCGGGCAAAAAGGGAACAACGGCGGCGGCGCTCCTCCCTTGCTGCCGGTGCAACGGCTACTTCTGCCAGTGCCCCACCACCAACTGCCATTTTTAAATCTGCGCCGCTCCGCCGCCCCGCCGTTGCCCTTTCCAGCTCACCCCCTCCGCTCCCCCGTTGCCGGCGTTAAAACCCCTCCCCGGCAAGAAGAAGAAGAAGAAGAAGAAGAAGAAGAAGAAACCATGCAGAGGAAGAGGCCAATGCTCCTCCGGCGGGCCTGGGACATGGTCGCCGTCTCCGCCGTCATCCCCCTGGAAGAGGTGGTGAGGCGGCGCATAGCCGTCTGCGGCGGCGGCGGGCGGTCGGTGCTCTTCAAGCGCCACCGGCGGCTCAGCCTCTCCCGCCGCTACGACCTTCGCTTCTCCGGCGAGCGCCAATTCTCCCCCGACAGCACCCCGCTCTTCCCTCAAAGCGCCCGCCGGGGTCGTCTCCTACGCCTGCTCCTTTGCGGCGGCACCGCCGCCGCTGACGACGACGACGACGGCGGCGGCGATGCATCGGTGGACCAGCGGGCAGAGAGCTTCATCCAGTGGTTCTATGAGGAGATGAGGACCCAGACGCAGCAGGAAAACTGCGCCCTGCTCCTCTAGGAGGAAGGCGAAGCTCCATTCTTCTTCTCCACTGTACCTCCCCCCACCCTCTCTTTTCCCTGCAGCGGACAGTTTTTTTAGCAGTCGCCGCTGCAGAACCTGTCCTCCACCTTCATTCGCTGTTCTCAGTTCTTCGTCCTCCTGAATCAAGAACTCTGTAAGTCAACGCCATTAGACAAAAAGAAGAACAGTTCAATATTCTAATCCGCAGCCGCGGAGCTTCTGCCGGGGGATCATCTTTTATTTCTGCAGGGCCGGGCGGCTGTGTCATACACATTCGAGAGCCCCGGTAATGGCGGAGGATCTGGCCCACCTGCTCTGCGGTGATTAATCCGGCTGTTTCCATGCTTAGGATCTGCAGAGAACTGGTCTTCCTTGGCAAGAGTTATTGCCGCCGCCTTCGAAGATATTCCTTCAGAGGATGAGAAGGTCGGAGACGATCTCGTTGACAAGGATCCGTAGGAGGTCATCCTCTAAGTCAACGCCCCATTCGAAGGCCTCGAACTGGAAGTCGGCCCATCTCCCGTTGACGTCGCTGGCTTCCTCCTCGATCATCTCCTCCAAGGTCCTCCCCCGCCGGGGGCCTCCGCAGGCCCTGATCTTGTCGCAGAGCTCCCGCCTGAGCTCGCGCCCGCAGAGAGAGGGCAGCTTCAGCCATGCCCTAAATCCCGCTCCGCAAAACTGGGCGTACTTCACGTCCAGGTGCTCGATCATGCAGTCGAAGAGGAGCCTTCTGAGCCGTGGTTCTTCCGCAGTGGTTTCTAGGGTTTCCAGGAGGAGGGGGACGATGGGTGAAGCGCCCCGGAAGATGAGCTCCGCGTTCGAGATGACCTCCCAGATGTAGCCGTTCCAGCTTCCAGCTCCAGGAACCTTAATTTCGCTGGGCCTTCTGAAGGTGGTAGTTGACTTTCCCGAATCAGAGAGATCGGTGTCGAGGTCCCACGAGGGCGATTCGTCGATCGAACTAGCTGTGATCGCAACCTGGGCCCGACGGTTTGGGATCAAATGATATTTCGGATGAGCATCTGCAAATAAAAATTTAACAAATAAAAAACTCGTTGTCGGACCCACATATTTCTGAAAATAAAATTCTACACCACTCGAACGATCCGAAAGATGCAGGCACTAAAATAATTGGGGGATTCTGTAGATCCTGCAGAGGTATTGAACAAGATGCGCATCAATCTGGCAGAAATAAACTCTCGGATAATTATATTGGGAATCGAACCTAGTGCGGATCAGGGGTTAATACTCTTAACACAGTCTCCACACTTTTGGGCAAAAGTCAACCCCATCATGGTTATAGACAAAGAGATCTATTTTGAGGTCAATATTCGTTTCATGCAATATATTGAACAAAAGGTCAGCTGGTCTGAGTTTTTATTACCCGAGCTGCTGTTGAAACTCTCGGATAAGCAGCTGTCATTAAGGAACGAAGCTTCAAGGATGGACATGGGGCTGCGCTGCTCATAGCCACCACTACCATGCCGAGGCCTGGCGGAGACTGCCGACAACATCACCTCGTCCTGAAGATCACAGAATGAGCACAGCCGCGTTGACATTAATCCCCTATGGCTGGGAGATCGAGCGAGAAGTCATTCATTGGAACAAGAAACTGTGAAATCAAGCGATTCTCTCCTCGAGCTGATGATCGATAATCTGATCATGTTGCCAATATTTTAGGGCTTATATGGTTCAACTGACCTGAAATCTTGGGATGGCGACGAGTTTCGGCCTCTTGGGAAAGCCCTTGTTGCTAGCACAACATGGCCCTCGCAGATCGAGCGAGAGGTTGCCTTCTGTCTTCGGAGGCGGCGGCCGTGCGGCGACTGATAGGGCAGAGATCAGTTCCTCGAGGACGGCAGCGGCTGACCTTGCCGACTGAACGTCGTCTGTTGATGCCGACAGATCAGGCCCTGAACAGGTGAACTCCCGGATCTTCTGCCCGAGAAGAACACTCAAGGCGTCGATCCTCTGATCCAACAATCTTTTAGAGACAGAATTTCCGTCCCTCGACTCCGTCCCCGATGATTCAGGGAGGGAATCAGCGTCTCCACCGCGCTCAGCACCGTTCCTCCTCACCAAAAGGACGCCGCCGCCGTTCCTGCCGCTGCCGAGACCCTGTAATTCTCCTCTGGAAGAATTTCCATAGATAGATCGGGGACTTGTTGCGTTGGGCACTTTCCTGTCAGGCAAGTCACTGGTAGCGGCCTTCCTCTTAGAGAAAGAAGAATGGAGGAGATCAAGCTTGGCGCCATTATTGGTGTTTCCAGCTCTGCTTTTGCCGACCCCCCGGATTTCTAGTCTCTGGATGTCCATCGCCTTGGAAGGCCTTGTCATCGGGTGGCTGGGGCTTCGCGGGGCACTCAAACGCATGGGCTCGGTGAAGGAAGACGGCTGCCCCCTTCTTTCCCACTCCCTGGTACCAGGCCTTGGCGGAGGAAACGCCTCTTCTCTGACCTGGGGGATCTCTCTCTGCCTCAGACTGTCTTTCTTGGGAGAAAAAGATGAAGCAAAATGATGAGATCTGGTCTGCCCGCTGGGCTTTGCTTCAACAGGGGCGGGCGGAGCTCGTTTTCTCTCACTTGAGAAGTGCGGCGGGGCTGGTACGGTCTCATGAAACCCACTGTGAGGAGAGAAGCTGCTAAGGTCAGAGAAAGAATAGGATGACGAAGAGGAAGACGGCTCGTACTCTGCCATCGCCGCGGACTCGCCGGCTTCCCTCCTCACTTCTGGGACTTCCACCAAGCTTCCACAGTTATGGCAAGGGCTGACAAATGTGGCACTGACATTGGGGCTCTCCTCCGTCGGCGGCGAAGAGTTCCTCAGAGCGTATCTAGTGCGATTCCTGGCTTGCAAACCAGGCTCCAGGATTCTAGAGGCGGCCTCCATTAGCCTGGCGGAGCTCCTCCTCCCTGCTAGTCTGGGGCTTTTAACAGGGGAAGCCAGCCTCTTGTTCGGCTTCCTTGAACGGGTGATCATGCTCCTGTTGAACGCCAGCGCCTCTGAGCAGCTCCGGGCAGCAGACACCGGACGCCCGTCAAAAAACCCCGTCTTCCGCGGTTTCTGGGGGCCGAGCTCGGGCTTTGCACGGTCGCCGGAGTCGGAGCAGACGGCGGCGCCGGAGCGGTCAACGTTAGAGGCGTCCGAGAAGGAAACATCATCGACGGCCTTCCTCGGCTTGCCATTGCGCGAGGTAGCGGGCATGGACTCGAGGCCCATCAGCCGCGCCACCAGTCCTGGGGAGCTCGTCGGCTTCTCTCTCTCAGAATTGGAAACAGAGGACCGGATGCCATTGTCGGCCTTGACCATCTTCCCATTAGGAAACCCTCCCGTGTTCTCGTCCGCAATCTACCTCCAAAGATAACAGTAAAAGGTCAGAAGAAGAAGATGATGAGGGATGGGCTTGATGGGGACTGTACCATTTGTGGCTTTGTTACAGGAGTCCTCTCTTCGCCGGAGGCCTTGGAGATACTCTTGGACGCGCGGTCTGAACAAATTGAGTATGAGTGATGAGCGAAATCACTCTCCTAAATTATGATTGGGAGGTCCGGGAGTGTACCTCGGGGAAGGAGCTTCCTGGAGAAGAACCTCTTCTTGGCAAGACGCCGGTTCCAGTCGAAGAACTGGAATAAGACACCGACACACCCGCCTGGCCTGTGTGCCGGCCTCTTGTCCGGCACAATCGCCAGACTATCGTTCGATCCTGACGCCGCCGTGGACGGCGGCGCGACTACCGCCATATTTACCGACGCCGTCTCCATACAGCTCGGAGTAGTCTAGCCCCAGAGAGCGCAATGCAGATTCACCACTGCCTACAACGACCCCGCCTGAACAACTGATCTGAGGAAATGAGGCCGATGTTCGGGAAATAGCTCAGAGCTGAGAAGGTCACATCCGCTTCATCCCTAGGGCTCTGATTTCGTGCCGCGAACATCAATTCTCCTTCACAGGGAGTACTTCGCTACACATTCGCCAGCACGTTCAAGCCGTCGAACCTGAAGGTCTCCGCCGAGGGAATAGCCATGACATCCGAGTGCCCCATCCGGTTGCCGAACAGCAAAAGGAGAAGATCATTGTCGCCGCGGGGGCGGCAGGAGGGCCCAAAACGCCGAAATCCGATTTCGCGAAAGGAGACTCTCTCGTTCCATATTCTTCTCCATTGTGTCTCCTCTCTCCGAGGCCGCCATATCCTCTTTCCACCTCTTCTCCCCTCTCCCCTCTCTCCTGTCTACAGCTCTCTGCCAACAGAGGCTACGCTGCAGCAACAGCAGCAGCAGCAGCGCCAGCAGCGCCAGCAGCGCCAGCAGCAGCAGCGCGGCGCGGGGGGGAGGAAGGAGGAAGAGGCCAAGCCCTGAGGGGCGCCATTGGAGCAGATCTGGTGTCTCGGCCTGTGCGCCCTCCCCCACATCGTCCTGCTCCTCGTCCACTGGCTCCGTCCTTCTCTCTCCCTCTGCGTCCGACAACGACCACTCGAGGCGGCTGCTCAGCTTCCCCGTCCCACATAAGTCAAAAACCTGTAATCCAAACTTGTATGGCATATGATAAAAAATAAAAAAAAACGAAATTTTTCCTCCAAAGTTTGAATAATTACACATTTGTCCTCACAATGAAAGGGAATTCGCAGGCTGTACGGGAACCTTCGCCGTTCGATGACCGAGCGCAGAAGGTAGATGTATAAGGGAATAAAGATATGAGATGTTTTCAAAATACAATTCTCTATCAGGGGTTTTCCTAAATTTGCAATCCGAAGGACCGTTTCGGCCGGTAGCGGCGTCCCGCCTTACCCGGGAGAACTTTGTCGGCTCTCACGTGGTACACGTCGACCACTCCCGATGGGGTGAAAATCATACACGTGCGAAAAAGCAGAGGTTCATCCGGCCTCTGTGATTCCGTTGTGGCACGTGCTAGAGCGATTTAATAAACGGGATTCTCATTTATTAAATCGCGCTTAATTAATTCGCACTTCTACAGCGGGCGGCGTCCAGGGCGGAGACGAAGGCGGCAGCTTCATCGTTTGACGTGCCATATCCAGATTGGTCAGCAGTGCGAAGTCGACAACGCTGGCGGGTCACTACAACCTGTCTGTTCGTCAGGGGAATATTTCTGCAACTATGGAAGATCTACTCCTTTAAGCACAACACGTAGCTTTCAATCAGATTCCCTACTCTCTCTTTCTCTCTCTCTCTCTCTACCCTCCATTTATCCACATCTCCGACTCTAATCAGCTCCCCCCCCTTCTCTCTCTCTCTCTCTCTCTCCCGCTATAGTTTTCTCTCCCATCCGCTACATGCCTGCTCCCATATCTCTCTTCCATACTCCTTACTATAATTCTCTCCCGATATCTCTCTACCTACCAACCCATTCGTCTTTCTCTCCCTCGCTCCACCGTCTTCTCCCCCAGTACGCATACCTCCTCCACCTAACCTCTACAGTACTCTCTCTTCTCAGATTCCCTCGCTAGATATTTCCGATTCTCTCTCTTCTCTATCTCTTCTCTCTCTTAACCTTTTTACTCTCTCTTTCTATCCCTATCCCTTCCTCCAGTTGTCTGTCTGTTGCCGCTCCACCCCCACTTGTCTGGACGAATGCGGTGATTCCGTTGGAGAAGGAAGGCGGTAAACACTCCGCTTGGTCTTTACCCCCCGGTCTGATCGTCCAATCTTTAAGGTAAAATTATATGTAGCGAGAGAGAGAGAGAGAGAGAGAGAGAGAGAGAGAGAGAGAGAGAGAGAGAGAGAGAGAAAGGGAGAGAGAGAGAGAGAGAGAGAGAGAGAGAGAGAGAGAGAGAGAGAGAGAGAGAGAGATTCCTTCTTCTGTGTCGGGGAAGTGCAGACGAGAGGATATGATGTTGGAGATCGTCACGGGGGACGGTTCGAGAGACTGGGAGGGGGGGTCTCGTGAGGTGTCGTCGTGGAGTCACGTCGATGCAGAGGAAGCGGCGCGGCGGCTTCCTTCCCGGGAAACAGCGGGGTTCGGAGGAGCAGGTCACTTTCTCTCCGCCGGTGGAAGGAGGATTGACCCTCTCTCTCTCTCTTTCTCGCAAGTTTCTACCTCTTTGAGCACTATGGAGCTTCTCGTCGCAGTGCTCTCTCTCTCACTCTCTCTCTCTCTCTCTCTCTCTCCCTCCATTTATCTATCTTCCCTCGGCTTTGGTTTCTCTCTCTATATATCTTCCCTCTTCTTCGACGTCTCTCTCGACTCCTCTCTCTTCTCTTCTCTCTCTCTCTCTCTCTCTCTCTCTCTCTCTCTCTCTCTCTCTCTCTCTCTCTTTATATATATATATATATATATCTTCCCTCGTCTTCCGCTTCTTGCACGACTCTCTTCTTTTCGACCTCTCTCTCTATCTCTCTCGGTGGCTAGTGGGGACGAGGACGAACAGGCCTTCGGAGTGTGAATGGAGCTGAGGAAATAGTAGCAGCAGCCTTGCAGTGGACTGGAGTCTCCCTCATCCTCGGCTCCGATCGTACGAAGCCCACCAGCCCGGACTTACAGTTACCCACGACCGCAGGCTGGGCAGATATCCAGTCCATCACAGAACCGCACCTAAACAGAGGCAGATACATAGCGAGCGAGCGAAAGAGAGAGAGAGAGACGGAGAAAGGGAGCGGGCTTGCTGATGAGAGATTGAGGGCGGCCGGAAGAGAGAGTGAAAGAGAGAGAGAAAGCGAGATGGACATGCACTTCCGACAAGGTGGGGCGGGTATGTCTTTCGACAGTAGTTCTCTGAGAAAGAGTTCTTTCTTCTTCTATAAATTTCATGAAGAAGAGTTGACCAAGGATATCAACCCCGTGCTGGTAGGAAAATTCGTTGTTGGGCGCCCCCAACAAGCTATTAAAAACAAATTAATAATGATAAGTTTTTCGACTGATCCAAGTCAAATAATTAAAAGGAGATGCCTTGCCATTAAACGCAAACGCGGATCTTCCCTGGATTCTGAGCATCGAGAAATGAGAATTTATTAAAGCTCCGATAGTTTGCTGAACAAGAACTGTTAACTTTTTGTTATAACAACGGCGATCCGAGGCCATGTACCGTGCGAAATGACAGAACTTGATAGCAGTTTCTCCCGCTCGCTGGTCGGAGCAGACGATGGCTACAGCACTGCGAAGCCCGGTGGCCAGGGGCCATTGCCGCTCTCTGGTTCCCTCTTTTGGCGACAGATCGGGGAGCTCAATCTCCTCCCTGGTTTGCTCTTCTTGTGTGCTCAAGAGGAGTTTTTCGCTGCGGATTCGCGCGCCAGCACCGTCCCGCTGGCGTTCCATGAACACTCCCGTTGCAGGGCTGTTCGAGCTGCCCGGAGGAAAAAGGTAATCGCCGGACTATCTCTTGATTCTTGCTCTGCCGGAAAAAGAAACCTCTCGCCAGTGAGTGAATAGCTACTTCTTCCATCAGATTTAAAAAACCAATTTCCAATTTTTCCACTACAAGTTTGACATCGCGCGATCTGAATCTAGTTCCGGGGAATCACCATGCCTATTGATCAGGGCTAGATCCACGTTCGGTTCTTCGTTTGGATAATTCGCGCTGTTTTCTTGGGTCTGGATTCATTACATTATGGTTTGAAATCCCTCGCTTGTTCCGATGATGCAAGGATGAGCGAAGTCTTTGAGGTTGAGCTCAAGGTCCGGGATTACGAGCTCGATCGACATGGGGTGGTCAACGATGCCGTGTACGCGAGCTACTGCCAGCACGGTAGGCGCTTCCGAAGTCAACGCCTTAATTTTTTTTATTATCATCAAATGATTTTCTCATGGAAAAATATGCGCCACTGTCGGGTGATCTTGATCTCCAGTGACGAAATTTTAGAGGAAACACAATTTCTTCTCTGTAATTTTCACCCGCAGTCGCTTGAATGCCCGAAATAGAATTCTGCAATGATTTCCTCGGAGTGATTTTGTGGTATTCCTATTTTGTCCTAAATTGCTTGTCCCCCTTACTATATTATCTGCATGTGAGTCAACTTCGAGTAGACTCACTTCTTGCTATGAATAATACAAGAGAAGAACCTGCAAGAAAATCGGTCAAATATTGCTATGTATCATAACCAAGGATGAAGATGATAGTAAAAAAAAATTAGTACTATAAACGTAACGTTTTGCCCTTGTTTACACTTTTTAAATTTGAGATTTGTTCTATCTAGATGGGCATTTCTCATATCAAGTGAGTTGCATCACTTCCTCTAAAGAAGTGACTAGTGAAAACTGGCAAGAACAAGAATGTAAGGGATTTTTTCATATGTTTGGGACGTGATCTTGTAAGCATGAAATTATTATTTCATCTTACCGGCTGAGTTGACTCCCCTTCTTCAAAAAACAGATGGCTACATTATGGGTCAACCCCGATCGGTCCTGAGATCACATGAGACTTCTCTTCAAGATATAACATTATCATGCTAAATTTTTTTTTATAAAATCTATAAATATGATTACGGCGGTGTTAATTTTCTGTTTTGCCTTTTAATGTGTTTTATCAATATCAGGACTCTATAGAAGCTTCAAAATTCATCACATTTTTGGTTGATAGATAACGCTGAGAGTAGTTACTCTTGGCTATGGACTTTATTATGAGCTCTTCTTCTTCTTCTTCTTTTCCATGTGGATCTCACATACTGTTTCTGCTCATTTTCTTCCTTCAGGTCACCATGAGCTTCTCGAAAACATTGGCTTCAGTGCAGATGGAGTTGCTCGTGGTGGGGAATCTCTGGCCCTATCAGAGTTGTCTCTCAAGTTCCTTTCACCATTAAGGGTACGTCTGTAATTCTTTCATAATGAGGCCCTTGATGGTCACGCATTAAAAACCCATTATTTTACATTTTTGTTAGGATTTCCATTTACATTGGCTTGAAATTTTATCAGGATCTTACAACAATATGTTAATTGAAAGCTATTTATGAACCTGATATTATTATGCTTTAATATTCTCTTTGGTTTCATAGAATTTCATGGGCAGCTGGTAATGATTATTTTAAAAAAAATCAGTAAATAAGGAAACAATCTTTGGGTAATTCCTTTCATGATCAAGCCTTTCAGGTCCTTTTTTGTATATTCATTTCATGATTAATTATTCATATTGATGAGTCCAGTTGTTGTGACATAGCTCTAACGCTTGTCATTGTAATACACCGCTAATTGTGTTCCTTTCCAAGCATATTCAACCAATCCAGCATCAGTCGGAAACCTTCTTTTTCTTTCTATTCTATTAAAATTTCTATTTAAATTGTTACGATATATATCCGCCTTTATAGATATATATATAGAACCTCCCTGTATCGATAAATTATTTTACTGCAATCCAGGAGTCAGATTTTTTTAATTCAGTATGCATTTATTCTTGGGTTCTTCATCAATTCCCAGGCCTCCATTCGGCTATACATTTTTCTCAATTTTGTAATGTTCTTCACGTTGGTGTTTTTGCGCAGACAAAGTGGGGATCGGTTCGTTTTGAGAGTGAGGGTCTCAGGGTCCTCAGCGGCGATGGTTTTCTTTGACCACCTGATCATCAAGCTCCCAAATCAAGAGGTAACGAACACCTGATCACAGCTGTTGACCTGATTTCCTTTCTCTTAAAAAGCTTCTAGTGTTCTCACATGGGTTTTTCTCTCTCTAACCCCTCCCCCCCCCCCCCCCCAAAAAAAAAAGCCAATCTTGGAGGCGAAGGCTACCGCACTTGACAAAAATGGCCGTCCAGTTCGGATTCCTTCTGGGCTCAGATCGAAATTGGTGGGGGTCACAAGGGCTGATGAAAACAACTGAGTGAAGTACTTTCCCTACCAAGCGAATCAGCGTTGATCTCGCCTAAAAGATTGGTCACAGTCTTTCCCCCGGAATCATTTACTTTCTTAGGCTTGTAGATGGTCAACTAGTGCTGGTCCTTGAGGTCAAACCATGGAAGCATTTGATAATGTTACCGTTTCTATAAGATGTCTTTGGTGGAAGAGCGGAGGCAGCAGTTAAGATGATGGCGCTCTTAACGTTCACACACACTCACTCTCTCTCGCATATACACAATGTTGGGGGAAAAATCTAAACAGTAGTCTTGGGCACTTAATAATTCTGCAATATGTTCTCCGAGTTTTCCTTTTGTGCTTCTAAACAATATGCTCTTCTCTAACACATTGGCCAAATTTAATCCAGAGATGAATAAACCCAATGCATGATAGTTCTTTCTTCTATAAGTTTCACGGATAAGAGCTGACCAAGGGAGTCAACCCACCCTATATGAAGAAATGCCGTGGTGGCAGAGAAGTAAATACTTTGTTGGGTGCCCACAACAAGCTATTAAATAGTAATTAAGAATGTCAAGTCTTTGACTGATGTAAGTCAATGAATTAAGGAGGACTCTTGTCAATAAATTCGTAACCTTAATCTGATTTTCTCGTCGTTTTCACGGAATGAGAACGCATATGTTTTCTCGATTCCGATCATTAAAAACACAGAATTTACTGAAGGTCTGGTAGTTAGCTGAACTAAAACTGTTAACTTTTTGTCGTAACAACGGCGATCCGAGGTCATGTACCGTGCGAAATGACAGGACTTGATCGCAGTTTCTCCCGCTCGAAGGTCAGAGCAGACGATGGCTATGGCACTGCGGAGCCCGTTGGCCAGGGGGCATTACCGTTCTCTGGTTTCCTCTTTTGGCGACAGATCGGGGAAGTCCATCTCCTCCCTAGTTTGCCCATCTTGAGTCCAGTTGTGACATAGCTCTAACGCTTGTCATTGTAATACACTGCTAATTGTGTTCCTTTCCAACCATATTCAACCAATCCATGATGGTTTATTTGTCGACCAAACAGAGAAATTTGTGATCCTTTTATCTAGAATCTTTGGTCAATTGCTAACAATGATCCTATATTATCATTGATGAAGGTTCTATCAACGATCAACCATGTCTAGTAATTGTTTTGTTGATCAGCTCTCTACAAGAAAATCATGGAGATATAACAAAATAAAGCGATAATTTTTGGCATCAATGAGATTCAAACCTCCGCCGATTACCTAATTATGTAAGTGAAGCTCAACCAATTATCATAATGCCCTTAAAATAGTAAACACATGAATTCGATTTCTTCTCTTACCATAGGGGCGCAATTTAAGTATTAATTTCCTCCAATGAGCGCTGCCAACAATTTAATCTCACATCAACTGTTTTAGAAGATTTCAGATCAATATAACTTTGGACTTCATTTTAGAGTAACATGGGAAGAGGGCTATACTAGGTGGTTCACCTCCACATACAAACCTGTGACGAAATTATACCTTGCCCCACACTATTTTGGCCCTAGTGATGTGGAAGAGGAGTGATGCACATGTACTCTACATGGGTTCCTTAAGTCACTTGAGCCTAGTCATGGCTCTTCCAACTAAGTTACCTAATCTAGTGTGGCACACTCTAGGTCAACTTTTGAGTGTTGACAAGCTAGTGGATTCTCTCTTTTGTATTGTTTTATTTATTTTATTTATCTTCATTTGAACTAAAAAAATAAATCTAAAAAGCATAAAAAATCACATAATTAACCAAAAAAATTCATTACTCACATAAAAATTATTTTATCTATTTAACTCAAATAAGCGTACATTTATCATGAGTTAGTTCATAAAACTAATACATTAAATCATTATTAACTCATGATAATAAACACATTACCTACCCATTTTTGCTAGCATATCAAGAACACATTTTTGTTAGTTGATTGCAAAACTCTCTTTAAATCAGACAATTTAGACAATTATTATAATATTCTTAGTAAAGGAATGTCTAAATGTAATTAATTCCTTAAATATATGATTATTCTCTCATTCATTCTGAATTTTTTCTTTTCTTTTTCCCTTTCCATTGGACAAGAATGTTGCCATTCCTAACTCACATTAGAGTAAAATATCTCAATGTTACAAGATAAGGGTAATAAGGTGCTACATCATTGAAAAACTTTTAAACAAAAGTTATAGGGTTGCCTCATGATAAGTTTTATGGCTAAGCGATCATTTTTCTTCATTTAAATAATATTATGTAGTTTTGTGCTTAATTGATAGCCTTAGTTTATGTATCTTATTGATCTATTACTCTTGATATCTACTGTAATATATTTTCCTCACATATATTGGAATAAAGTATAGCCAACTATAATATATTTTTCTTATGAGGTTAATTTGGCTCTTCTGCCCCCAAAATATTTTCACCATTTAATAAACTTAGGGTATCTACCATGCAACCACATATTACTCTTGATTCATTCCCTTCATTTCTTAATATATGGCTTTATAAAAATGTTTAACCTATTAGTCAAACTCATTATTAATTGACATACATCTACATAAATTATGTAAAGTGTTTCAATATAAAAATAATAGGGCAATATAGTCTCATGTAGACTATTTCAAATGAGCCTTCATTTATCTAACTCATTTTATAGTATATGGAATACCTTTGTGTAGGTTCTAAGGATGAATGATAGAGTTTAGAGGGAAGGTGAATTGGTTAAATGGAGTGGGTGTTTGTGTAATTTTATTGATGTTAACAAATAATAATAAAAGAGAAAAAGAGAAAAAGAGAAATTGGTCATATTTTGATGTTCAAAAATAGTAATAAAAGAGAAAAATGAAAAATAGCCATGGTTGCATAAAGATCTAAATTTTTAGATTCATTCAATTTTTTAATTATTTGAGCTACAGAGGAAGAGAGAGAAGTGCAAATCAAGGAAGCAATAAGGAAATAGAAAGAAACAAGGTCTTTTCTTTTCTTTGGCTGGTTTAATTTATCCTTAAAAATATCTTTAATTAATATCTGACACTAATCATTTAGTAAATAATTTATTCTTCTGGATTTATGTGCATATTAAAAAAACTTATATAAGCATAGTGAGTTATTTGTTAAAAAGTTCAAAACATATCCCTCTATCAAGAATATTTAGTGTAATTATTACATTAACATCATTGTAAATTGTCACATGTTTTAAATTGGAAGTATTATCTTTCCTTCTTCTCTTAGATCTACAAGGACTACAAGGAATTACACTTTTAGAACCCATCAGATATAATATAAAAAAATAGAGAAATAGAGAGAGACCATGAGTGTCAGAGAGAGAAAGGCATATAGATAGGTAGATAGATAAGTTAAGAGAGATATATATAAATAAATTGTGTGTGAGAGAAAGAGAGAGAGATACAAGCACATAGATGGCATAATAGACTTGAGATACAAGGTTAATTTCATCTTTTCAGGAAATGAAGCACATTATTTTTTCTTATTTTCCTATTTGGAATTAGGGATGAATGTGCCCACATACCCAACATCAGTAATGATAAAAGTGAGAGACTGCAAATAGATATAGATGAAGCAATAGTTCTTCTAGTGGGAATAGTTGTCGGAAGCATAGACCATAAGGTAAATCCCCATACCGAACTCAAGAAGATGGACCCTGCCAATTCACAAAGAAATTCATTATTAATCAACTTATTATGTGAAAACTGATCAAGTCATTTGACCTTGACTAGTGAGGTTAACTTACCTTGGTCTTAAGTCAGGCCTAAAATGGAAACTTCATACTAGACTATGCAAAAGACAACCCTTAATGATTATCACTCATACAAAATATTTTTACAAGCATAGTTTAAAAGGGCAATGAAATTTAAGCTGAAACCCTATAAATAGATAAAACTATGTGAAACATTTGCTGGTAAATATATTAAGCAGCAAATACCGTGTCAGATACTTTGCAATGGCATTCCATGAGAACCTTCGGCAACCATTCTGACTCATGTTAGGGTTGTTGGCACCCAGCTTTTTGGTAACAACCCACTCACTCACTCTACCAACCTCCAATAGGCGAATGTCCAACTGGATACTCACAAAGTTTCATCAGTTACCATCCAGCCAGACTTACGGAGTACAGATTACTGCCTTGCAACGGTGGAGTGACATAACATTCTCAAATAAGACCCATAAGACCAGAAGATAGATAGATCTACAATAAAATGCAGCTGATAAGAACCTTTAATGCTTAAAATCATAAAAACATTAAAAATTTATATTCTTAATGAGAGCACAAAATAAAGCTAGTGAAAATTTATAGGAAGTGGTTATCTTATGTTCTTGGTCGCCAATTAGAAGTATGACGATAACAACTTCTTAATCTTGTTATAGAAGGTATAAACATTAACTTAAAGCTACCTTGCAAAAATATTATCATTGAAAGGGTGATAAAAACGTGAACACATTGTGTTCTTCAATGAATTGAAATTTCTACTAGCAGTAAACACAACATTTATAAAACTTATGTTCTAAGTACAAAGAAAGTGGGAATATATGCCTAAACTAATGCTACTCAACATTGTAATATCAATGATCACGAATGCCTATGTAGTATTCTTAACACGATAAAGTATAAATAAGATTAAAAAAAATTCTAAATTTTATCATCTAAAATTGAAAGGGCATAAAAATTTATCTATAGTTTGTAATACTACCAAGGGTGAAGGAAAACATTTGTGATTCTACCGGTAGTTTGTAATACTACTGAGGGTAGGCACCTTTTCATATTCTAAATTAAAAACATTGTGAAGGAAAAGATTTTTGGAACTTCTAAAAATTCCAAAGCTCAAAAACAGCATAAACTATACAGAGCTTAAAAAATATCGATCAAGATTAATCTTAAACCTTGGGGTCCCAACAGAACTTAGAAGTGTTATCACTGTAGGGATGTACACCATTGATCAAAATGGAACTTGGACTTCTGGGAAGAATGAAGCTGTTGGGATTACAATACAATAGAAGTAGAAGGTCACCAAATGAGATATAATCCTTCGAACAAGGAAGAAATTGTACATCAAGTAAAATTTCTTCCATCACGAGACTTTCTGCAAGATGAAAATATATTGTGTCAACAACTTATGTTAGGCTCGTGCCTTTTCAAAATAATAAATAGGATACTAGATTTATAAGGATGCTGTACTTACTGTAATTTGGTTTCAACCTTGATGAACTGATTTTTTCCATATTATATCATTTATTATTAATTAAGGTGAGCATACTAGTGTATTTCTTGTCCACAGGGCAAAACAAAAATTTCAAGTTTTATAGATGAAGAGAAATGCTAGAACTATCCCATGTTAAAATGATCAGTAATTATTATGACTATATTGATGAAATTTCTTTACCCTATGCCTCTAACACTCTTGTGTATAATGTTAGATAAAGTATATTTCATACACAAAAAATGTTGGAATAAAACCTTGTTTTTTATTATCTCAGCTGCCATTTCCGCACTAATTTTGCAGGCCCACATGACCATCGATGTTGTTGGTTGCGATAGGCCTTGAAGGTGCTCAGTAGCTCACTTTGACCTATTTGTTGACAATAATACATTAATTTGGATAAAACTAATTCATATGTAAAAATTTAATAGAAAGATGGTACCTTGACATCCCCTAGATATATGAACTTCCAACCTTGAAGTGTTGCTCTAATAGCCAAGTCCATGTCCTCCACAGTTGTTCTGTCTTTCCATCCTCCAGCCTCATCAAGGGCATGGATCCTCCAAACACCTGCCGTTCCTATATATTACAAGTATATACATTAAAATCTCCTATATCTGAATTTAATTGAGAAAATCTTGGATATGCATAGGCCTGGATGGAAATTCTGAACTTTTTCTAGAGCATTGTTGCTTACCATTGAAACCGAAAAAAGCATGTGTAGATGAGCCAGACTCCTGCTCAACCTTGAAGTGGTAGTCCATTGACATCTCTTGTATTCTCATCATTAAACACTCATCAGCATTTACTACAAGGAGCATCACAACAGATTTTAATTTCATTCTGTAGTTAACGTATATATTGCTGAATCTATCATCTATCAAAAATAATGATGAACTGGATATTTTAAACCTAGGGAGGTTACGTCAATCTTACTCTATGAGTTTATTACACATGCTTGCGAATGCTTTTTTAGCTGTATATTACTATTTATGTATGCGTCTACGTTCAATTGTAAAAACCTCTCATGAACTTCAAAAATAAAAGTAACTTAGAATACACATATTTCTTGGGTATTTACCAAAATGAGGCATTTTGCTTATATATGCATGCATATATGTTGAATTTTTACCTCAAATTTATAAAAAATGTGGATATTCAGAGAAATGTTATTTTATTCAATGATTGAGAAGGAATAGCCCAAGCGAATAAAATCTTTCTTGGAGTAAGTTTTCATAAAATAACTCATTGGACAAGTTCTTTCTCAGTTGATTTGACGGCTAAATTCTAATAAGAATCCCTCATCCGAATAATTTACCGAATTTCCAGCGGGCCTGGACGAGGGCAACCTCCCTGTTGTGAACCAAGAAGGGGAACCGTCCGGGTTAGGAAATCAGACTCGGGTTGGAAGTCAGCGTCGAAGATGGCCACGTAGTCGCACTCGTTGACGTAACTGTGCTTCATCCCCTCCCTCAGCGCCCCGGCCTTGTACCCTTTTCGGTCTCCCCTCCTCTCGTACCTCACGTTGACCCCTTTTGCCGACCACTTATCGCACTCCTTCTGCACGAGATCCTGCGAGACAGAGGAGGAGAAGAAGACGCTGTCAGCGCGAGCTTCAGCTCTGGTGGGGGAAGTTCCCGAATATCGACCTTTATCAGGGGGTCCGTCGAGTCATCGAGGACCTCAACGATGAGCCTCTCCGCCGGCCACTGCAGGCTGCATGCAGCTCCGATCGACAGATGGTAAACCTGGTCATGCTCCCAATGTTAGAGCGAGCGAGCGAGCCAAGAGAGTGGGAGAGAGAGAGAGAGAGAGAGAGAGAGAGAGAGAGAGAGAGAGAGAGGGAGAGAGAGAGAGAGAGAGAGGGAAGGCGACCTCTTTCTCGTTGTACATGGGTATCTGGACGATGACCATGGGGTAGGCGGCGGTGCCGACCTCCTCATCTTCGGCCATGGGCGCGCACGGGTAGATCCTCCTGGGCCGCCGGCGGAGAAGCTTTACCAGCAAACTCACGGAGCCCATGAAGATCTTCTCGGTCAACAGCAATGAGGACCCGAGGACGCATAGCCAGACGGTAAGCGTCAGCAGCGGGACGACGACGACGGATCTCACTTGGTTGAGGGCCTGCAAGATTGTCCTCCACTCGATGGCTATGGGCGGCCATCCCACGGCTTCTTGGGCTCTCAGGACTACGTGCATCACGGACTCGGACATGGCTGCTGGGGTTCATTAGCGAGAGGAACGAAATCAGATTCGGACCTGGACGAGGGCAACCTCCATGTTGTGAACCAGAATATGAAATCAGACTTGGGTTGGAAGTCCGCGTCGAAGATGGCCACGTAGTCGCACTCGTCGACGTAACTGTGCTTCATCCCCTCCCTCAACGCCCCGGCCTTGTACCCTTTTGGTCTCCCCTGTCAGGAACTCGCCGGAGAGATGACAAGAGATGACAGCAGTTAAGACGTCACTGACGAGATCACCACGGAGTCACAGGAAAAACCTAGCAGGAGGAACAAGGAAGACTATCTCACTCATTATCAAAAACTCTTACAGTCCTCTTTAAATAAGAAAACAAAGGAGAAAGAAATAACCGTAAGAAAAAACTAACTGGCTAATAACGCGCATCATGCAGAAAATTCCGCATTACCGCTTATCATGGGGGGCCACGTGCGAGGCTCTCGTTCACATCCCCTCCTCTCGCACATCATGTTGACCCCTTTCGCCGACCACTTATCGCACTCCTTCTGCACGAGATCCTGGGTGACAGAGGAGGAGAAGAAGACGGTGTCAGGGCAAGCTTCGGCTCTGGCGGGGGAAGTCCCCGAAGATCGACCTTTATCAGGGTGTCCGTCGAGTCATCGAGGACCTGGACGATGAGGCTGTCCGCGGGCTATTGCAGGCTGCATGCAGCTCCGATCGACAGATGGTGAACCTGCTCATGCTCCCCAAGTTAGAGCGAGCGAGCCAGGGGAGAGAGAGAGAGAGAGAGAGAGAGAGAGAGAGAGAGAGAGAGAGAGAGGGAGACCTCTTTCTCGTTGTACATGGGTATCTGAACGATGACCATTAGGTAGGCGGCGGTGCCGACCTCCTCATCTACGGCCAAGGGCGAGCACGGGTAGATCCTGCTTGGCCGCCGGTGGAGAATCTTTACCAGCCAGTTCACGGGGCCCATGAAGATCTTCTCCGCCAGCAACATTGACGACCCGACGACGCACAGCCAGATGGCAAACTTTAGCAGCTGGACGACGACGACGGATCTATCTTGGTTTAAGGGCTGCAAGATTGTCCCCCGATGGATGGCTATGGGCGGCCATCCCACGGCTTTTTGGTCTCTCAGGACCACGTGCATCGCGGACAGGGAGATGCTGATGGCAACGATGATGGACACGGAGATGGCTGCGGTTCATTAGCGAAAGCAAACAATCCATAAGTTATTACCAGCAGAGAAAAAGACAAAGATGGTGATGGTGATGATAGTGGGGAAGGAGGAGCGGGAGGAGAGACAGAGGAGAATTTCACAGGAAAAAATTCGATAATAGTCATGATTATGAACATTCTGTTGAAGAGAAAGAAGACGATGAGGATGACGGTGGAGAGAGACCAAGAATACGTCAGAAGAAGCAGAAGAAGCAGAAGAAGATGTGGTTGTAAAGTTGGTGGTGAAGAAGAGGACGATGATGCTGACAGTGAAGATGACGTGATAGAAGAAGAACATGATGATGGCGGTTAAGATGATGACATGGAGGATGCTAATGACGATAACAGTGGAGATGATAGTCCCCAAGAACAAGAAAAAGAAGATATTGAAGAAGAAGATGATGATGATAGTGAAGAAGAAGCCGAAGAACAAGATGACAAGATGACAACATGACGATGATGAGAAAAGATGATGCTGACGAAGAAGAATTTCTCAGAAGATCACGAAGAAGAAGAAGAATGAGGGTATACCCTCCGTCATGGTCTTCTCTGCCGCCCGTTCCCGCTGCTGGAGGGACGTGGCTCCTGTGGGTACCAATCGAATGTGCCTCGACGAGCTCACCTCACTCTACATTCCTACATATACTAGCACCTAGAGTTATAGTTGACGCCAGCACGAGAACAATGAGGAATGAAAGGGCTTCCGTAGCCCAGCTTCCACTGACGGAGACGACGTTCGTTGGATCTCTATGAATGCAAGCTACCTCATTATTTGTGGAATGAGCTATCATGTGGGACATCAGATCTTGGGAGTCCCACCTCATTTAAAAGCGATGATCTTGATGTGTCCAATTTCAATGAGACTCGTGCTTATGACCACCTATGCCGATACTTATATGAGAAGCTTCAATTCACTTATTCCTCGAGTGTTCCTTGTCATTGTAAATTTGTCTGAGATTCTTCATGGCAACAAAAAGTTAGCTCATAGTAGCATTTGTATCATTTAGCTAGTACAATCAAAAAATTTGACACAATAATTGTTCGATTGATGGACTTTTCCCCCCTCAAGGGGAGTTGTGGGTTAGAGTGTTTTATAACATATGATTTCATTTTTAGAGTTAATTATAAATGCATTTTTATGTCTTGTACGTAACATTTTTAAGAAAAAGAATTCGTTTTCCTATACATTTTTAAAATAAAAATTTCACATGGTGGTCTCAAAGCCTGATTATTGGTTGCAGAAAAGGATTGTTTCCCCACCAGGTATTTTTGGCTGCATTCAACATGTAGAGCTATCCTTCTAAGCTTGTAATAATTTCATAGGTCGAATTTGATGTAATATTAGAAGAATGAAAAGATGAAGCCCTGTTGAAGAACTGATCACATCAAAATCACCACTTTCCACGGGATACCACCCATTTCCCTAACGCACTCAAGATACCAAGCTTTAGTTTTGCGAAATTTGCATCAAAGATGTCATTAAAGGCCTCTTATGGAAAGGGATGGGCAAAGAAATGATCCAGTTCCTTATTAGAAGTTTTTCAGAAATAGAGGGATAGGATGGGTTGGGTTACGCTATCTTTTGCAAAATGACATTCGGAGGCTATAGGAGGTGAAGAGAAAACCACTTGGGCTGTGATTGTAGGAAGAAAATCGTAGAAATGGCCCTTGTCTTGTCCCCTTAATACCTTCTCATTCTTAATTTTTTGCATATACTGTGGTATTTCGGGGGAGGTTAAGTCTGTCCAAGCTTCTACAGATTTCCTAGTGGGGAGTCACAAAATACAATGCTCCTGCACCAAGTCGGGACGTACTCCACTATACTCCACCATGGGCAAAACCAACAAACGTTCAACTCAGTACTTGGTTCAAATAATCGAAAGAAGATGTAAATGGGAATCGATTTCCCTCTATGGAATTATCTTCCGGCACCCTACAAGCTAGAAATTTAGAAGATTTTAACTATATACGTGCCAGTTGTATCCCGCTTTCATTTTTATGAATATATCTTACAATATTCACATTATCCTCCACTTTAAGATCTATTTCTTTTCAACGTTGCAGGAGAATCAATCCCTATTTGGTTATCTCTTAGCCCATATTAATTGACTCCAAGACATCGCAACACCAACAACAAATTTCATGTGAAGTATTTCTTGAACCTTGTCCTTGTGGTATTTCTTGAACCTTGTCCTTGTGGACGAATAGAATCGGGCGGTGCTTCAAGCAACATGAGATCACAATGTAATGCCTTTTAGAAGGCTCCTGAAGCCAATCCAGCCCCGTCACCTGTGATACATTTGCCTACCTTTCTTAAGAACGAGCTGAAAATAAATGCACAGGCCATCACATGATTTCTTGGTGTTGCACATGTAGGCACGTTTCCCTTGGTTCACAATGTACCCTTTAGGAAGTTGCCTTCTTCATGTGAACAAGCCCTCCTCAGGCCAATTTGGATCACAATGTAGGACTTTCTAGTCCATAGTATTTGATTATAAATAGACCTTATCATTATTACAAGTGATTTTTCCCCTTCCCTCATTTTTTACTTGTTGCAATGGTGCTTATGGTGGTAGTACTAGCAGTACTAATAGTTCTAACAATGATTGTATTGAAATGGTTCTAGTTAGAAGTTAGAGTGCGTGTGTGTGTTCGTGAGAGAGAGAGGGTATGGCATCTTATTTGAATTTTAATGGAAAATTAGGACACACAGTAGCATCAGTAGTGTCTGATTTTTCATTTGAAGGTGAATATTAAGAATTGACATTTACCAGTGTTTCTTTTGCTCATTAAGGTATAGTCCCAAAGGGTAATTGTTTAAGGATTTAAAGAAAATTCAGGGTATACTTTCTTATGGCCTCATATGGTAGGTGTTGATCTAAGTGGAGCCATTTTAACTAAGGATCACATTTTTCATTATCAAGCACATTATAATATTGCACATGATTGAAGGCATGATAACAATGATGGTCTTTGTCTATGTGGATCATCCTGCTTCGTGTTTCACCTCAAGCAGTGAAAATGAGTCAGTCAAGGAGCTGCCTTAGGATAGATGACATTTTATCTAACAGTTCAATACTTTAGAAAGAGAGTTGCTCTCCGTTGGGCTTTTTGATGTATGCTAGAATAGAAGATCCTTTAACAGTGATAAGTAAACTTTTTGATGATCAATCTTAGTTGATTTAGAGCTTTAGGAGAAAGGAGTGAGGACAACTTTTGAGGATTCAAAACGATTTACCCAAATAAAATGTGAAATAGGATTGAGAAATTGTTAAATGAAAAAAATACATTCTATTGATGAGTGTGATTGTAATCTCTTTGTGAGATTCCTGGTCCACATGGAATCAATTTTAGTTATGAAAGTTCCTATAGTCATAAAAATGCCTTGAGGTATAAATATTTTATCATTCAATTTGTGTCTAAATTTTTTATGAATACTACAAAAGTTATGTCCAGTTGATATAAATTCACCTTATTAGTATGAATAGTTTTTCTATTTGAATATGAAAAAAGTATGTTTTCCAAAACTTCCATATCTTCTTGACAAGGTGATGTAATAATAAACCATTATCTTAGTCACCTGATCCATCCTCTCCATAACACACAACTAAATTAGTAAGTGCTTCTTTGATTAATGTAATCTAACTTGCTCCCCCCTTTTCATGATCAGAGTAACTTTTACACTTCATAAGTGGTTACTAATGTTAGTTTTTATATAATTTTCATCATATCTACGTCCTGGTTACTAAATTTTACAAATTTATCATAGAGAAAAAGTCCAAGAAAGATCTAAACTAGAAGTAACATTATAGTAGAGAATAATTCCATGATATGAGTCAATAATGAAATAAAGATTTTTAGATCTATAACCTATAGGCACCTTATTTCTCCAATATATTGGATTGCATAATATCTTACCTATGACACACATCAACAGCCCTCATATTCTTCCTCCTCATTCCTCATCATCATGTTCTTCTTCCTTTTCCTCTTTTTCTTTGTCAATCACTCCCTCCTCTTCTTCTTCTTTATCAATGATGACAAAGAGATCAAAAGGATATCACTTTAAAGAGAATTACAAGTTGGACTTTAGAGATGGCTTAGATAAGGCTTTGTAGGGTTAATATTTCTATGAATCTCATTATTTTAGAAGATAATTAGGATCATTAATTACTTGTTGGGTTATCTAATTCAAATAATATGAGGTTTCTCAACGAAGGTTTGGATCACCAATCTCTCACCTGAAGATTATCATATGAATCACATAAAATTTAAGAGCAAGGATTAAAAAAATAATGACCAACTTCACAAAAAGTTAAAAAATCAACATACATTTGTAATAAAGATTTTTGATCTCTCGAATATTCTTATTAGTTTGAATTTTACAAGCCTCGTTAGAAAATTTTCAACTTGAAAGATCAGGCGGGAAGGATGGGAACAAAAGAAGAAGGATAGGATCTAAATGGCTCGAGTTAGGGGCAGGACGGTTCAGAACGAGTGGTTCAAACCAAAGAGTAGACTGGTGCGGTTCCAAGGGAATGGGGCTGTTTGGATCGGGTGGCTAGGTTACTGGTTTTTATTAAATAAATGATAATAATAAAAATAAATCAAACCGGAGGGAGAAAAGGGACGATTCGAGGGCGTTGGCGGGAAAGAGAGAAAAGGGGTTTCGTCGGGACGGGCGGCTAAAAGTCGACGGCGGCGACTGGGAGAGAGAAAGGGAGAGGGTTTCGCGACGGGCGGACGGGCGGACGGCCGGAAGGGGGAATAGTGGCGACGGCAGGCTGGCGACGGGGCGGACGGCGAGGAGGCGGAACGTCAGCGACGGCAGGAGAGGAAAGATGGTGGGCTGGCGACGGGGCGGACGGCATGCAGGTGGAACGGCGGCGATGGGGCGGACGACGTGGAGGCGGAACGGCGGCGACGGGGCGGCCGGCGAGGAGGTGGAATGGCGGCGACGGGCGGACGGCAAGGAGGTGGAACGGCGGCAAGGGCGAAGATGTTCGACAAGATGGAGGGACGACGAAGAGGGAGAAGAGAAAGAGAGAGAGGTCTCCCTGATCCAAGAGGGCGAGAAGAAGACGATACTCCTAATCCAAGAGGCGAGCGAGAGAAATTAGGAACTCCTAATCCAACAGGCGAGCGAGGGAGAAGAAGAACCCTTAATCCAAGAGATGAGAGTGATATTAAGGCTTTCTTGATTCCAAATTCAACTTTTGTTTTCAAGTATTCGTGAGGTGAAGGTTTATAGAAAGGAGGGGAAGGTAGTTAGTGGCGCCCCCTCCCAAAGGATACCTAGTGGTGTCTCTTGGAGGGAGGCGCCTTCCTTAGAGGAGAAGAGACCTCGTCTCTTCCCTCTTCTTCCTCCTCGTGGGTCCACCTAAGAGGATGATGAACCCTCATGTTGACTCCTTCAGTCGACCTCTCCCTCTTGTTTTTCTTTTTCTTCCTCATCCTCTCCCTCTCCCTCTTCCTATTCTTCTTCTTCGTCAACCTCTCCCTCTCTTTATTCTTCTTCTTCCTCAACCACTCCCTCTCCCTATTCTTCTTCGTCCTTAACCTAGTCGAATTCATCCTCTTCTTCTTCCTCAGCCTCTCCCTATTCCTCATCTTCTTCTTCCTCAATCTCTCCCTTTTCCTCTTATTATTCTTCTTCTTCTTCTTCTTCTTCTTCTTACCACCCCTCCCCCCTCATCCTCCTCTTCCTGCCCTTTTTCTAAGGCCACTTCTTCCTCTCCCCCCGTCCTCCCTCCTCTTCCTCTTCTCCTTGACCTGTTACGGGTGGACATTCTGATAATTTAGCGGCTCTTTCCAAAAGGCGCGAATGCAAATAAAAAACATCTCCTGGATAAGCTTCACGACCCGGAGGTCTTCTTAATAGAAGAGACATTTGGCGATAAGCTTGTGCCTGTTTGGAGAGATCATCATAAATTATTAAACTATGTTGTTTGCGGTACATAAAATATTCAGCCAAAGCTGCTCCTGTATAAGGAGCAAGGTATTGTAATGTAGCAGGCGAATCAGCCGTTTCCGCTACCACAATAGTCTATTCCATAGCCCCGCGTTCCTGTAAAGCAGAGTCACCTAATGGTGTATGGTAGGAAGATTAACGGGAGTTAATGTATTTTACCTGACGACGAGACCAGAGAATGTTGAGAATGTTGAGAATGTTGAGAATGAAAAGGTAAATGTCACGACCAACATGGGAACTCGGGGGTTCATGACTGTGCAAGAATGGAGGGTAGAAGACGCATTCGATCAATGTATCACCAAGTTTGAAACATCAGAGGAGTTCAATAATGTGCAGAAGACAGATCATCCTATTATTATTAATGGATTTATTATTGCAGAAACTTTGATGGTTCGTGATTGTGGATGGTATGAAACGAGTGATCCATTCATGATGAGGGAGATTCTGATACGAAGCTCCCAAATCAGAAAGACCATCTCGTCAAAATCATTAAGATAATGCTTGGATTTTTCGCGGAGAAGAATGGCAGTGAAAAATCGGTCCGGTCTGATTGTATGAACAAGATTAATCTAGCAGTCTTAGAGAGTGCTGGGAACGAATCCGTCACACAAAAGATGAGCATTCGAAAGGGATGTAATAGATAGTTTGTCTTCCTGTGGCAATGCTGATTATCTATATCAATGTGGGAAAATTAAACTACTGATGACCGTAGATCAAATCAATGCTAACGTAAATTAAAGGGGATGGATCTTATTTTTTTCTTATTCTCTCTTCCGCTCGTGTGCCCATCGGAAAATAAACTTCTTGGAAGAACAGAATTAGCCAAGAACAATCGAGTTCTAGCATAATTTTATTTTTCTTAATGTTCCCTTGATTTTACCGGTCGCAATCCGTTTCCCCATCAATTAGGATTTCATTAAACCAGAAACTTGGAAGGATCTGCGCTTTAAAACTGCTCAAACGAACCATCTTTCTGCGGTTTCCCCCGATCCTCATGACTGAAAATGGCGTACAGAGGACAGTTCCGGCATTGGATTCGCAGTGAAAAAGTTGAAGCTCTTATGAATTACGCAGGTCAAAGATGATGGTGGCTCTCGGTAAGGCCATCCCTCAATGGCCTGTTTGATCTTCATCAGTGGCGGCTTTCGGTAAGATCCGTGCATGAGATGCGTGCGATCTTTCCACAACTGCCCATTTTACCTTTCACCGCTGATAAGATAAAGGCATCATTGGTGAATCTCTGTAAGATGTGAGAGCGTTATCTTCCCAGAATTGCCCTTGTCCAGCCGCTCAAACTGGTCACAAATCGGCAGGAGATCAAGCTCCGTTATCTTCCCCATCTCCTTCAGCTTATATATGACGAACTCGGATTTACTGCAGATGGGAGAAGAAAAAAGGGTTAGAAAAAAAACCACAGGGTTATTACCCATAAAAGACTTGGGAAAAGAAGTTCGATCTAAGTTTCTGTATCACTATTCCGTCTCCGTTAACGTTCCGCCGTTCTAGGGTTTTCTTGGAAGTGTTTTGATTGACGAATCTCTCAATTTCCGAAATCGGGCTTTGTAATCGCTTATGATCTGACAAGTCTACGCTTCTCCAGGTCAAATCTTATCTGGGTCAAGATCGATTAGTGAGAGGAGCGAGGAGGGGATTCCGACCTCAAGGAGCCGTTGTGGTCGATGTCGGCGGCGAGGAACTCCGCAGCGGTCATGTCCCGGCGGAGGACCCATTTGGCGATCCTCCGGTGCCTCTTGTCGATCCTCGCCTCGGCCAAGTAGAGGAAGGCCCGGGCAACGGCGAGCGTGGAAACCAGCAGCCATACGCACGCGAAGGCCCTTCCGGGTAGCGATCGGAAGGCTCGGTCGCCGTACCCCACCGTTGTGACGGACATAACCGCGAGGTAGAACGAGTCGAGCCACCCCAGCCGCTCGACGTGGTGCATCACGGCGGCGCCGCCGCCGACGCAGAGGAGGACGACTCCCAGCGCCGCCGCTACCTTCGTCCGTATCCTCATCCTTCCCTTCTTCACGTCCACCAGGTACGACGGCGCCGCCTTCCCTTCCTTGATGGCGCCGAGGAGGAGGCTTTCCTGGAGGTCGAGCACGTAGGAGACCATGCCGGAGAGGAGGACATCCACGAAGCCGAACCCCACGAGAACGAAGGCGACGGAGAAGATCTTGGTGGCGCTGCTCTGTGGGGTAATGTCCCCGTACCCAATGGTGCACATGGTGACGATGCAGAAGTAGACGGCGTCCACCACTGGGTGGGTCTCCTCGCCGGAGAAAGCCTCTCGGTTGAAGGTGAAGACGACGACTCCGAGGGCGAGGTAGACAGCGAGCAGAAGCACCGCCTGCCGGATAACGGGAGTCGACCCGGGCTTCATCTCCGGCGTGCGGTGGCCATGGAAAGCGCCGGCGTCGCTCACGGGGGCCATGGATGGCGCCGTGCGGCATCGGTGCAGCTTGGGCTTGTACCGACTCGCCGGCGGCGGCGCCGCCTGGTGCTCCGCGTGGGGGTCGCCGGCGGCGGGGTGGGGGCCGTAGATGAGGCGCTCCTTGAGTGAGGAGGGGGTGCCGGGGGAGCGACTGGAGAGATCGGCCTCCTCATCCTCCGGCAGCGGGCAGAGGACCGGAGGAGGAAGATTAGACGGCGGCGAGAGCCTCCTCCTCGACGACGGCGGGGCGGTGGTGGGGAGGAGCGGTTCTTCCATTCTGGCCAGAGGAACGATCTTCGGACGCCGGAGAGCTCGGAGGTCATGTCAAAGCCATCATGACGTGGGAGCGAGAGCGCGTCAACAGCCGCGTGCCGCTCGTCCATGAGGCCAGAAAAGGCAACGCTGGCCGCCTCCCTACGCTGTCCACCCGTGTTTGTATTTTATCGATAAAAATTTGTAAAAGAAGAGAGACTAATAGGGGGAGCCAGTCATTGACTAATTGTCGGTCAGACTTAATAGTCAACCCGACGTTTAACGACGGCTTGGCCACCCTATTTTTCTCATGGAAGAGATCGTGGGTGGAGTAGGTAAGTGAGAAGGAGGCAATCCGTGCGGAGCCCATCCCACCAAGTGAGCGTAGACCCAGTGGACGCCAAATTGACAGAATCGACAGGTTTTTATTTCCTTATCTTCTCTTGATAACTATCGTACCTATCAGAAAGTCAGACTTGTAGAACAAAGTCAATTACTCTCGTGCCTATCATTTCCCTTTTCCAAATTAATATGGGAATTTTTGGCATCATAAAAGTAATCAAAGTACCCATATGGGCATTTTTTTTCTGCCATTTTATTTGGTTTGGAATCTGAAAATGGGGTCTAGATGGCAAGTTCTAGAAAAGATTCACACAAAAAAGGTGAAGACCCAAGTAATTTCATTGCCCATTTGATCCTCTTCTATTAATTTCCAAAAGAGTATCAATGTTTTTTCTATGTAAGATCTTGATGTGTTATCCTTCCACAATTGACCATTTGATTTTCCTTTAGGTAAACAAGCAAGTAGTATCACTATTGGCCACGTCACAAAGTATTCATTAATATCTTCGATTCAATTTCCCTTCTCTAGCAGCTCAAATTGATCACAAGATTGGTAAGATGTTATTACCCTTCTCCAACTTATATAGAACTAATGTTAGATCAATGTGAATCCAATGTAGATTCAACGATCTCATGACATTTGCTAAATAGGCATTAAATTGTTCGAGATAAATGGCTGAGTGTAGGTTCATAATCATTTAATTATCATTTAAGACTTTTAACTTGAGCCACCTTTATTTTAGCTGGGTGTCAAACAATGTAGCATCTATTATTATTCTTATTAGTCCATGATTTACTATGTATCACTGAACAACAATAAAAAGAGCATTTCTACTGTGAATTGTTCCCCTAAACTCTTCAACTATCTTCATGTCCTTCCTTACTATTTTCTTTCTTATTGAAATTAGTGTTTGATAAAAGCAATCAATGGGATTCATAAAAGCATTAAGTTGCAGAAGACTTCATGTATAAAGGGAACTAAGAACTCCCTTAAGTTAAAGATATGAGCTCTCTACCCCTCCCCCGCTTCAACTTTGTCCTAATTTATTTTCTTAGCATTTTCTTCATTATTGAGATTAACGCTAACTTATAAAAAATCATGGGATTCATAAGAGCATTGACTTATAAAAGACTTCATGTAAAGAGGCAACTAGGAACTCTCTTAGGTTAAAAAGGGAGGACATAGCAAAATGTGAGCTATTCACCTCCTCTTCAACTTTGTCTTGATTTCTTTTCTTACTATTTTCTTCATTATTAAGATTAATGCTAACTTATAAAGAATCAATGGGATTCATAAGAGCATCAAGTTATAGAAAACTTCATTTAGAGAGAGAACTAAACCCTCTTAAGTTAAGCAGGAGGGCATATAGTAAGATATGAACTATTTTCTTCCTCTTCAGCTTTTTCTTGATTTATTTCCTTACCATTTCTTCATTATAATGCTTACTTATAAATAATCAATGGGATTCATAAGAACACTGACTTATAGAATACTTCATGTAAGGAGGGAACTGGGAACTAGGAACTCTATTAAGTTAAAGAGGGAGGACAAAGAAAAAAGTGATTTATTCCCCTCCTCTTCAATTTTGTCCTCATTTCTTTCCTTACTATTTTCATCATTATTGATATTAATCCTAAGATATATTAAATTAGTGGGATTCAAAAGAGCATTAATTTATAGAAAACTTCATGTAAAGAGGGAACTTGGGAATCACTTAAGTTAAAGAAGGATAGAGTAAATGTGAGTTATTCCCCTCCTCTTCAGCTTTGTCCTGATTTCTTTCCTTACTATTTTCTTCATTATTGATATTAATGCTAAGATATAAGCTTAGAGATGGGATTCATAAGAGCATTGAGTTATAGAAAACTTAATGTAAAGAGGGAACTAAACCCTCTTAAGTTAAAGAGGGAGGGCATATATTAAGATGTGAGCTATTCCCCTCTTCTTCAGCTTTTTTTTTGATTTCTTTGCTTAATATTTTCATCATTATTGACATTAATGTTAAGATATAAGTGATTAATAAGATTCATAATAGCATTGAGTTGCAGATGACTAGTATCATTATAGAGATTCATCATTATATTAATGAGATTCATAATAGTAAGATCTTACAGATGGGATGTTAGCTGTGTTGAACCTAGTATCAGCAGCAGAAACCTCGCTTTATGTATTTTTCTAAGCTCAAAATTGTGCATGTGAGACCTTGTTTGGTCACAATGAGCAACCCTTTGATCTTCCATAGATAAATGACCCATAGTTTCAGACTTCAGATTTTCTCACCATGTGAACTATGATCACAAATGGAATGCTAGGAGTTGTAGTCATGCTGCTTGACTAGCAGTAAATATCCATCTCATGAATCATCATCAGTAAATGACACATAGCCTTAGACTTTAGATTTTCTCATCATGTGAACTATCATTACATATGGGATGCTAGCAATTGTAGTATGCTAGCTAGAGATTGTAGTCATGCTACATGACTACTAACCAATGTAACCCCATATGATGGCTAATCTTTTCCATGAATTTGGGTATCAATGTACCCCACTGCACTACTACCGTGACTAGTAGTACAACATTGCTTTAAATGAGGGGTAAGGAAATCTTCTGAAAACTCTAGACTACTTCTTGACAATCAACTTGTGTAAGGAGGAGGAACTGGCATGAAAAGAATCATGAAAAAGTAATGAAATACTACTGAAATAGACTTTGAGAACATGATGCATGGAAATGATGTATCATGTTTGTTGGCACAAGTAGAGACCCATTTCTTTTTTTGACACAAAATGCCCTCATTAGTATTGGTATTGTGTGTTGACTTGGGAGTGCAACACCACCAAGCCACCTGAAAGTGAAAGCATCAAATGATGTTTAGGTAATAACGCTTCAATACGTGTGACTTGGAGGGTTTCCAAGTGAACGTAAATGCCTTAAAGTCGTCAATTTAAAAGTTAAAATATGTAAAAAATAAATTAAATTATTAAATCATTAGTTTCCCTCTTATACCACATTTTCCTCTGTTATTATCACAAAAATACGAGATAAATAGTAGGGGTTTCAGCAGAATATTAGCTATTATTTTCCTTTTTTTGAGATTGAGCCGTATTCTAAAAATTAGGTACTTGCCCGGCGTTTGGTAGTACCCAGTATCCACCCGAACCGGTCTGAACCGGGTCTGGGAGGAGAATTTCCGGCCCCATCCGGCCTTGTCATCCCTAGTCGCTCCCTACCCGCTCCAGTGAACCCTAACGTTTTCACCGAAAAAGAGACGCATCTAAAACCCTAGCTCTATCTTTCCATCGGCAGAGAAACATAGACTTTTCCCCGGCGGCACCGACCCTCCTCCGTCCACCCCGATGGCGGCCGTCGCCAGTCTTCGTGCCGACGGCGAACCCATGACGGCGGAAGCGGCGGCCATCGCTTCTCGCGTCGGTCGCGAGACTGTGGGGCGCGCCGTGGACTCCCTCCTCAAGTGGCTCCGCGCTCAGACGGCGGTGCGCAAGCCGCAGCTCCTGGAGCACGATGAGCCCCTCCGCCTTGTTCTCTCCCTCAGGAAGATCCCTGGAAAGGGGCGCACCAATCCATACCTGATCTCCCTGCCCCACCCGCTACACCAGCTATCCGGTCCCGGCGCCGCGGAAGTGTGCCTCATCACCGACGACCGCCCCTCCGCTCCCGCGACCCCTGCGGCGGCGGAGGAGAGGATCCGCGATGAAGGGATCCCCGTCTCCGAGGTCATCACTCTCTCTGGCCTCCGCGCGGATTACAAGGCGTACGAGGCTCGGCGAAAGCTCTGCGGCTCCTATGACATCTTCGTCGCCGACCGCCGTATTCTCCCGCTGCTCCCCAGGTTAATCGGCAACCAGTTCTTTAAGAAGAAGAAGCAGCCTCTCCCCGTGGACCTCTCCAGGAAGGGATGGCCGGAGCAACTCCGGCGGTGCCTGGCTTCGGCCACGCTGTATATCCGCACCGGCACCTGCTGTCAGCTGGATGTCGGAAGGGCATCTCAAGGCAGGGAGGAGATCATCGACAATGTGATTGCCGCCATCGAGGGCTCTCTACCCTACATTCCCCGTAAATGGGACAATATCAGGTCGATACACCTCAAGTTCGATGAATCAGTCGCTCTGCCCATCTACCGCGCACTGCCTGAAATGGGCTTCAAGATTGAAACCTACCAGAAGCCATTAGTCAAGGGTGCCGGGGAAGAGGATTTTGCTAAGAAAGATGGGATGAAGAAGAAGAAGAAGAAGAGAGAATCGGAGACTAAGGAAATGGGGGGCGAGCAAGGACGTCGCAGGAAGGGCAGTATTCACCAAGTGCGCTACATGGACACCAGCCTCAGTGATGCCGAGCTCGTGTCTGAGCAGGTCAACGACGATGGGGATATTACCAGAGAAGCAGATGAGGAATCAGATGGAGAGAAGAAGGTTTCAAAGAAGAGGAAGAAAGAGGCCAGAATAGGGAAGCCTGAGGAAGTCCCTGATGTCGATGGGGTGAAGAAGAGGAAGAATAAGGACAGGAAGTCAGATGAAGGTCTACAAAGCGACCTGGAGAAAGATGCTGAGGTCAATGGAGGGAAGAAGAGGACAACCAAAGGCAAGAAATTGGATGTCGACTCCACAAAGGCCAAGACTAAGCTGAAGAGGAAGGTTAGACAAAACCTTTGATGGACCGAATTCTGGAGAACCGACGGCTTCCTCAGTAAACCTAGATGAAATTCTCTCACAGATTTTGTTCTGCCTACGGGTTATTAGCTACATGTGGCTTCTCCATAATATGTTTCTGCTGATTTACTAAACATTTATGTTCTCATGAAGAGGGTTATTCTATTTTTTCACTCTCCCCACTGAGCATTGCATGATGAATGGTAAGCCTTTTCCCCCCTTTGATGCAAGCTGAGTGGTTGATTCGATTTCCCTTTTTTTGCTTGATAATCGTGGCTGAGTCAAACCACAATATCTGTTTTACATTCCATATTTCCTTAAATACTTCATTTCTTTTCTGGGCAGCAGTTGATAGATTCCCTTTCAATGCTTTACTTCTAGTCAGCGAGGTTAGGAATCTGATTGGCTTTCACAGAGAAAATTTGCTTACTTTCTGTGGTAGTTTTCTGTAGTCTGCTTCAGTTTGGTGGATGATTGTAAAAAGAGTCGTATTTTAGGTGAAATGGAGCTCAGAGGCCGCGAAGAACATTTGGTAATTATAATGTGATTAAAATAACCAGGAAAAGCAAAGGAGGTGCAGCTTCTTGGCAATCTGATGGTTCTTATACAGGGGAAGAAATGTGATCCGTCTAAGCAGAACTCTGTGTAGAGTGGAAAAGAGGAAACTGCACCATTTTATGGTGAGTTTTATAGGAGAGTAGAAAGTTCTTCTTGGAAGCCAAAAGTGGAAGGTTGGGCATTACTCGTTGTTATAAGACCATATCAGATCATGGGATCTCATTGAACTCGTGCATCTATTTCCTTACCAAGAAGAAAATCCATGGAGATATAGAGGATAATTCGTGCGTTGGACTTTACCCATCGAAGATCATATTATCCTTAGGACTTGTGCATGTGGTTTCTTATTGAAGCAAAAATCATTGAAATATTTCGACAGAATTCGTTTGATGAACTCTGTTCATCGCCAGAGGATCATAAAATCTCTTTGAACTAGGTGTGTGTGTGTGTGTATGCTTTCTTCTGAAGAAAGAAAATTCGTGTAAATACTCAAAAAGAATTCAGACGTTATAAAAATTATTCAGTGTTGCAAAATCAGCTCATCTCATAGGGACGTGGCAAAGCTTGGGAAAAATCACATGCTGAAGCTTATTCATCCCTAGATGTTCTTATGTTGGACTTTACTCAATGATGGAAGATCACGGTATCTCTCCTAGAGCTCCTCTGTGTGTGCGCTCTCTTTTGAAAAGAGAAGCCACGGAAATATTTAGACTGGCTTCTGGTTCATTTTATGGCTGACCCACCATTTTATTTCATCATCCCATTTAAAAAAAATCCTCATCTGTTCATCAATGTTTTTTTATTTTTTTAATCGATTTCCATAATCAGTTATTCATTTCCCCCGTCCTAATCTCTCTGGGGGCTTTTATTTTCTCGATATTTTTATTTTATATTTTTTTTTATCAAGGGTGCTGAATTTCCACCATGTATATTCTTCACTCGGCTCATTCATCGTCTGATGCCCTTCCTCATGTGAAAGCCTCAGTAGCTTTTTCAGACCCGCTGGTTTGATATATTTATGCCGGGCATTAATATATTGGAGCTAATTACTCTGTGATTACTTTAACTTATCCAAATGCATTTTAAAGCATTTAATTTAAATTATCCAATAATGAGAAAAACGAAAACTCCCATTTATAGGGATAATGATTCCATAATAATAAATGCACCCTTTGCTGCGTAAGTATATGTAAATTATTATGAACAAAATAATGCCTAACATAAGCGTATATTCTTAGAAAAAAAATTATTAATCCTCAAATAATCTCTTCCCTTTGATTTAATAAAATAAATTCGGTTATCTCCAACAGCTGAGTTGGTTGGCATTTTTGGTGATAAAAATGAACAACAAATGAACATCAAAATAGGAACCCTAAAAAGGGAGGGTATTTTAAAAACCTTCCCCAAAATAAGTTGAAAATTATAAAATTAGAAAATATATTTCGATGTAAAATTAGTAGCTTCATGTGGCGGCGAAGTCCCGGCGGTGATCTGCTGAAATAAGACAAACGTTGATTCAAACAATTGGAGGACGTCATTGTGGGCCATTTCTTAATGGGCCACCTGTACCTAGTGATATAGTATTGGGTTGGTTCAAGGCCTGCTTTTGGTCTGGGCCCTGAGAAAGGGACTCTCTCTCTCTCTCTCTCTCTCTCTCTCGCTGACAATACCCCCGCGCGCGCGTGATTCTTTCTGTTGGGTACAGGAAGCCACCGTGGTTGGGAAGGAAACCGGCGGCAGAGCGTGATCACTGTCAATGTGCCCCATCCAGGCAGGGCTTTCGTCTTCTTTGAGCCCCCGCGGCTGCTCCTTGCGTGCGGGAGAAGAAGGTTTGCTAGTTCTCCTTCCTCTGCCAGGTTTTGGATTCTTTCTGCTGCATGGTTGACGTTTCCGACGGGGAAAGGGTTTGGGGGCATTGTGTGTCCTCTCCATTATCATTCCGGTGTCGTTGTAAAACTGGGATGTAGATCTCCTGATCTCGTTTGGCTGCTCTGCTGCGTGATTTTTCAAACCGGGAAATATTCTTGTGGAGGACGCCATTTAGGGCCCCTGAGCTCTCTTTTTTGCTCTTCTTCGTGTCGATCACTGGTAAAATCTTAACTGAATATTTCCCGGTTTGAATTTTTCCTTCTCAGTGACGAGGCTGAGTTGTGTTTGCTAAAGGTCATCCCAGGTTTAGAGTCTTTCAGATGTGTCTGTGATCAGTTCGTTCCTGGAAGCAGCCATGGTAAGTTCTTAAGAGCCTCACGTTATGTGAGTAATATTTGTCATGTTCTTCTTCTGTATGCAATAGGATGTAAGGATTTTTTCTTCATGTAAAGCAATTCTACTCCGACTAGGTGCTCCACTTCAGTCCATGAGCATGATTAAACTCCATGTCGCTACCGGAATTAACTATTCATGTCGTAGAAATATTTCATAAGGTTCTTTGGGAGTGGATTTCTTTCTAAGGCGATCATTTCATGCTCACATTCTTATTTTTCTTTCTTTTTCAACTCAGACATTACGTCTGCCTTGTCATTTTATCACCAACCAGTGTTGTGTGATCCTTTTTTTCTCTCTTCGTTTATGCCGATTCAAAAATGTAATGTACATATTTCTGTTTATACTTGACTTTTGTCTGTTTCAATGTTTATTCTGTTCTTGTTCCTTATTTTGTTGAAAATTTCCTGTTCGCTTGTTTCAGAATTACATTGTCGGAGCTTTCAAGTCCCCATGCGACATTTCAATTACATTCTCCGATGGTAAAACCCGAAAGAAGGTATTCAAGTCTGTATATGTTGTGTTGAGATGCCATCTATTATGTCTGATTTCATTTCCACGTTCTCGTTATATGTCCACTTTGGTTTAAAAGAAGGTAATGTTAATTAGATAAATTTGGTGCAACGTATGTTGTCATTCATTAGAACCCAACCGTGAATTGGAGCCCATTGTATTTCAAGGATAGTCCTTGATGAAAGGATCGAGATACATCATCCTCACCCATAACCCTGAAGTCTGTACTGGGCATTATCAATTAGATAAGTTTGGTTCAACGTATATTGTCATTTATAGAACCCAACCCTGAATCGGAGCCCATTGTATTTCAAGGATAGACCTCGATGAAATGATTGAGATATATCATCCTCACCCATAACCCTGATTTATTCTCCAAAGTTGACCGTCATCTCCTGAATATGTTGAATATCATTGAATTTCACTTTGTCCGAGTCAAAAGCATCTCCACCGCATTCTACTGGTGTCTTGGACTCGTTCAGACCAACACTACTCTAGCTTTTATGAGTGGATCACTCATTTGAAACCAAAACATTCCCTTTGAGAGTCATTGACCACATGCAACTCGACTGATCCCTGTCCATACGAGGATGTGAATCTCGAAATTGTAGCTTGCCAATTGGGTTTGTTGTCATACTCTGGTTTCTATGCTACCTTTTTTGTTCTCCCTTTTCATGGTTTCTGGTGCTGGATATTGACATGGTGTTTATTGAAGAAGATAGAGATGAAAGTAAAAGGTTATCTTCTTTGTGACATCTTCTATCACAATTGTGAAATATGGAGGAAAATTTAGCTTATTAGCCTTGCATTATTCATCTTCCCCACAACAGAAAAAGTGTGTGAAATGCAGTCTGCACATTATCAATTGGACTGGCAGAGATTCTTTTTCATTGATTTGTGGGAAGTATCTTTTGTCTTAGTGCGAGGAGAGTTTAAAACTGGGTCCCATTACACTATTACTGTAGGAAAAGATGGAAAATAAAAGAAAAGGGCTGAATTAGTCGTCTTTTTTTAAAAAGACGCATTCTATCTTATTTTATGCATTGCACCTTTTTGTATTTGTGATCTGGAATGTTAACTTTTGTGGTGATCCTACATTTGCCCATCTGAAACCTTAAGTTGTTTTTTGAGTTTTCTGATCTTGTGTTTTGAAGGTGTCTGTGAAGGACAATGGTCAAACAAGAATGGTGCCTTTATTTCAAAGTCAAGAGAACATTCGTGGTGAGGTACTATGATTAACATATTTTCTTGGCAGCAATGTGGTTAGACCGAGCTCTCAAATCCTGTTTGGGAGCAATATGTAAGGGCTTTTATTCTTTTATGACGCAGGTTTCAGTTGAGCCCCTACAGGGGAAGAAGTTTGAACACATAGGAGTTAAAATTGAGCTTCTTGGTCAAATTGGTGAGAAAATAAGTTTTCTGTTCTATCATACATGGTACATTCTCTCCCAGTGCATGTCCTATCCCTCTCTATGGTGACCTTTTTTTTATAATATATTAAAGAATTTATATCGAACTCGCTGAAGTTTGACTTCCCAATACTGGCTGTTCGCTCTTCTTTAATTGGATCAAGCATATTCTATGGTGTTTTTCTGCAAAGAGACTGCTTCATTATCCAGATATTTGTATACTTTTTCTTTCAAGTCCGAAATTTTGCAGTAATATCATGAAGGATGATGCATTTCTAAATGCCTCAGATCTTGTCATTTGTATTGATATACAGTGCGACATGGCACTCGTTGTCTGGTCATGTTCCAGCTTCACCTTTTGAATTAGCCTTTTCTATTTCAGTATTGCTCCCTGGGCAGTGTTCTTATAATCAGTTGGCACACTAGTAGACTAAAATGATTCAGCTACTATGTTCTGCCTGATGTTCCCTTTGAATGCCCATTTTTCTTTGTTCTGTAAATTTTGTGGTTTTTGTTATATTTCCTGTGAATTGTGTTTGTAAGAATTGAACCAGTTCAAGTCATGTATCACACAGGTAAATACTAACTCTTTCATTAATTTAATTAATGCAGAGCTCTATGTTGACAGAGGCAACTTTTATGACTTCACATCACTCGGTAAGTTAGAAATTTTGTGTCCTATCTCTATGTGTATCATCCACTTTCCCCTAGCTTCCTCAATCTCGATAAAGTTGGAGTGAAATCTGAAGATGTAGTGGCTTTATCTTGATCAGTTTCATATGCCATTCCCTTGCTGTCCTTTTACGCTGGTCTATGTTCTCCTGTTTGTCATTCATATTTCATGATTTTTCTCATATGTTCTTCGTAATTTAGGAAAAAAGAAGAAAGTGGAAACAGGGGCTTTATTAAATTCTTATCATATTGAATGTGAAAGAAGTATAGAAACAGAGAAAAGTAAAGAAAAAGAGGGGAGTGTATAAGTGGAAATCAGTAGAGAGGTAATTAGCCTGCAGTAGTTTACCATTTGTCACTGTGGATTGTTAACAGCAGTTTACCGAATGATACTCCTATCTGTTGTCCTGGTTTCTCCTCCTGACTGCTTCCTCCCTTTCAGTTTGATTGTCTGACCTTCAGGCTGTTCTTCCTGCCATGTAGTTCTGTTTGTGCCATGCTAGGGGCCTCCACGAGTTGATCATTTCCCCATTTCCCATGTAACCAGCTCCTGCTGTTTGACATGTTTTGGCTTGCATCATATAATTCTGGTCCTCATCATATGGTTTTCATTAATTTAAAATTTAATATTTTGATCTCAGTGCCCTTTTTATCTCCATCTCGTCTATGGTGTTGTAGTTTCCCCATGCTTTGGGCATCAACAGGAAATACCGTTTGTACATACAAGATACCAATACTGAGGAAAGCACTAGGGAAACCATGAGTTCACCAGATAATCTTTTACCAGAATATTGTACCTTGCACATCTTAACGGGGAATTTTTTCTTTGGTGGAATTTCTGTCCTTTTCTATTCACAGTTATGTATGCATTATTAATTAAGAAATAAATTCAATGTCATATTATTTCTATCTTATGTGCATCAGTACATGTGCCTGTGTGTATACACATCAGCTTGGCGTCGTGATAATATTTGATTTTTTTATTTCTCACTGAAGGCATAATTTGATTTCTTATTTTGCAGTGCGTGAATTGGATGTACCTGGTGAAATACATGAACGAAAGACATACCCATTTGAGTTCTCTACCGTTGAGATGCCCTATGAGTCTTACAATGGCGTGAATGTTCGACTTAGGTAGGACAATGAATATCTTATGCTAAAAAACCGAGAAATATAAGCCCTAATGCGAAGTTTATTACAGATTGTGCATAATTTTTAGGTCTGAAAAACTCTTGCATAACCTGTCATTCTATCAGACAGCATATATACTGCTTGGCACGTTAACTACCTCTACATCAAGGTTGCTCTCGTGTGTCTGTGAATTTACCCCATGGATCCATCACCTTGGTCTCATCGTGGCTTAATTTTTGTGATTCACAGCCTTAATGGAAAATTCAAGTGAACATTGACTGGCTCCAAGTCTCTCCCAGTCTGTTCATGACCAAACGTTCTTGAGTTACTGGTGGTTGAACAAAGATGAGAACTAAAATTTATGAGCTATCTGTTGGATTTTATAATGAACATAATGCTGTCATGCAAAATGATAAGCTCGCGTTTCCAAAACATATGATACCCTTATGCTTTGGCTAGGATTAAATAATGGGAAAAAGCCTCCTGAAAAAGTGTTATTGTTTCCTCAATGCTACCACAAATGTAAGTTCTGATAAATTATGCCACTAGTTTGATTGAAATTTTTTAGTCTTTGTAGTTTGTTCTCGTTGAATTTTTTATCCTTTTAATCATCAAAGGATGTGGAGTTTGTGATTGTAGTTTTCATAATCTCTACTTTATATGTTTTATCTTTTGTTTGTGCCCTTTCTTGTGACCTACGACATGGGTTGTTTAGTGGCATCTGGTGGAAAGTGCATGAAGCTAACCAACGAAACGAAAGGGAGTTTGATATCTTTTCATCCCAGATTTTCATTATATCATTTTCCAGCCAGATACCACCATTGAACTTCCAATTAAAATTCCTATTGCATCCTTTTTCGAATCCACTTTCCCTACTGTTGGGCCTGTGGCACCTTGTCACATAATCTGAGAGCTCTTAATATAGGCATATGAAGTGTCACCATAGATATCATGTGGTGTGATTGAAATTATAAACATCTGCTTCACAGTGATGCATTGGTACTTCCCCAGAATATCATTGGATTGGGCTTTTGTTGAAACATTTTTGTCATTCAACTCGGTAATCTTGAAGAATTGCGTTCGCTCAAATCTTGTCGTTTTATTCTTGTATTTTGTCAGAAAATTAAATCATCGGTCCTCGTTTTAAGTTCTTCATTTTCTGCTACTGATGGTTGGACTGTTGATTGAGAAAAGGAGAGTTGGTCCTTGTTTCACAGTCTTCCAGCACTTCCTTCCGCAGCTTTTGGCCTGAAGTGCCATTTCCTGAGTTGGCTGCAGTCTATTATCCTTCCATCATTGTGCTGAAGACTAGGTTGGGTAGAGCATGGGGATTGAAAGGATGGACATTTAATAGTCTCTTTTGACCTCGCTAGAAGTGCTAATACTTTATCTTTTCAATACAAGTATTTAAACGTTGCCATAAGTTAAAATTTTCCATCTGATTTCTTTTACTCTTTTTACTGAAGCAGGAGTTTGTTGCATTGTGTTTTTTGATAATACATATGAGTTGGACCAATTTAGCCCTGTATCAGCTAAAGTGGAGATCATTGACCTCTTTCTCTGATCCTACCATGCGGTGGCTGACTCGACCAGTTCCTATGTAGATGGAGGCCACAGAGGTCAGGAACTTTCAACTTACTGTGCTGGCCATGTTGGCAACCATGATGGGAATATTAATATTCATTGGAGCTCATTGCACATTTAATCAATTTTGGACGGCACAATTAGAGGTTCAATAGCAGTAGAAATACTTACAACCGCATGATGAGGTAGCAAGATTGACTCTTCAAGGATTTAGAGAACGTGAAGCGACATCCGATCTATATTTTGTGTGTTGCCTTTTTATACAATTTCTCAAAGCTTTTGTTTAAATGCTGAACAGTGTTATTTCAGAGGATAAATGTGGATGTTTGGCTATGAGAATGCATGTGACATTTTGACCTGGAAACTTAAATTTTGAACTTGCAGGTACATTTTGAAGGTTACTGTTAGTCGTAATTATTCGACCAAGATTGTGGACTGCCAGGATTTACTGGTAAGTCATTCTATTTCTTCTGGAATATTTATTTGTCCATAAAACTCTTTTAAAAAAGGTTGTCCGTGACATCCTAAAATTAGCATAGCTGAAGAGACTTTCATTTCTGGTCTCGGTATTCCCCTAAAAGATCCGTGTACTAAGAATTAGCTATCTATTGCATGATTGTAAAGTCTTCGCTACTCACTCATTGCCCTGAAATGAAAGAGCAATACCCTTCTTCCTCATCATGGAAAATCGTTGTGTGGTTTCTCCTATCGCAAATATAGGTGGCGCACTTTTGCCAAGTAGCTTTGTCTCCTCAAAATCCGACCATTCCATGTCCTTTCTGATTGTCCAAATAATTCCATGCTTTGTGATCACCTTTAATGGCCCAGTATTGGTGTCGAATTGTTCATAATAAATATTCTAATTTGTAGATCTGTTGGATGAACGAGATTGACAAATGAACTAGGGACTCTTCCAACATATCATCGATAAAAAGAGCAAACTGATCACAGATAGAGTCTCTTTTATGAGGTCTTTCAAATTAGAATCTTTACATTCAAAGAGCAACTCGATCCCCTAATTACTTGGGGTCATGTGATAGCATTTGATACTTGTTATGATGGATATATCACTGCCTAATTTGAAAATTTGCTGCCTGTAGGCTGTATGAGTTAGATTTAATTCTGTCTAGCTTATTAAAGTGCCCTTCGAAGTATGATCCATATTTCTGATTGTTGTATGCCAGTAGCATATCTGATAAACCTTATTAAAATGCCCTTCGAACTTTTAGTCAATCTGCACACCAAAACTATGTCCTACTAGACTCTTTATAAAGGCCTGATAAATCAGAAATTTCCTAATTGTTTATGTTTTGCACGGTTACACCATGCGGTGGCGTGCACTACTGAAATAGTCTTTAATGAGCTGGTCCTACACTTCACCACTAAATTGGTCAAGTGGCGTGCAACATAGAATGGATAAATTAAGGGTGCTTAGAGAAAATTAAACATAAGAAAAGTTTAGTTCAGAAGTGAATTTAGAAAACGAATGTTATCACATGTTTTTGTTTAATAGTATATTGTGTGGACGAGCAAAATTCCTTTACTGTTTCCTAAATATATGTGGATGGCTTTTTCTTTGTGTGAGCATAACCTATTTATCCTTTTCTTCCTTTTCCTAGGATTGACTGATTGTTCTGTGACCACTTGTCATTAAAGTAATCCAAGTCATAACAGGGATTGACGATGAGCATTTTTTGTTGTCATTTTGAAATCTTTGGTACTTGTCAGCTTCGAATTCTTGTGATAAGTCTTCTAGTAAGTAGTTAATGGTTGATGCCTCTTTTATAGATTATGGAGTCGTTAGGTCTGGTAATACTTTAATATGTTTTCTTTGCAGGTTATGTCAGATATTTTGCAGTTGGTGATTAACATTACCGATTTCTATCTCAGTAGTTTCACCTGTTAAGTATATTCTATCGTGGATATTTTTGCAAGTGGTAATTAACATTTCTGGTTTCCATCTTTAGTAACTGCACTTGAGTCACATTCAAAATTAAGTTTTTTACAAATACGACAAATATTATGACTAAGATTACTAAAGTAAATTGCCACCGTCATTAAACCAAATTTTGATGTTCCTGGAACATGACGTGTAGGGATGCACATGATATCATGATCTGTTTTCTCCCGCACACTGAAATATTTTCCCTTTTTGTACGGTGTTGGAAGTTAGTGTGGGAACTCCATTTAATGATGTTACGCTGTTCAGCCAATTTGTCTCTTTGTGCTGGTTTAGTGATGATACTCATATATTATTCATTATTAAAAATCATTTCAGAGAATTTTCTAAATTCCTGGCACTTTTCCCAGTTATCATGCCTGATTTCTTTTAATTTCTTCTGATCAGGTCCGCAACTACACCCCACTTCCAGCAATTAACAACAGCATCAAGGTTAGTTAATTAGTCTAGGTCTATGGAAGTCTGTTCAACCAAATATTTCAATGCAAATTTTATTGTTTTTTAATCTAATCGTGAGCTAGTTGAGATTCAAATCTCATTTCCCGTGCATAATCCTGTCCTGTAATGACAAAAATCTACCGATGCTTTTCTAATATGTGTCAAGTAGGCAACATAAATTATTTATGCAGACTATTTAATTCTTGATAATAATGCTGATTCTGGCTGTTGATAAAGATTCTTGTGGTTAATTCCACAGATGGAAGTGGGTATTGAAGATTGCCTGCACATTGAGTTTGAATATAATAAAAGCAAGTAAGGTTAACTAGTATGGTACTTTTCTCTTTTATGGTGTTAGTCTTGGCTGCTGTTTTTTCTAACTTGATCTTAACTCGTGCAGGTATCATCTAAAAGATGTTATAATCGGAAAAATATACTTTTTTCTTGTAAGAATCAAACTAAAAGATATGGAACTTGAGATTAGACGTAGGGAATCCACGGGATCTGGGTCTAATACGTATGTTGAGACAGAGACACTCGCAAAGTTTGAGCTGATGGATGGTGCTCCTGTAAGAGGTATTTGGCCCAAAATTTTCTGTTAGTAGATAATACTAGTTAATATTCTCAGTCTATGTTCTAACGCATAATTGTCCTTAAAGATGCTGTATATTTGAATAAACCCATTACTCTTTAGATTTTCTAACTATGAAACTTTGCGTTTGTCAAATGCTTCTGGATGGAGAAAATTGGCATATTCTTGAACCAACTGCACAATGAAGCTAGCATTGAGAACAATGTGAATCATGAGTGCATAGATGTTTTCCATGATGATATAAGTACTACAATAGGACTAGATGGATAGATGTTCTATAGGTTAGTGACATAATGAAGGTAGGCGCTGACACTTACGAAGGGCATAAGAAAGCCTATTTTGTGGGGCAGTTGGAGTGGAACTTCACCGCCTGAGGACTGGTTTCGTTTTTATATGGGAAATATGAATGAGTCATTGGAGAATCTATTCATCAAATGTGTAGTATCGAGCAATTCTGTTGAAGTTATTGTGGATGTATGACCTCTATGTCAGAATCCCCGGTATAGTGGATTAGGTATAGGCATACTATCGTCAATGGGGGCTACTTAAATGGGATAGAAACGAACAGTAGCTCGTAATTCATGCAACCCGTTAAATGAAGGAATGTGAAGACAAATCACACATTCACAGGGCAAAGCTCTTCAGTGTCTAACTACTAGCAATTGGGATATAGCGACTAAATAGGCTGAGACATAACCGGTGGGAAAATGAGCTCATTCATCTTGGAAGGGTTGTTTACCGTTTATAAGCCTTTCCTACTATACTAGTTCCATTTAATATTTTGTAAATGTGGGTCTTTTTCGGATGATTTCATCATTCTGTGGTGAAACTGCTCAAGATTTAGAAGGAACTAATTAATGATTTAGATTTAACTAGGTCTACTTATCGAACTTTCGCTTGCCAATATCAGAGTGGGATTCCATTAGTGCAACCTACCTCAGTATTGGTGGAGTGGCCACCATGTGGGATATCAGCTCTTGGGAGTCCCACCTCATTTAAAAGCGATGATCCTGATGTGTCCAATTTCACCGAGACTCGCGCTTACGACCACCTATGGTGATATTTTTATGAGAAGCGTCAACTCACCTATTCCTTGAGGGTTCCTTGTCATTTAAAATCTGTCGGAGATTCTTCATTGCAGAAAAAAGCTAGATGATGATTTCAAACATTTTTTGATGAGGTGAAAAGACTGGGTGTCTAGACGTAACATTTGTATCATTTAGCCAATACAATTGATGAACTTTTCCTCAAGGGGAAGTTGTGGATTAGAGTGTTTTATAACATTTGATTCCATTTTTGGAGTTAATTATATAAACACTTTTATGTCTGTGCATAACTAATATACGAAAGATGAATTCGTTGTGGTACCCATTTTTGAAATTAAAAATTCCACATGGTGGGGTCAAAACTTGCCTGATTACTGGTTGCAAAAAGGATTTTTTCCCCACCAAGTATTTTTGGCTGCATTCAACATATGAGCTATCTTTCTAAGTTTGGAATAATTTCATGGGCCAAGTTTGATGTAATATTACAAGAATGAAAAGATGAAGCATTCTTGAAGAACTGATCACATCACAACCATCACTTGACACCAGTATACCACCCATTTCCCTAATAAACTTAGGAGAACCAGATCTAGTAACGATTTTGAAGTGCAATATCTTTCTGTTCCAGGGGAACTTCTTTCTGCGGCTTAAAAGCTAGGGCTTGTGGTTCGTTATCAGTACCTGTTTTAGAGCGCTCCGTCCCTCCACATAAGGAACTGCATCATTCCTATACCTTTAATGGCATCTTTGATGCTAATTTCGCAAAATTTTAAATCAAGGGTTTGCAGAAATAGAGGGATGGGATGGGTTAGTGTTAATCAGAAAGGGAGGAGAAAACCACATGGGCTGTGATTGTAAGAAGCAAATGGTAGAAAATGGCCCTTGTCTTCTCCCCTTAGCACCTTCTCATTCTTAATTTTTTATATTACTTATGGTTTCCTTGGGCGGAGGTTTAGTCTGTCAAAGCGTCAACAGATTTTCCTGGTATTGGGGAATCACAACATGCTCTAAATTGAGACGTACTCCACCATACTTGATCATACTCTACCATGGGCAGAACCAAGAAAAGCTTCAACTCAGTTCCTTGTTCAGATAATTGAAAGAAGATGTTAATGGAAATCGATTTCCTTCTGTGGAATTCCCTTCTGGCACCCTACAAAGCTAGAAATATAGAATACTTTTAAATATATATGTGCTAGGTTCATTCGGCTTTCATTTGAATGAACATATTTTACAATATTCACCTTCTCCTCCACTTAAAGATATATTTTGTTTTCAACGTTGCAGGAGAATCAATCCCGATTAGGTTATTTTTGAGCCCGTATGACTTGACACCAACATATCGCAACACCAACAACAAGTTTAGTGTGAAGTATTTCTTGAACCTTGTCCTCGTGGATGAAGAGAACCGGCGCTACTTCAAGCAGCAGGAGATCACAATGTACCGCCTTTTAGAGGGCTCCTGAAGCTAACACAGCCCCGCCCCGCCCCGCCCCGCCCCTGTGGCACATTTGCTTCCCTTTCTTAAGAACGAGCTGGAAATAAATGCACAGGCCGTCGCATGATTAATCATCTCCTCTCTTCTCTCTCCATTCTGTTCCTGGTGTCTGGTTACTGTGATAGTTTTTTGAGTGTTCTACATGTTAGGCACGCTTACCTCTGATCGCAGTGTACCATTGAAGAAGTTGCCTTCCTGTGGACAAGCCGTCCTCAGGTCAATTTGTCCTACATTCTTCCCAGTTGGTTTCTTTCACCTTTCCTCATCTCTGTAGTCCACGACATTTGATTAGAAATAGACCTTATCATTGTTCGTAGATTTCGTTGTAGTAGTAATATTAGTGGTGCTGGTGGGAGTTCTAGCGGTAATATGGTGGTATTGGTGGCCGTATTTAAACTATTCATCGAGGCCTATATTGAACTCTTTTCTTTCTCTTTATTTTATTTCTTATGCGATAGTTCTAGTTAGAATTTCCAGCCAAAGAGAGAGACATAGAGAGAGGGAGAGAGGTGGAGAGAGAGAGAAATATAGCTTCTTATTTTGAGTTTTAATGCGAAAAAAGCCCATATGAAGATACCAATTTTGCGTAAGTTTCATTTTTATGGTAAACATAAGAATTGACCTCTACTAGTATTTCTTTTCTTCAATAAGGTGAAGCAGTCCCAAAAGGTAATGTTCTAAAGATTTAAATAGAATTTAGCATATGCTTTCATATGCCTTCATATGGTGGGTAATAATGTAAGTAGAGCCATTTTAACCTAGGACTCTATTTGTTCATTCTCAACCACATTATAATCCTGCATATGATTGAAGGTATAATGATGATGATGATGATGATGATGATGATGCTCTTGGTTTATGTGGATCACCATACTTTGCACTGCACCTCAGGGTAGTGAGAATGAGTCACTTAGGGATTTACCCAAACATATATGACATTTTGTGCATCAATTAAAAACTTAGGGAAGAGAGTTTTCCTCAATAGGGCTTTTGATGCATGATAAAATAAAAGATCCCTTTAATATGATATGTAAACTTGTAGATTTGTACACTTGAGATGATCAATTATAATTGATTGAGATGAGAGCTCTAGGAGAAGGGAGTGAGGACTCCTTTTCAGGATTCAAAATGATTATAACCAAATAAAATATGAATTATGATTAAGAAACAATGAAATTCCATTATGTCAGTGAAATGGCTGATCTACATGGAATCAAAATTGGTTATGAGAGATGCCTCAGTTCTAGACGTGCCTTTAAGTACAAATATTTATGGTTCAGTTTGTGTATAAATTTTTCACGAAAACCACAAAAGCTAAATCAATTTGGTCTAATTTCACTCCATACACAGATACTTATTTCTCTTTGAGTAAGAAAAATTAAGTTTTGCCCCCATTTCATATCTTGTTGACTTATTGATGTACTTGTAAGCCACTATCTTAGTCAGTTGGGCCATCCTCTTCACAAACACAACTAAAGTAAATTAGCATGTACTTCTTTGCTTCATGTAATCTAACTTGCTCCCCTTTTTTCATGACTGGAGTAGCTCTAACACCTCATATCTGGTCATTAATATTAACTTTTATATAATATGCATTGTGTGACTCTTTTTTGCTAAATTTTACAAACTTATCACAGCTCAAACAGTATAGCATATCAGTGTATGGTAGCCCCAATTAACCATGCTAATACTTTAAGAGTTTCTATCTCCAATAAAGATCAAGATGCATAGAGAAATGTGCAGTCTATTACTTGCACACTATGCATCATTACCATGATCTTTGATTATAAAAGGTATTCTCCTTTTCATGTATGTCCATATGTATATTTCACAAGTATTTACAATGCTCACACAATAAAATTAATGGCGCATGAGATTAGAACTTGCATCTGCAAGGAAATTGCCTCAAATTGTGCTATTGAAAGGTATTAGAAATCCTTTCATCAGAAATATAACTTCCAAGGTCAAATCTTGATGCATCAATGATTAACTCTTCACAAGTCAATGGCAATAATTCCTAAAATCAAGTGGTAAGATGTACATCGCATATAAATCAATCAATAAATGCCATGTAACATTGAGCGTTTCATAACACAGCACTCAGTACATCAGTAGGTTTTTACGGTACTTTTGAGTGATAACCAATGCCTCCTACCTGACTTGCACTGGTCACTATATATATATGTGTGTGTGTATATATATATATATAGTGAGAGAGAGAGAGAGAGAGAGAATACAGGCAAAATGCCGTGCAAATAGGAACAACTTACTTGGTGGGCAAGAGAAAAAGAAGAAAAGAACAGCAAAAACGAAAATCAATTTGACTAATGTGCATGGTGAATCAGTGGATTATTGTGTGCTAAGAAATCCCAATAGCCAGGCCTTTAAACAGGCTGAATAAAAGGTTTTCAAGGAACCAAATCTCAAGACCTTAAGAAAACCAACCTACGGAACAAGTGTCAGAACACCAATCTCCAGAAAGGCCATCTTGGAATGACTGGGAAATAAGATCGAACTACTCACTCATCTCTCTATAATGTGCAGACATTTAGAAACTTGGTTATGATGATATCGAACATGTTATGTCACTTCAAACATGACCATGGTTTTGAAGGGTGTATCAGATGCTCAACTTTGTGATGTCAACATGGCTACAACCAGAGAGAGACATTGATCTACAGTGTTTCATTTCAGAATAGACTTCTCCACGAAGCCCTAGAAAGAGAGAGAGAGAGAGAGAGAGAGAGAGAGAGAGAGAGAGAGAGAGAGAGAGAGAGAGAGTACTGAAGAGGCCATTGCACAGTTAAATGAGAAGCATGCACTAAATAAAAGGAAGAACAAATAGTAAAGGTATCATTAGCTTACATATTAGAGTTGTTCCTCTCTACAGAATGGCCTCCTCATTAAAACCCTCTCGTAGTTCAACAAGTCCTGACAACAACAAAAGAGGCAATTCAAGAGGAAGATGAAATCTTGTCACTGAAATCAGAATGTTTTCACGAGATGATATGAGTTACCAAACACCTGCATATTTTTACAGAACACTGAAGAAACCACTCTCACTGGGCACGAATTATTTCTCAAAACTTACTCCAAGTGGTCAATTATTACCAGTGAAGCAGAATGATGGACACTTTTGGATGAAACGGAAACCTTGTCAATCATCAAAAGCTCTCTTGCATATGGAAACCTTATGACGGACACACTGCACAAGCTCTCTTATGAGTTTTTCTTGCTGTCAGAGCGTGATAACCGCTGATCGATCGACTGCAGCTGGTTTCGTAGGTTCTGGTTCTCCTCCAATAAGCGGTCATACTCAAGAAGGAAACCTTCTGACTGCTTCCTCAGAGCTAGAGCGTTAGCTTCTGCAGCCTTCACCTCCTTCATTGTGGATTCGGACTCTGATCGCAGACTCGAAATCGTCGCCTTCAATTGAGTGATTTCCTGTTCACGTGCCTTGAGCTGGTCCACAGCTCCGTTCTTTCCCTCCTCCGCCATTCTACTCTGTTTTGTTACAGCTTCCACGCTCTTTCGTAGAACACGAAGCTCTCTAATATAGTGGTGCATTCGATCAATAATCAGAGCAAGAAATAGAGAATATCCTGCACAGAGGAGGAGTCACATCAATGGAATAAATACGATGCCAAAACCCTCCAAAGAAGAAACGGAAAGATAAAAGCTAATTAGATGTACAGTAGAAACCTAAAGTTTGACCACTTTAATAATTCGTAGATCTGTTGTCACTCAATCATGGCTGGCATCACGAGAACGATGGTTTTTGGACAAATAGAGCATCTGATGCCTCATTCTAGCAAAAAACAATATTTGAAACAAAAAACCGCTCAACGTGAAGAAAAGTGTACTCGTTAGTAGATCAGATTAATTTAAACTTTCAAACAGCATATGCAAGTTTATTCCTTTGAAGTGCAAGTCTCTCAAACAAACAGCAATGAGCAGGGATGATGATTAAATATTTTTTTGGGATAATGTGCTACACTTGTTCCTGTATCCATGACAGAGGAATAAAATGGAGTTCGACAATGAGTTATATCAAAACTCTCTATCCTGTCCTCAAGGTTCTCTGTTGACTTCAGCAAAGAAGGCCCTATTTCATTGAACTGAGTGATTCTGTGACTGTATCCTAACACCATTACCCAAGTAGACACGACATGCAACCATAGAAGTTAATTAACTCACTACCATACGTCTAAGACCATCATCAAGTGAAGACATGGAGGTCCCAAACAGAGCAAGAAATTTTCCAATTTTCTGGAAAATGAAAATAGTTTTCTGGGAAATTTACCCAAATAACATCTTCAATAGAGAGGTTCAGACCTCTCTATCAAATCACAATAGCTTATTGGACATAAATAAAATAAGCAATTACAGTTAAATACACAACCCAGAGAGACGATAAGTATGATTGTACAATATAACATATTTCATATCTTTATGCGTAGTCATATGACTAAGCACTGGGTGGGTCCTAACAAGAAACTTCCATCGAGTGTCAGGAGCACCTGCCAAATATCAGCATCTCCAACCTAAATCTTATAAACATTCTTTGCACAAGCTTATTCTCTCTCCCTTAAAACTACCCCCCAAACCCTCTCGAGCATTTTTCCCGTCCTTCCTAAGGCTTCTTATCTCACCAACCATACCCAATCAAAATCTCCGTGGGCACCACCCCTCCTGGTCCACTCCAAAAGGGAAAAATCCTATGTTTTCGGCTTGGACTAAATCAGGTAATTCCTTAAAATAAAAAATGGAGTAATTCGGATATTCCTTGCAATCCTCATTTTTTTTTTTCATATCTGTAGCACAAGAACATCTTGCCAACACTGCATGACACTACTTCACTATGGCAAAAATCGGATGTGATTACAAAGTCAACGTCACTTCATGAAAAGAGTACAAAACACCACCTTAAAAGTAAATCTCATTTCGCCTCTAGAAAAAAAAAAATTGCTTTCTTGAGATCTGATAGATATCATGGACAAATAATGATGAAAAATAGTGTACATAATTTCCTTAATACCAGTTGTTTACATCAAGGGATGGTTTCTGATGTGCATCCATGTACCTAATATGGATTACTATACTCTGCCAGCCTTAGAGGAGGTTATTTTTATAGACAGTATGCAGAAGGTGGGCAGGACTTGGGATGAGTTAGAAAATAAGTTAGAACTGTGAAAAAGTATCATAAAGACTAAAGTTTCAACGATCAATATAACATATATGAAGTGTGATCTGAATCGAAAAATAAAGAAAAATGGAAATCATATTGAGTTCACAACGAGACTTTCACAGAGAAAGAGATTTCGAGTACCTTAGCCAATTGAAAGGGAGTTATTGATAAGAATGTAATGCGTATGAAATTACAAATATTTGGGCAAAATGTAGAGAAAATTCCTGAACACAGCATAGTTGTCATATGTAAATTCCTAAACAAAACTACACTAGCACAGCTATTGTTACCCATAAAATAGAAGCATGAGCTATTGTAATAAAAATGAACAACTAAACTATCAGAGAGCATTAAAACATAATAAATAAGTGGCAATAGAAGGTAGAGTCTATCAAAGCCTCAAGATGCTCAGAGAAGATTGATATCAGTATCCTGTTGAAATGCACTAAAATCAATTCTGTAAGGTACAAAAAATTGATGAAAACAGAAAATACTATTCGAGCAACTTTAATGTTGACTGACTGTGATAAGTGAATAGGAGGAATAACGTCCAAATTTATAATCATATCAGGTTTGGTGCGGTTGATAAAAATATGATCTAAAAGATAAATCATGTTCACCAAATAAATATTGCACCTGAACAGACACTTCGAAAAAGGAAGCAGATGAAATTTCCTAAAGCTCAGTTATGAGTTAGATGGACAATCTTGCTCACATTTGGACATCATTTAGTACTAGATTAAGAAATAAACGACAAAATACTCACAGGGAGCAAATCAATAAGAAAACTAAATGCAATGGTACGAGAGAAAGTGATGAAAGCCACACACTGACTAACAGTGATGTTAACTAGAAATTTCGAAAGACAGAAATCACTCAAATGTATTCTACCTGAAGCTGAAGGAAACTGAAAATTCCTGCTCAATGATGCGAATCACAAATATAGTCTCATCCACTGTCAACTTTCTAAGTGGCCAAATCGAGGCATGACAATATGATCTCAATTGAGTAGAAGGTTAAGAACAGGTGCCAATTCAACTGATGAATACAGGTCGAGGTCAGCTTTAATAAAATTTTATCCTAAGATGCATCCAAGATATTATCCAAGATGTGAATACGTACTATAACTATAATGATCGAAGTTACTACAGACTACATATTATTGGATAATCTTAAGATGCATGCAAGACGCTATGCAAGCTCAGTACAAGCCATGGAAACTACGGCTGAAAGATTATCCACTCTGTTTTCTGGTAAAGTTCAAAACCGTAGTGAACTTAGAAATCTTATACTTTGGGGAAAAATTGTAAAGTACACACTACAGTTATAATGATTAAACATATAACAGATACTTATTATTGCCTTAAAATTCCTTATAAGTCAGAGAGACTATTTCATATCTAAAGTGAAACTAGAAAAAACTTGTAGGTTCTCAGGAAAACATATGGCCTTGAGAAAAAACATCCTATAACCAAATAGGTAACAAAAAAAATTAGGATAACTGAAAAATATTTTCAGAAATATGCATCAAAATTGACTGTAAAATTTTTCTTTATCATGAAAGTATGCCCTTATCCCTCTATCTATTAAATCCTAACAGACCAAGGATTTACAGGACGAAAATTAGCATAATCAAATTCCAGAAATAGATAAATGATTCAGAACGGCATCAATCATAAACTGCCCTTAGCTTCAGTTAGCATTCAGTTTCCATCGTATAGCTATCAGATGATAGCTCCTAAAAACCTTCTCAAATTCAACAATGGATTACATCAAAACACCTTGACCAGGGACCATTCAAAAAGACAAACAAGGATAAACAGAGGAAAATTTTCTGTCATATCGATTCATAGAATACTTGTTGGTTATGTACAATTATTCGGCCTCAAAAAAAGAAAACTACCTATGTTGAATCCCACGATTATAGGATACTCAACCAAAGTAGGAAACTGGCCAACAATAGGAAAATGACCAAGAACCTAATCGACAGTGGACACTGACAACAATAGGAAACTGACCAGCAACCTAACCAACATGGAAACTGACCAACAACCTAACCCTTAATTTAAGGTTTTTTTCCCACAATCATGGTCAAACAACTTGATATATCAAACAGTTGGTTTTGAACGGATTTCTTATTGGCATGAAATGGAAAAAAACCCTATGATATCCTGTATCTGAAAGGACACAAGCGATCAGTGGCGGATGAAAGCACCGAGATCATAAATAGGATCGCAAATCTCTCACACAGAGACTTCAGGCCAGAGAGAGGGATGTGAGTTTAGGAAATCTACGATGGACATCAATACCCAGTTCACGATATCGTTCAGATATCTATCATAGGACGCTGCAGGGGTCACCATAGTTCAGCTCAATTATAAGAACACAATATTCTCTAGTACAATCACTGGATCACAGAAGAGGGAAAAGTGATAATCCGGGAAATCAGGCACGGAAGATACATATTACATACCCATGAGGGAAGCCTCGAGCAAGTGGCGGCTCCAAAGCACCTGGTCCGTAGGGTTGAGCCCAACGAAGCCATCTTCCCCCGCGGCACGGCGCTGGATCTTGACTATACCGTGGAGACTCGAAACGAGGACGACGAAGAGTGTGGCGGCCACGGTGCGGACGGCGACGGGGCCCCGTCCCCGCTTCAGGTGGTCGAGGCTGAGCAGAACCAGCTTCCGCAGCGGCGTCTTGATGAGGAGGAGCACCACCACCCCGGCCTCCACCCCCACCACCGTGAACAACAACTGGATCATTGCCCCTTCCCGCCTCCCGTCGCCCGCGACGACCACCGAAGCCGCAGAAACTGCAGCAGCAGCGGCAGAGAGGTTGATGAGATCCAAAAGAGGTAAAGTATACATCCTGCATTTTCGTTGCGGGTTCAGAAGAGTGGAGGGACTAGGCGACGGCCAATTATATCATGCCACGTGGCATTTGAAGCTTGGTCCCTCACACGTTTTCTTCGACGATCAAATTGCGACGTCTTGCCATTGCCATTCATCCCTGGCTTGAAAGCGATTCAGTTAACCAAATCGGAGGAGGCACATGGGAAACAGCTCCATTGATTTTGTTCTTACCCCTCAACAGAGTTGACTCGTTGGAGAGCCGCTCAAAAAGGGAACGATCCCTTCTTTGGGGATATTATTCACAGTTAAATGAGTGCCCAATTAATGGCATAATGCATTCTAAGGAAAATGTTAAGTATAAGTTTATTGGCCAATGACCAAGGAAATTGCCCAAATGGGAAGGGGGGTCAGTATTTGACCTTAATTATTATCTTGGCTACTCCGTTGACTTGTATGCATATTAATTCTTTCTCCATATTAATTGTTGACTTCACATCAACATGAGTTACGTGATATCCTTCTAGGTCCCTTTGAAATGTCACAAATACTAAAGTTTACTAAAATTATATTTGGTTTTACCTACTTGTCTAAGAAAGATGACACTCCAATTCTAGTGGTGTTAAAGTATAATTTAATTCTACACTATTCTCTTTAAGGTTTATGTTTTCTAAGTTTTAAAAAGTTTGGACACTCATAAGCATGCCCATCAATCCTCTAATGTATAACAATAATAAAAGTTACCAAGATATGCATCCTCTTTTTCTATACCCATTCATTCTACTTCCCTTGGAATGATTTCCAAACAATCTTGTAATTTTTTTTGTTATTAGCGAATGTTTCTAAGAAAAAAATAAAATAACCCCTAATCTTTCATGCCATATTCCTTTGATTCTGTAGGGTTAAGTGGATTGATTATTCTCTATCATGTTAGTTGAGACCAAATCAATCTTCAGAAGCTTGATTTAGTCTCTAGACTTGGTCCATAATTTTAATTAAGAAAATAATAATAAAATTATCATGCCTAGTTAGGCCTTTATATTAGAATACTTATCATTACATATTAATTTCGAAGAGACCCATTATTTCATTTTGGATTTAAATCTCAGAAGAGGATTCTTTGAATGAAGATTTCTCCTTTGCAAAAACATTCTCATAAATGTTAATTTTGGGTTATTCTTATGCATAGCTTCAAATGTTAAAGTCATGGGGAAATATATACCAACTCCTCAATATATCACAAGTTTTCATGTTAGGTATATGAAATATCTAGTATACATAGATTGTTAAGAGTCCTAACATAGTTGGTAGAAACTAACAATAAATAAACATGGTTTTTCATCAACAAGGCTCTTTCAAATTGTTTGACTTTTAAAAAGGAATGAAATAGCTTGGAAACATACTTGCAATCTCCTATTCTACTATGATAAATCTTAATGCATAAGGAAACTCTTACCTAATTCGTATGTTGATCATTTGCATTACTCTTCTTGTGGCAAATGAAGTTGGTAGTCCCAAATAGGGAAGATGAGTTTCTCATTCTATATAGAGAGAGTTTAGTCCACTCTCTAAGAATATTCATGTTCTTGGGTTCTACTAATAATGATCATTTAATCATACACTACTTATAACTAGGATCAACTCTCATAGAATTTCATCTCAATTTTTTTTTTAAATTCATGGCTCTAGAATGTCAATCATTATTTAAAAGAAAAGTTTTCATGAGTGATCACATAGTATTTCAAACACAAGTTTATCCCACAACATGTATAAAATGATTTCACTGTGGATAGTATTTTAGATGAGGATGTTAACCTGAAGTACATCAAGAATTTAGATAAAGAATATAATGATCAAGACTTAATATTTGTTGTATCCTTGTTGAGTATGGTTGCTAACTAAAGATAGAAGATTGTTAACTATGTGCGGAGTATGGTTTCTAAATAGTTAAGTAATGTTTCTCAACTTGGTGCCTTCATGTAGTTTAACTAGCCAACAAAGATTTCATAATTTTCCTCAAATTTGTCTAGAAAAAAAATCAATATAATTCTTGAGATTGTGGATAGGTAAAAGAAAGATAGTTTTGATAAGTCATTAGAAAGTTGTTGTATAATGAAACTTTGTTAGAAATCTCTTGTTTTGTGTCTTATTACAATAGTAATATAGTTAGACATAATTTGAAACTAAACTAACTATAAAGTCAATATGATATTCCTTTTACAAGTTCAGATATCTTTTTAAAAAAATCAATACATGATTCCTTTAAACTAGAATACAAGTATCTTAATTTTATTGGTTTAGTCAAAGATTAATAGATTTAATATCATTCAAACAAAGCTGACAATATATATCCTAATACCATTCAAAGACCAAATTTTATCTAAATCACCTCAAGTAAACAAAGATCACCTAGTAAATATCTTGAATCATAATATTAGTATTTATAATCATGGTTTCAATGATTTAGGATATCTAAAATAATTTTATAAAATATATTATTAATATATAACAAATCATGTTTGACTAAATAAATTATTTAAATTCAATTGATTAGAGCCATATCAAAATTGTTTGAAAGTAATGATTTCAACACTAGTCTCCTCAAATATCACACCCTTCATGGGCACTTAGAGGCTTTCAACACTATGTGCCTAAGTCAAGTACACTACACTCCTCAAATGTCATACCCTTCATGGGCACTTAGAGGCTTTCAACACCACGTGCCTAAGACAAGTACACTAGTCTCCTTAAATATCATGTCCTTCATGGGCACTTAGAGGCTTTCGACACCCTATGTCTAGCCCAAATCTATCTATACTTACCACCCAAGTTATCTTAGAACTTGATGGAGGGAGTCAACTTTTGAAATAGTTGTTAACTTAGTTCACCACAAAAAAATAAGTTGTATGATAAAATTGTCAACTCTTTCCTTGAAATGTATGATAACTTTGCATGATGAATGTAAGTTCTTCTATATAGTTTGAATGAATAGAATGAATAAGGTCAATAAATTTCTTCATTCAACATTAGTTATAATTCTTCGTATACTTTTTTCATCACTTGACAAATGGTCATGTAATTTGAATTTCTTCCCATTGCTCTACTATCATATCAATAATTTTCAATTATTGTTCAGTTCAAAACTTTATATTCTCATGTAGGATATCCTTGATATTTTGTTTGGAGATACATAATGGATCAATGAACATTTTTGCTTTCAAGGTCAAACTCAAATATAGCCATTGAACTTATCATTTTGTCCACATATTTTGTCAACATATTACTATCTAGAATTTGTATTATTGACCTTCAGTCATTCTTCAATGCGAAGCTTTCAATTCTCATATAAGTTACCATTGGTATTATGTTTAGAGGTATGAAATGGATCAATATTTTTGTTTGTAGAGTCAAGCTCAAATATGATTGTTGAGGCCTGTGATTTTCTCATACGTTCAAAACTTCAATTTGGAGATATCTGATATATCAATGATTGTTTCTACATCTAAGATTGACTCAAAGTAATTCTATTCACTTTGTCATTTTCTTATTGTATTGCACTAATATGTTATCATTTATGGTACTTGATGAAGATTTCTTCACTTATGTGAGGGCTTCATGTGAAAACACATCAAGATAGTCATTGTGTAGGTTTTGACTTTGATTCCTTCCTTAGATATTAATCATGTGATATTACTAGGTATTTCCCTAATCAACTTCTCAAAGTGTCAATGTTAAGGTCTTGATTTCAAATCCCACTAATACTTTGATTTTTGTGCTCCCATAAGTTATGTTTATCGCAAGTTTTGAGTTTTAATTTCACGCCTTTGTGCAGCTTACATCTTGAGTTTAACCTTATGCCCAACATTATGTACTTCAATTTTTTCAAGTGTTTTTTTATTGAGGCTTTTGATTTCACATCATTCAAATCTTGCAAGTGACTTCATATTTCTGGGCTGTATGTGAGGCTTTATGAAATGTGTTGACAAATTCCTCTATACTTATGTTCAAGTAATATGATAAAATATTATATTCAAAATGAAAAATATTCATTGTTAGTCATAAGATTATTTTAAAACATTATTAATGTATATATTGAATATTTCTTAGAGATATTGAATGCATAAATATAAACTCTCATGATATCTATTATTGGTCTAATAAATATTCAATAACTATTTCATAAATAATTCGTCAATAAAATTTCAACTAAAAGCATCAAAACTAAAAGTATCAACAAAGTTAACCATGTTTTAGATCTATATTACATTTCTTATCATTTGTATTTATATGTTAGTAGATATGTTAATACATATTCGGATAATACTTCTCAACAATCCCTCTCCAATAAAATCATTTTTTTACAAATATACCCTTCACTCAATTTACTTTCAATTTGATAAAGGACTACCTTTTAAAATTGACTATTCATTTTAGCAACATATGGATTTTAATAGGATCAATAGCTAAAATGACACAACTTTGTGTCCACAAAGACTAATTCTACTAAAATCAAATACAATGATTAGTATTTCCTACCTTCACCAAATATGTTAATACCTTACCACAAAATAACCTTATGACTTGATTGAGAGCCATAATCACATTAGATGAATTGCTCACTTATCAGACTTGATTGAAAGTGAAATTTTATTGTTCATATTGATGCGTGGCACAACAACAATCATAGGACTTCATCTTCATATATTTAATTTTTTAGTTGATAACTATTTTTTAATAAATAAGCCTTTGTCATGTACTAATTTTCCTATTTTCTTGGAACTCAAATATTTGAAATACTTCTTCAAAACTTCAACATGTTTCAGAACACATGTTAATGTTTAAACTGTCCGAACTTTGGATTTCTTTATTTTTGTGGCCATTTTTGAATTAAAATTCTAACTAAAAATTTATAAATTAATTTAAAATAATTGAGTGTCTTTATTGGATTCAAATCATCGAATTTATTTTCACTTTTTTGTACATATAGATATCTATTATGACACTATTGATATATTATTTTGAAACATGATTTCTAATGCATTATTTTTTATCTTTCTTATTTAATATGTATGATATTTTAGATAATAATATCAAATAATAGATAAACATTACAATATTATGGATAGATCATCATATTTAATCAAAATAAAAATAAGTTTATTTCATAAATGTGACAACTCGTATGTCAACTTACACCATATGATCATATACCTAATCTTGCATTTATAAATGTTTCTTCAGTTGATAATATTTTATCTTCAAACATTCATAAGATAAAAAAAAATCTCAAAAATTAGAGGCTTGAATTTAAATCATTAGTAATGAAATCTTAAAATATTATATGAGTTACACATATAAATAGATATCAATATTAGATAATAACTTATAGAAAAATATTTATTTATTATCATCAAAACTAAATGCATCAACAACTTAGACATTCTAGGTTGTTGATTATAAATGAATAATAAATAAAAAAATATTAGAATTGTTTCAAAATGAAATAGTAGTTATCCATTGCACAAATCAGTGAAAATTTCAATAATGAATTAGTGATTCATATCAAACGAATCAAATATACCAAGCTTTGCACAAATTGATACAAGAGTAAATCAAGAAATCATAATTTGTTTCAACAAGGATTACAAATGTGCAAATCAATTGTTTTTGGCATCATACAACAAATTTTACCCATCAAAGACCAATAGCCAAGATGAGGAGATAAGTAGAAAGCTCATGCTTGATGCTTTACCATCACATCATTCAATGTTGCTTGTTTGAATTTTGTCATGCACTTGTTGTCCCTTATTGAGCATCTTTGGGCTTCAAGTGGCAATTAGGAGAACAAAATGGGTGGTTTTGCTCTTGATTATTATATTACTGCTGGTATTTATACCAATCTATTACCACAAAGAAATGGAACTAAAGTAGTTTAGATTAGGTTAATTATGTTGATAAAAAAAGATAATAAAAAAGGAAAATAAAATAAAAGGGCTACATTGATGGAAATTAAAAAATACATACAGAATATTCTAAGAATTTGATATGAGTCTCCAAATACAAGGCACTCTGACTAACAAATACCAAAATTTCAAATATTAGTGTTATTCATGAATTTATGTAGAATTCCTCTAAAAATATAGCACTAAAAATATACTAAAAAAGTAAGGCAATAGTGAGCAAATGATATCAAATGACTATTAGGATCTTGTGTATATTTCATCATCATCAAGAAACTATTGATGCAAAGGCAATAGAGTGTGGGGCCTATAAGATATATTTGGAGAGATACCATATAAATTTAAGGAAATAGTTTTTTCCCACATGAAAATGAGTGACCACAAAATCAAGTGAATGACTTGAAAAATAAAAATCACCATTGAATATGAAAATTTTTAGATCAAGTGGCAAGTATTTGGGTTCTTCTCTCTATGTAAAAAATAAGTTATTATTTATGGAAAATAAACTTCATAAGGAAAAAAATTGAACACCCAAAGAAAATGAAATTCTTGGCTTCAATATTACATTCTTGGAATCATAGAAAAAGAGACTTAGGATTTTGCCCTCAATTAAAGTCTTATTTATGTGAACTGGATAGGAAGTAATTACGTACGTGCCCATTACCACTATTTTAATGATTTTTTATAGTACTTATTTAATTTCCACATTGTGTGATTTATTTCTCTTTCTTCTTTCAACCGACACGCCTTCCCAGGATGAGCGGAACTGGCACGGAGGAATCCCCATAGGCGATCCTGGCCGTAGATTCCTGAGATGACGTGGATCCTCTTGATTCGTGTCCAGATTCATCATCGGATCCGATAACGTTACCCGTATTATATGCACGGAATAATAAATGGCGGGGGCCGGTGAGGTGTGACGAAGATAGCCCACCACCTCCCCCCCTTCGGCTCCGCAGGGGCGAGCTCCAAAATTTGGATTTTGAATGGAGGGAGGGAACTAGAGAGAGAGAGAGAAGGGGTAGGAGGGGGCCCGCCGAGTCCTTACTGGCGAGATCCCCACCACACGCCCCCGTCACTCCGTTTTGTCTCTGCTCTCCGGCCAGCGCCCGGCGGCTGCTCTTCTCTTCAGAATCCTGGGCCAAGCCAGCCAGCCCTGGTCGGCCCTCCTTCCCTCTCGCGGCGGCTATTTCTTGCTTCCCGTCTTCCGCCTGGTTAGTCTGGTTCCCTTCTTGGTCCAGTAATCTGCCCTTTCTCTTAGGGCATCCCTGAGAGTTGAGGGATGCGGAAGACGGAACGGCGGCGCTTCTCGTCGTTTCTTTAGCTCCATTTCCCTGCAGGTCATAGATTTCGTCTGATCTCCGGAGACCCATCTTCCTCTGCCGCCACTCCCTAATCGGATTAATCCATCCGGCAGCCCTCCTCATCAGTCCAGGCGAGAAACCCGGGGGAGGATCCTGTCCTAGTCCTTACCGGGTCGGATCAATCATGCCGTCGGGTGCTAAGAAGAGGAAGGCCGCCAAACGCAAGAAGGAGCAGGAGCAGCAGCAGTCACCGCTGGGTGTCCACCCTCCGGTCTCCCCGACCTTGTTAACTGCTGGTGTTCCGCATTCTCCTCAAGGTTTTTCTCAAAGTTCCTCGTCCCCCTCTCCCCTCAAAAAACCTTGCTCTTTTCACGTGATTCTATTCCACATTTCTGATGTGTTTCATGGTTTGTATCTGTCAATGGAGCAGGCCAGGAGGAAGACGATCTGATCAGTCAAAGCAGCAAGAGGAGTGACAGCGGAAGTGAATCTGCTTCGCCTCAGGCGCAGGGCGATCGGGAATTCCGCCTAGAACTCGATCGAGAGGATGAGAAAGGTAGCGATTCTGCTGGGCCGGTGGATGTCGTTAAGGTGATGGGCAGCATCGAGAACAGCGTCGAAGAGCATGCAATAGAACCGTTGACACCGGAGAAGACGGAGGCGGCCATGAAGAAGACATTGGAGGCCCAAGATGTGGGGATGGTGCTCGGAAAGGAGCTCCCACAGCGATTTCCATCTCATCCTCCTTCCCACACCTCTACAGAGATCCCCACTTCCGAGCATGAATCAGTTACCATTGACGACCGTCAATCGGAGAGGAGCGAGGATGTTAATGTCGGGGAAGAAGTCCCTCCCCCACCTCCACTGGAACCGAAGCAATCGAAGTCAACATACTCTGCTGACTTTCCGGATGAAGAGGTGGAACAACCTTCAGATATGCTGCCAGAGAGCATCAATACGGGTGGAAGTGTGGAGAAGCTGCTGAACAGTAAAGCCGTAGATGGAGTCCTCCCTCTTTCTAATGCTACCTCCGAGCAGCCCCATGACCCTTATGGGGTTCACAACAATGGAGGAGGTCAAGAAATTTCAGTGAGTGCTCAGGTATGAGATGGTTTTCCATTGTTCTCATTGAAATGCTAATATTTTCCTTTGTTTAATCGTGAAATGAAGAATTTACTTTACACTTCTGATTTTATTTTTTTTATAAAAAGGTTCTCCGTCCCACACAGTTGAAGGAGCGAGCTTCGTGGTTGAGTTGCTGTGGCCTTTTTGATTTAATTTCGGGTGCAAGTAAATAAAATCAGGTCAGAGCCGAATTTTCAATTTTTTTCTCAAAGAATCTCTCACAACTTTCCAGGAAATCATTTTCTGCTTTGTAGATATGTATATATTTTTTGAAATATTTTGTTTTCAGTAAATGTAAACAATTCACGGTCTCTTTTGGGGCCCTTTGCTGATAAATTTTATTCATCAGTGTGGGCCTTCCGTTCATTTTTATTTTATTTTCTTGAATTGTTGGCTTATAGCTCTGATTTTACCATAAGAAGAAAATAGAAAATATATTTTCTGTTTCCGTAGTTATGTAACTTCGCGAGAAAAAATGGGTGTGCTTACACTTTGAACTCTAATAAGATGCTCTGAGAAGAGATTGTCATTGCTCACCAAGGATTGTGCTGCGAAGTACAAATACTTCTCTACACGTCATAATTTGTTGCCAGGATGATGATTCTTAAGTAGAATTTTCTTCATTAAACTATATTTTAAATCATGATAAAGAAAGGCATTGCTTACATCATAGGGTCAGAGAAACGTCATAAAATTCCATGTAATTCATTTCTCTCATAGTTCACGTATGACTTAACACTTATTATGCATGTAATATATGTTTTGGTTTCACTATATGCATCAAATGTTGGTTTATCAACAATTTTAATCAGCAGAAAAATCTAGATTTCAACAAAAAATTCCCCATCTTAATCACAAGAGACCATAAAATATCGTGAAAGTGGCAGCCAAAAAGGAAAAAGCCACTCGAAAAGCATTGAAAAATGTAAGAAATCTGAAAATTCCTTCCTTTAAATATTAATGAGAGCCACTGGACACAATAATGTTTGCTTTTATGATTAGATTGAGACTCTTTACAGATGGGGGTAGGAACCCCAACCCAATATTCACCTAGATATTTCTGTGGCAGCATTAGATGTCATTATTATTATTCTTAAGGAATACTCAGGTATTCTTCAGTTTTGAATATGATAGCAACATTCTCAGTATGTCTCACAGAGATGAGACTAATCTCTCCACTAAACAGAGCTTTGCTAACTAATGATCTGAGTGTTTCTTTTCATTCAAGAACCCACCCGTCAACTTTGCACTCTTGCCTAATTTCCTCATAACATCAGCCTTCTACCTATTGATGGATGCTTCTGATATGTGAATGACAAGTAGATTCTCATGCCACAATGTAAGCAAGATATCTGTCATTATCATATGGATGCTATGAAGGTATCCTTGGTGAGGAAAGTTCCTCTTTATGAGCAAAGACCCACTCCATTTATCCATGCCTAGACAAAGCTCATGATTTTCTACCAACACATCACTAGTATGAAGAAACATCCCCCCTTCATCAGAGAAAAAAATATAGATGGTACTTTGTCGTATGACCCGCACTCTACTACTCCGTGTCCTCATCATCCAACTTTCAAAGCCACTTGGTTACCAGAGATAAATCGAAGTCTCTTGTATTAATGGTATGGAGTCCTCGTTTCTTCTTATGCCTGAGAATCCTGTATGAACTCATGCCATACCAACCTCTGCAGTCGTCATTGTCATCGTGTTGTGCTAGAAGAATCTCCCTGGACTGCTTCCAACCTCTTTTGTATAGTCCGTGAGATTCTGAAGAGAGTGAAATGATTACTACGACGTGTTGATGGCACAGTCTCGGGCACTGTTTGCTTCTCTCCATTGGAGAGTAATCTTCCACACTGCTATTGCTTTTTCAAATATTAATTTTTTTTAATAGAATTGATCATATCTGTTGTGAGATTAAAAGACCTTTGGAGCACGAAAGAAAGCATTTTACAATCCTAAAAGATCTTTGGCCGAGAGAGCAATCTTCTTGGTCTTTTTACTGTTATCAGAGGGCTAAATAATTACATTTTTAGTAAAATTAGCGCCATACCAAGTAGCAAGTCCCTTTTGATTAGAAGACCTTGGCGAATAGTTCCTGTTCCTGTGCAAAACTTATTTTTGAACAATTTCAATTTCATGTTCATCTCTCACCTGTTCCTCAGTACCCTTTCCGTTGATCTTCCACTTGTATGATTCTCCATTACTTCTCGAGTTTCTTCTTTCCCGTTCATTTGCACGTCATATACAGTTGGCCATCACTTCTCTCGATATCCTCCAAACTATCTTTTCTCTGGTCACATTAAGGTTTTTATTTATTTTTAATGAATCTACCATCTGCTCATTAAAGAAGGGTACTAATACCATAGATGGGTATGAGTACCATGATTCTGGTAGAACGTCTGATGAATGCCCCCCAAACACATAACCGTGATCATCATATAACTGCACTCTATAGTGCCGTAATCTCCTTGATTAATTGGATCACGGGTGCATAATATTTCCCTTTTAAGCATTAAACTGATGATAACGTTCCAAGCCCCCATGGGATTGCAATGTCGATGCCTGGTACGCTTTCACAGCCGCCTCCATACGTAGTAGACATACAGAAGCATGCATATGTACGCAACACACGATTGTTCCAAGGGTTTATCTTCCCCTTGGTCTCGAAGGAGATTTTTACTACTATTATTCACTGATGATATCAAGTTTTAAAATGATGTTCATGCACACAGGAATGGGGCATATGAGTTAATCTCTCCTGTTTCAGGGACCTTGCTAAAAATGAAGATACCGTTTTTCGGACGTCTGGATGTTGTTTGTGGGTTCCCTGAATGCTGAAATGGGGTATATGGCCTCGTCATCCCGCCGAGGCTCATCCAAAGGCAGTTTATGTATACATGGGCATCATGTGGTGAGAGGAAAGACACCACTTTTGTGCTAGGGATCAGTACATTGCTCTTGCTTTTTGTGGAATGGGTTTGACTTTGTACCATCATTTCCTGGGAATATGGTGTTCTTTTTTTGTCTCTGAGCTTGGTGCTTTCATGAGTACGCTGTCTGGAACAAGTTTGACTTTGTACTCTTACAAGATAAGGGAGAAAAAGACACCACTTTTGTTCTAGTGATCAACAAATTGCTCTTGCTTTTTGTGGAATATGTTTGACTTTGTACCATCATTTCCTGAGAATATGGTGTTCTTTTTTTGTCTCTGAGCTTGGTGCTTTCATGAGTACGCTGTCTAGAACAAGTTTGACTTGATACTCTCAAAAAATAAGGGGAAGAAAAAGGGAAGCAGGTGATGATACATTGTACCCAAGAGAGAACATCTCAAGCGTACGAAACCATTAAAAAATCCCATCTCATATTTGATCAATGTGCCTGTTTAAGCTGTTATTTTCCAAAGTAGGGGCCCTTATATTATTAGTGGAATCCAGGGTTGATTTGTGTCATGAGAGAGAAGCCAAAAACGAAAGAGTTTGTGTTGACTATCGTAAGTAAATGAACAGACACATGGTGGAGAGCCTCTTTGACTTTTTGGGGCCTTGTGGGCCCAACCTTTAAAGTTTGTCTTTTTCTGCATTTGCAAACATGTTGAACACACACACACACACACACTTGTAAGTATACGTATGAACAGAGTTACTCTTTCTATTCTTCATCACCATCAATATATAATAATGTGTTAAGTATATTTATATTCTATATATGTTTATACGTAAAAACTTGTCTTTAAGTGATAGTTATTTATGATAACTTATAAACAGAGATTTTATTAAATTTTTTTCCTTGTACACAACTTCTCTCGTTCAAAAACATCATTCAGTAATTATAAATGTAGTGTCTTTTATATTTGATAGTACCCACAGAAAGGTGGAGATGCCCATGTATTCTCTCTCTTAATATATTTCTCTCTCAACTAAGACACAGATGTCATATCCCCTTGACCTTTCTCTCTCTATATCGTCTTTGGCTATACGTCAAGCTACAGAGGTGGAGATCTGACAGGACCAAACCAAGACATAACAACGACGAAAGTTCGGGGCCAGCCTGCGGTTATCTAAGTTGGGTGCCTCAATGGGCCGGGCCTAAAACTGAAAGGAGCCCGGTCTCGTGAGAAGATCGGGGCAGGCTAGTGTGTCCGGTCTAAATGGCTTGGCCCGAAACTAAACAAGCCCTTTCACAGTTTCGTCATCTTTCTTAAAAGGCCGGGCCAGGCCCTTAACAATCTCGGCCGCATCTTTCTCAGTGTGTTTCTCCAACCGTCACGAGGATATCCTATACCCGTTGTTGAGAATATTCTCATAGTTATATCTCTCTCTCTCTCTCTCGCTAGGCGTGTTTCTGTTTGATGTCTGTTTCCAGAGGCTGCCACGTATTCGGGGTCTGTTTCTGCGCTGGTGTTGCCACGTGTTAGGGGCCTTCTGTTTTCTTCTGCATTGCTGTTGCCACGTGCTATTCCCTGGCGTGTCCGGAAATGAGGATATATCTTGATCACATGCTTTAATCGCCCTCGATCTCAGGCTCATGGTAGGCTCCATCTATTTCTAATAAAACCTTAAAAAATCGGCGTATCTCCGAAATTTTCAAAAACCTTCAAGTAAAAGATCGAACAGGCTTACGCTCATCCGATCTCGCGCATCAATAACGTGCGGATTTAATTTTTTATTAAATTTAAAAAGTAATATAAGTTTGTCGGCTGTCTAAAGTCTGCCAACTCAGCCTCTCTCTCTCTCTCTCTCTCTCTCTCTCTCTCTCGCTAAAGCTACGTCTCTCTACTTTTGTTGTCTTCCATGGTCTCCTCGAGGAAAACAGCGATTCCCTCGACGAGACGCCGCCGAGGAGATCGAAGATCGAGGAGGTGGGTCAGAGCGGGGGCAAGGGGAAGAACAGTGATTTCCCGGTCGAAAGCCGGGTCGTGATCAAGGTCAATTTTTCTTCGGTGATTTCCAGCGGCGACGAGACGGAGGCGATGTTTTCCGTGAGGGAGGAGGGGCCACTGCTGAGGGAGATGCCCGTTCAGACGTCACATCGTTGCGATGATGCAGGATCAGACCGACATCCACACGCATCCGGTGTTCTGGAGTTTCGGGGAAGAAGACGTAAGTGAGTTGTAGGGCGGATGAGCTGGAACGAAGGGGTTGGGGGCTTAATTTAAAGCAGGCACCGTAAGCAGGAAATCGAGAGGGTGCTCTCCCGAGGGAGTTGAAGAGGGGTGGCAGGGGCCTCGTCCGGCCTCCATGGTCCTTGCTTCCGCCGTTGCCATGGAGATCGATTCCTACGCCGCCTTCACCTACGCCGCTGGAATCGCCGGTGATCCTCCGCCCTCCCTCTCTCTCTCTCTCTCTCTCTCTTTCTCTGGATTGTATGTAATGTTCTGTTCTCAGGTAATCTGCTCGCATTCGTGCTGTTCGTGTCGCCCATGTGAGCCCGTCTCCTGCAATTCGTCTCTCACTCCTCCCCCCCTCCCCTCTCTCTCTCTCTCTCTCGCTCGCTCGCTCTCTCATCAGAGGCCCTCCTCTGTTTGTCGCCTTCTATCTACAGCCCCACATTCCGGCGGATCGTCAGGAACGAGTCAACGGAGAGCTTCTCGGGGCTGCCTTACATCTACTCTCTCCTAAACTGCCTCATCTGCCTATGGTACGGGCTCCCTTGCGTGACCCGCGGGGTGATCCTCGTCGCCACCGTGAACTCCGTCGGGGCCGTCTTTCAGCTGAGTTACATCACCATCTTCATCCTCTACGCCCCCCCCACGAAAAGGGTAGCCCGCAGACTCTCTGTCATGAACATCTACAGCTTCCCCATTTGACGAAGAACCCGTGGGCTTAATCTCCTTATTTTTATTCATTTTTTTTTAAAAATTTGTTCTCGGGCAGCTGAAGATGTCTGGCATGCTGGTGGGCGTGTTCGCCGTGTTCTTGCTGGTCGTCTACATCAGCCTGGAAATGCTCAGCGCGCGGGGTCGCCAGACCTTCGTGGGGTACCTGAGCGTGGCCTCGCTCATCTCCATGTTCGCTTCCCCACTGTTCATCATTGTCAGTCATGCATTCACCCGTCTCCTCCTCGTTAAAGATCTCTGCGATTTTGAGTGGTGACCCGATCCGAATCTTCCACTAATCCTCAATAAACTGGATTTTCTTGCCTTGTTTTGCTGCAGGGACTGGTGATTCGGACAAGGAGCGTGGAGTACATGCCCTTCTATCTCTCCCTGTCCACCTTCCTGATGAGTATCTCTTTCTTCGTATACGGCCTGTTACTCCGCGACTTCTTCATCTATGTGGGTCCTCATTCCGCTTACTCCTTAGCTTTAACCTCCCCCCCAACCCCCCCGACATCTTACTCATCTCCTACCTCCCATACAGATTCCCAATGGAATCGGCGCGGTTCTTGGGGTGGTACAGTTGGCTCTCTATGCCTATTACAGTAAGACAGAGAGACAAGCGGAAAGGCTGCCATTGCTGTCGTCCTGAGTGGTCTTTACTGAAAGGGTAAGCTATGCCTACTGCAGTGTAATTTCCATTCTTATGGGATTAATTTATTGGCCTCAACACTCGTTGGGTCTCTCCTTCAATGAAAGCTTTTCTCCTCGAGAGGATCAAACCCTTCGATGAAAAGGCCTGATCTTGGCTTCTCTGGCCTATTTTCCATCGTCTCCATGCTCGTGGGAAGGCCAACAAGGCTGCCTTGGCTTCATCAGACGCATGGTAATCCTGTAGAGCATAATAACAACAATCATAACCGAGGGTGTGAATTTATGAAGAATTCTTGGCCATTCTCCTCGAATATTTCTGTAGAACTGGGCTAGTATCTGTTAGAAATAGTCCCATTTATGATTAGTTGTCTTACATGGATATACGAGAACCGATGGTTAATCTTGTGCCGAACATAACCCATTTAGGCTGTCCTTCTTATGAGAAAGCGCAAAAGTCGGGCATCGATTATTAGAAGAATAAAGATCTTATATGTGATCGCCACATTTTGGGAGAAAATGCAACTCTCGGGAACGAGATACGCCCAAGTGTTCTTCATCTATTTATTATGGGTTCTCTTGTTGGAGCTCGATGATTTCTGTGCTCCAGTGGATACCCTGTCCAATGGCCCTGTTCAATTGAACCCAAACGTGGATTGATAAACTAACTCGTTGTAAGAATTCAAGATCTTCACGATTTTCATTTTTGAAGGATTTCAATTTTTTTGTTAATCTCTGTAGTTCATTTCTCTGGATGTACCAGTTTCATATTCTTCTGAATAAATCTTATTCCAAGATGTAAACTTCTTGCCTGGAGAGATGATATTTGCTGCCTGCTTGAACAGGTTGCTCATGTGAAAAAAACTCTCAATTGAATGAACAGTCGTGTTCTTATTCTAAAAAAGGAAAAGGGAAAAAGGAAAAAAACCTTGGTTATGATTGTCATTTCTGTGGCATGCCTTTCTCCCTCTCGAAGGCCATAAAACGGGTTTTCCTCATGACATAAGAACCGTAATTAAGAAAAAATTGAGGAGGGTTTTAATCTCTGTATCCTCACTGGACTTTTCTTCGGGCTAGAAAAGCCCAAAACCTTATGAAACACCTGCTGCAAAACACTGGATGCTGGTATTTGAATCTGACGTCTGTTTGTTAATCATCCCCAGAGAGAAATGTCCACAGAGATAAACCTGTTTTCTCCCCAGAAAACTCAACACTTCATGAAACCATTTCTGCATCCTGCATACTCTTGATTGACTTGATCCTTGGTTTCCACACAGGAGTCTGTTTGTGCCCATCAAAGCTCAAAAACCTCATCAAAATCTCATCAAACTGCACCTAAATTCTAGATACTTGCTTGTGATTTTTATCTCCTCTTCTCCATCAGTGCCGCTGGGAAATTTCCTCGCATTAACCTGGTGATTTTTATGTCCAGAAAATCACCAGATCTTGAATCTTTGCCCTATTTATAACAGTGCGGGTACAGGTGGGAGAGATCAAGGAATCAGAAGCAGTGCTCATTCGAGGACTGGGTTCCTAAAATAAAAATTCTATTTTCTTCATTATCCATGGTAATATCCTGCTAAAGATCTGTGGGTAGACTTGGCAGGGGATATTCACGATGGGCGGGTGAGGCCAATTTGCTACGCTTACCGACATTTTTCTCGTTCTGTGCCAGGCACATGTCAGAAATATGACTCACATTCTCTGACGTTGATCAGATATTTCCCTTGGCTACCTACGTTGATCAGAAATTCTGACTTGATCACATTTTTCTCGTTCTGTGCCAATTACTCTTTCTAATTCTAGAAAGTGAATATGCGATTTGGAGGAGGGGATTTCTGCCATGTTGTCCTTGTGGAAATTGTCTGATCTTGTTCTTCTAGTATGCTTCTCATTCCCATTCTCGTTCTCATTCTCATTCTCATGGACTTGTTATCTGGCAAATTAGTGCCTTGAAAATCTCTCAGAGAGCCAACCGGTCCACAAAAGCCCAGCTCGACCGTCTCTCTCTCTCTCTCTCTCTCTCTCTCTTCCCTTAGATGGACCATAATGGGCTGGTGCCAGGCTTCTTCCCAGCAGAAGTTTGGGAGGATTGGGTCCTGGCAGATTTGGTTTAGCCGGCCCACCAGTGTTCCTGCTATTTATCAATGGGAGCCCATTAAGATATTAAATTTTTTCATTTAAATTTTAGGTAAAAATGAAGGCGACCATTTATCAGCATACCCAGTAAAGACAAGTCAAGTGCCGTATCTAACAAGCCCACCACATGTGGAGTGCCCTTATTGGGCCCACCTTGAGTTACTGGATGTGGGCTCTTTTGGAATAAAAAGGGCACAAGTACAATTGTACGAAGCGTGGTGGTGGAGATGGCTAATAGCTGACTTTGGGGCCCCAGTGCAATGCGCGGCACCGGCGCTGTCGAGGACCGTCGGCCTCAATCCAGATCAAAATCGGGCCGTCCATCTCAACACTGATCGAGATCGGCCTCTTCTGCGCCGTGCTTATTAATAACGGCAAGGCATACAAGTCCACCCCGAGTTAATAATAAAAAATCCAATTAAATTAATTATCATCACTCTTTTCAGAGACTCGACAACCGAGTCGACTCGGGCTCAAACGACTCTCAGTCATCTGGCTAGCCAAGGTTTTCAGTATCTTCGTCCGACGTGCCATCTCCCATCGCGTCGACTCCATCCACGTGGTTGGCACGTGAGAAGATGAGCATCCAGTTCAGCTTAGCCGATTAGGACGGTCGCCTGATTAGGAGGTGGGGTCCACAGCGTATTTGTTTCCTCCGTCTGCATATATTTCTATAAAATGTATATAAATTTAACTTTTGTAACGTACATAATTATCAAAAAATTCAAACAGTTGGGTCATCTATGCATAAGAATAATGATTGTAATAATAAATCCACGTAAGATAATACAAATAAAATATTTAAATTTTATTTATAACATTTTATCTAATGTATGGGAGTCCTCAGCACGGGAGTCAACTGGTAGCGCCGTTTCTCTTCGAGAGTCCTCTCTGTGGAGTAGGGGAGGGCGGTTATACATATTTCGTTTAATTAAGGGTGTAACTAAAAGGTTGAGATCTCAAGGGAATAATCACGAGGGGAGATCCCGTCGCACGTGAGATGACATCGAGGCCACCGATTCAAACAGTCCGCTGATTGGTGCTCCTGATCTGCGGGGTGCGGGGCCACCGTCACAGTGGATTTGCCCCCACTTTGTCAACGCTGACGGACACGCGTATCTTGTGAGGCTCTGAGATGAGAGAGAGAGAGAGAGAGAGGCTACTGAGCATCGACCACAGGGGCTGCGTCAGGTGTAGTCTAATTACACGGGCTTACTGTACACTTCGTCTCTGTCTCCTTCTCTCCCTTTATTGTCTCTCTCTCTCTCCCCCCATACTAACAGCTTAAAATGGGTGGACGAGTGAGCATCAACGATGTAAGGGTGCATGAGTATAACCCAACCCAATCTCTCGCTCTCTCTCTCTCGCTCTATCTTCTTCTGACTCGCTCGAGGCTTCATCTTCCTCTCTCTCTCCCCTCTCCCATCTGCCTTTCGCTGTGCCCATCTATCAACCCCTCCCTCATCTCACGACACTCTCAGACCAGACGAAGTAAGAACAATCAGAGGAGGAAGAGGAAGAAGAAGAAGAAGAAGAAGGCTTCGGAATATGAGGGAGGCCCCCGCTTCTCCCATGAAGTCCTCCGCTCCTAACTTCAGGACCCACCTCTTCTCCTCGCCCCTCGCCATCTTCGTCCTCGCAGCCATCCTCCTCTCCTCCATTCTCTTCATCGCTCACAGTGGGTCCACCTCCTCCTCCTGGTTCTCCCCTTCTCTCTCCTCCACCTCTTCCTCCCGGTCGTGGCTCAACGACCGCCGCTTCGCCGCCGCCGCCGCCCCTCAGCCGCCGGCGAACGGCGGCGCTGACTCCAGGGAATTGCACGGTGGAGTTCAGAGGCTTCTCCCGTCTCCGGCGCCGCCGGGGCCACCAGGTCTATTCACTGTAAGCCACGTAACCCTCTGCCAAAATAAACACGCTAAAAGTTATTATCGAGATATTTATTTATTCATTTAATATTAAAATATATTCCTCTGGGATGTTTCATTAAAATTCTTGGTGGAGGACGCATCCCCGAATTGTTAAATATCCATGGTATACGGAGAAGAGTCTAAAATGGTACGAAGAGGGGACATGAACAAGCCCCCTCCCCACTCCCAACTGTTCTTCTTTCTTCTTCATAAGTTGTTAATCTCTATGTCCTCATAAGCTCCTCTTCTCTTCCTTCCACACCTTCACGGGCCCTCTGCTTTCATCCATCACATCGGGCCCACTCACGGGCTCACAGTAGGCCAATGGCCGACGGTGTTTTTCATAAAAACTGAGATTTATTACCTAACTGTCTGTCCTACCCACTACTAAGTTGTTTTGCGTTCGGGGCGCGTAGTCGAGAATTTTGGAAGGGCATATGTATAATACAAAGTTTGTAGATGTTAGAAATGTGGGAAAGTTTCTTTAAGGCCCAATTAGAACCCCGGGAATCTGCCAGAAGATGGGCCAACGTGGGAATCGATTGCTGTGACAGCCCGCCAAACAGGCGTTTTGAGCCGCCCGGTCCGATTGGGAGGGCCACCACCACTGTGGAAAAGCTTATGCAATAAGATTAAAGTCTCCGAATTCGATGGTTCCCCCGGGTGAATTTCTTCAAGTACGACGATCCCGAGCGCGCCATTCTTCAGTTCAATGTGAGTTCCCCCTTGTTTTCTACGACTCCATCTAAACTTTCTGTAGATTCTTCCACTCGAATTTTCGATCTCCACGTCATGGAAACCCTTGCAAGTACGTTCCAATTGTGCATTACGTAGAGGATCAGGGAGATGGCGATGGAGAAGGGAACTTTGTTTCCTATGCTGTTTGTTTGTATATAAGCGGGAACCTATCGCACACTGACAGCTCGGAGATTAGTGCACTTTATCGAGTGAATGCATTGGAATACTGCGTTATATTTATTGGATGTGGTGGATATTATGGCGTACGATAAATATTGCAAGTCTAGTTGCTGCTCTTGAGAGATCCATTCGGCACTATTTTCATTTTGTGTTTTGTATTCTAGTCTTCACATGACTATGCTGCTAAGTTATATTTATAAATCTTATTCCATACAGTGTCTTCTGTGTTTACAGGGGTTTTTTTTTCAGATTTACTCATGTGTGTTCTTATCTGTAGGGAAAAAATAATTTGGTTGGGACGAGGAAGAACAGATCGGTTGATCTAAAATTGGAAAGACTCGAGCTGGATCTTTCTAGAGCACGTACAGCCATTAGACTTGCATCCCGGTCGAATAAGAATGCGTCGGCACCTGCCGACGACAAATATGTTCCACAAGGAGCAATATATCGAAATGCGCGTGCATTTCACCGGTATTGATTTGATAATTTGTGTTTGTGATCTCATTGACGTTTATTTCATTGTGATGATTTATTGGATCATATTATGTCGAAAAATATAGAAATAAGTCCTTATCTGTTTCAGTTTTTCTGCATATTTTAATCTATTATGGAATTCTGTGTAAGAAGAAGATTATGGACATTAGGAGTAAGACTGGAAATCGAGTACGAATATGTCTGTAAGAGGAAGAGACGGGGTCTCTGAGAGGTTGGAAAGGATGGCAAGATGGGATAGGAATTGCACATTGTTTGGGTATTGTGATCCAATACGTTTCCAAATGGTGTAGATCGAAGTGCATAATGCATTGATGACTGAAGATCCTCACATTTGATAGGAGGCTGCAGATCACAAGGTAGCTGTGCGATTCTCAATAACAGCCCACTATAACGGAGAATCTTAGTAAATTGATGCCTTGATGGAATCAATTTTATAAGATGTTGTATTACTGGATTTTCTATCTTATTTGGATCTACTACGTGTAGTCAGATGTAAAAATAATGTCCTATCTGCTGATGGACATGCTTTCTTCCAATGAAAACATATAATTTTTATTTCCATGTGGTTGGTTTACTTTCTAAAAAAAAAATTGTCAGATGATACTATAGAGAAAAAGGATTCAATCATCTGTAGTATCTGAGGTAGCATACATCAAATTTTAATCCAGTAAGGAAAACTATGTAAGGAAATAGCCCTAAACAGGACCCATCTCAACCACCGAAAATGTTTTCTCAAAAAATTAAACGTGAAAATCACCATTTCCCCCAAATGAAAGATGAGAGGAGGCTCTTGCTGTAATTTATTTTACTTTCTACAGGAAATGTCATTGATTTGACCTCTTGATATAGTATATAATGCCTTTCTACTCGGAGATAATATATTACATCTCCTTGTGGCTATTGCCTCCTAATTACTTTCACGATACTACTTCTTGATAGCATAGAGTAACCTGTGGGATTATTGGATGAAAATTGATGATTTTCAGGTTGGAACCATCCAGTTATGTGCGACATAGACATTCAAGCTATTTTTATGTATTTTTGAATAACTTTTTGATGCTGCAGAAGCTATCTCGAAATGGAAAGACTCTTCAAGGTATATGTGTACGAGGAGGGTGAACCACCTCTGTTTCATGACGGGCCATGTAAGAGTATCTATTCCACGGAGGGCCGGTTTATTTACAATATGGAAATGGAAACTAGGTTTAGAACAAGAGACCCAGAAGAGGCGCATGTTCATTTCCTCCCCTTCAGTGTCACATACATGGTCAAATACCTTTATCAGACCAGAACCTTTGATATCAGCCCAATCAGAAGGACAGTTATAGATTACGTTGGTACAATTGCGAGAAAGCATCGATACTGGAATAGAAGCCTGGGAGCGGACCATTTCATGCTCTCATGCCATGACTGGGTAAGTATTTCCGTCAATAATTGGGCATATTTTATACGAAACAGTAATATTTCTGCGAGGAATGAATGATTACCTGCCAATCTTAGGAATATTTCCGCCCAAGACGTAAATTCTTATGCCCTGAGTTATTGATCTTCATCTACTGCAGGGGCCCGAGGCGTCTGCCTCTATCTCTCATCTTTACCATAATTCCATACGTGTCCTCTGCAATGCAAACACCTCTGAGGGGTTCAACCCTCTGAAGGACGCCTCGCTTCCAGAGATCAACCTCAGGACCGGCTCAATCGAAGGATTCAGCGGTGGGCTCTCCGCTTCTCAACGCCCGATCATTGCATTCTTCGCAGGGGGGCTGCACGGGCCCATCAGGCCTCTCCTCCTTGATCACTGGAAGGGTAGAGATAATGATGTTCGAGTCTATGAGTACCTCCCCAGGGGAATATCCTACTATGACATGATGAAGGACAGCAAATTTTGTCTGTGCCCGAGTGGGTATGAAGTGGCGAGCCCGAGGATTGTGGAGGCTATCTATCTCGAGTGTGTGCCCGTGATTATCTCTGAGGGCTACATTCTGCCGTTCAGCGACGTCCTGGACTGGAAGTCCTTCTCTGTGGAGGTTCCGATCTCAGAGATACGAAACCTTAAGAAGATACTCATGGAGATAACCCCCGGCCAATATTTGAAGTTGCAGAGGGGGGTTAAGCTGGTCCAGAGGCACTTTGTAATCAGCACTCCTCCAAAGAGGTTCGATGTCTATCACATGATCCTTCATTCTATATGGCTTCGGAGGCTGAATATACGCATTCATCCAAAAGATTAATGTGATTTACTGGTGACTGCATGTGCAAGTGGACGAGTTTTCTCTAATATTCTTTGTTATGGCATTGAATTTACAGCATTTAATGTTGTTACTGCCGTCTGTATGTGAAAATGTCCCTTTCGAAGTCTAAGCTGGCCTACTGGATGTCGGCGGGAGAGAAAACACTGTAATATGCTTCATTGATGCAAACCATGCTGAAATAAACTTGATGGCGCATGAAGATGCTTTATATTTTAATTAGCTTTGCCCTAGAAATATAATGGTGCAGATTTTTCTCCTTCTGAGAAGCTTATCTTAGAAAATGAGTTCTCATTCTCCAAACAGAACTACGGTAAGGTAAGTCAGTGGAGGACCTGATATCCACGGGGGTGACAAAGAATGGAATGCTCTATATAAATACAAATAAAAAAAATATGAATATAGGCCTTCTGTCAAGGGAAATAGCAAAAGATTTAAGAAATAATTTTTCTGTGAAATTCAGTGAGATCTTTGTATTCCTATTTCTGTCAAATTTGTCGGTGAGATCATTTTTGAAGTGTTTATTCTCTTGTCATAATTATTAAATGAGTTTAATGAATTGGTAATGAGAAGGAATCTAGTTGGTAGATTTGAAAAGAATGAGTCTTGGAAATTTAATATCATAAGTTGAGCTTTAGTAGCCTGGGGATGTTCCTTTTGTGGCCTTTCTTTCTTGGATATTTCCTTACCAAATCTCTCAATATGTTGGCATGTTTAGAGGAGGTTCCTCCATAGAATGATTTTTTTTTCAATGTTAAATTCCCTTTCTATCCATCTAAATGGCACATTTGTTTAGCTTACATTGTTTCTTCAGATTGGGGATTGCTTAGATTGGTGACAATGTAACATGTAAATGTTAGCTATCATTTAAATAAATAATATATTAGATAAGGGGTTGAGAACAATTCGATTTGAAGTGTGAATCTCACCTACTTAGCATAACCTTCGAAAATGAAGAGAACTAATTTGTGGAAATAATTACACAATTAAAAATTAATTTGTTCATATTTAAAAAAAGTGTGTTTGGAAAATGTGAGTGGGTGAATATAGGGAGACATGATCCTTAGAGCTTTAGTCTGTACAAGAAATACTCTGCTCCCAAAGCCTATGGTCCTAGTTAAGTCATTGAATTGAAACAAGTCAGCTTTACTGTTATTTTCGAACTTAGATTTAAGAGATTGATCTTAACTTTTAGTGGTTGGGGATGATGATTCACAGGGACAACTACTAGCTAAAGTTTGATTCATATCATCTATTTAAAATGCATGATACTTAACCTAAAGTATTTAAGTGAATAAAATCACATTTTACCCTACAGCCAAATTGTCTTCAGATATAACTTGTGAACAATTAGGCAAAAGGTGATTGAAGATTCAAACAAACACAATATGTTCTTTGGGTAGATAGGTACCGTGGCTCTACAAAATGATAGGAAGCAATACAATAAAGAAAACTATCCTAGTTATGTGTCTGTCACTCACATAACTATGATGGTGAAAAATCTAATTTAATACATAATTTTAAACAAAGTAAGTATAGTTTTCAAATCTCTCCATTTCCTTCGCTCCACACTCCTATCACTCAAGAAGAATTCAAATCATCACCCAAAAACTGATGTGTTAACACACCCCTGAACCTAAACATTGTCAATCCTTTGGCAATGCTTACAATATATCCTTTCTAAGGTGTTAGTTGAAAGTACACTTGATTCTCAATTAATTTACTTGACTCAAGGCATATGGAATCCTCATGATAAGCTTCAAGGCTGAATCATATATTCTTGTACTAAAACCTCTCAAGTTAACCCAGTATAGTTGCAGATCCTCATTCTAATACCAGATTGACATGTGATTAGTAAATGTCATCAAATAAATGACTAAAAGCCTTTATTTTCCACTTAAAATTATCTTCCTTCTATCATCCGTAGTCTATTCCATCATTTGATTTGTCCTTGTCTCCTTGATTGTGGTAGGTAGGACATATAGCTTTTTCCTCATTGCTAAGGTTTATTTTTTATTTTTTATGATATTCATTATTTAATCACTTGGTTTTTAGAGCTGTACTATGTCTCCTTTTTTCTTCTCTTTCATTTTTTTTTTGGAGGTACTTTTTTGTGGTACTTGTACTATGGATTCTAGAATTCCAATCATAACCCCTATTTGATATAAGTTTCAGCACCTATATGATCGAAGGTACTGTGTTTCAATGTGTGTAAATCTATCACTTTATCAGATGGACATTTCCTATAGACTTGAGAAGTGTCTTGACACGTTTCTACAATCTTAGCTTTCTACCTAGTCTTAATGGTCCATATATGCCTTGAATTCTTGAGTTTTAATTTTCGTTCTTAAATTAAACTTCACTTCATGGTCAAATAACAGGAACAATGATGAATATATCTCCCTTTCACCTCAACCCTCCCTAACAAAGTGGCTGATGTCCTCATTAGCATATGAAAAACATATATATATGGATATAAAGTTATATTGTAAGGAGAGGGGTTGTGTACAAAAATCCTGAACATATGGAGTAAAATGCCACCACAATGGTTCTCCTGCTGACTGTGATTGTTCACAAATTTGTTTATGTGATTATGAAAAATAGGTCAAAATGATCAAAAAGGGTTGGGTTGCTTCCCAGCAAGCATTAAGTTTATAGTTTGCAGCTAGACATTATGCTGGCCAAAAGTCTTGCAACTAGACTGATTTGTTAAAAGTTAATTGCTCATTTTCCAAGTATGGTTTCAAGCATTACTCATTCACTATGAAGGTCTGACCATCCTTTTGATCTAAAATATTGACTACACCCTCTCACTAACATTTAAAACTATGTATGGTCCATCCCATCTTGATTTTTATTTTCTTGAGAACAATCTAAGCTTAGAATTAAATAGCCACACTATCTAGTTTATTTGAAAAGATTTTCAATGAATGCGACAATCATGGAAGTCTTTCATTTTTACTTTATAAATTTTGGAGCTTTCATAAACTTCAATTTTAAATTCTTCTAACTCAAAAAATTGTAATGTTGGATGGTTGACAACTTGAGGAAGATTCATATTAAACTGTTTTATTGTCCAAAATGCTCTAGGTTCTAGTTCTACTGATAAGTGACAACCTTTACCAAATACTATCTATAAGAAGACATTCTAATTGAGGTTTCGTAGGTAATTCTATAGGCTCATAAGACATCATCTAACTTTAAAGATTTATCTTTTCTATCTGATTTTATAGTTTTTGTAGAATATAGTCAATTTCTCTATTTGAAATCTCTACTTAACCATTTGTTTGAGGATGATATAGTGTTGTCAATCTATGATTTACCACATATTTTCTAAGGAGAGAATTAAAATGACGATTATTAGAATGTAAACCAGCATCAATAATGATGTCTCTTGCACAATTAAATCTAGAGAAAATATTTCATTGAACAAACTTCAATACTACCTTGTGATCATTAGTTTTTGTAGGGACTGTCTCTATCCATTTTGACACATAGTCAATAGCTAGTAAATAAATTCATAACCTATTCATAGTGGAAAAGGGCCCATAAAATCAATGGCCCATACATAAAAAATCTCAACTACTAAGATTGGTAAGGGCATCATATCCTTTTTGAAAATATTCTTTACTGTCTAGCAACTAATATAAGTTTTACTAAAGTGATGTACATCCTTAAATAATGTTGGCCAATAAAATCCAGATTGTAAAATCTTGAGGGCTGTTTTCTTACTAGAAAATGCCTACCACATGTCAAGGAATGAAAAAATTTAAAATACTATACTAAGCCTCTAGAACATATTGTTGAAGGATTTGGTCAAGGCCCAAATGAAATAATTCTAGAACATTATAGAAGTAATATTTAGTCGGGAGAAAAAGATGTCTTTTTCACTTTTGCACCACCAATTCAGAATTTTTATTGTTACCAAATAATTAGCTATATGGATATACTATGGTGAATTCTTTTTGTCAACACTAAATAGTAGTTCATTAGGGAATGTATCATACAATTGTGTATTTTCAGAGATGGAAAGTCTAGAGAGATGGTTAGCTACTATATTTTTAGAACCCTTCTTATCTCTAATGTTAAGGTCAAACTCTTATAGTAATAAGATATATTTTATTAATCTTGGTTTGGCTTCTTTTTTTGTAAGTAGATATTTAAGGGCTGAATGATTTGAGTAAACAATCACTTTGGCTCTTTAAGAGGTAGGTTTTGAATATTTTAAGCCAAAAACTACAGTGAGAAGCTTCTTTTTTGTTGTAGTATAATAGATTTGAGTATCGAATATGGTTTTACTAGCATAACATTACTATTGGTTTTTGTTAATTTGTTGTCCTAACACAACTCCTATGACTAGGTTTGAGGCATCACACAGAATTTTGAATTGTAGGGTTCAATTAGGAGCTTGGAGGATGAATGTTTAAATTAAGGCATGTTTTAAAGTTGTGAAAGCCCCTAAAGCTAGAGCATTTAAATGAAAGCATACTTCTCTAGTCAAGAGGGCAATCAAAGGTTTGGAAATTTTAGAATTTGTTTTGATAAACCTTCTATAAAATTTTGTGTCCAAGAAATGATAGGAGTTGTTTTATTAAGGAGAGAGGTGGTAGGTTGGTAATAACCTCAATTCCTTTTTCACTAACTACATACCCTAAAACTATTCCATCTCTAATCATAAAATGACTTTTTTCCCAATTGAAGAGTAAGTTGATTTCCACATCTTGCTAAAACTCACCAATCATCCTTAAATGAGCTAAACAATGATCAAAAGAAGGGTCATATAGAGAAATCAATCATAAAAATGTCTAAAAAATCAACAATCATGTCAGAATAAATAAACATCATGCAACATTGAAATGTAATTAATGTACTACATAAACCAAAGGGCATACATTTGAAAGTAAATGTACCATATGAGCATGTGAATATAGTTTTTTTCTTGCTCTCCTAGATAAATGGCAATTTGATTATATATGGAATAGCCATTGAGGAAACAAAAGTATTTATGTCCTACTAATGTCTCTAAAATTTGATCAATAAAAGAAAGAAGAATGTGATCTTTTTTGTTGCTATATTTAGCTTTCTATAATCTATATAGACTCTCCATTCTGTAGTTAATCTTTTCTGCATTTCATCTCCTCTATTAATTTTGATCATTGTTAATCCTCATTTTTTAGGTAGTACTTGTGTGGGACTTACCCACTAGCTGTCTAAAATCAAATATAGATGATTCCAACATCCAACCACTTTATCACTTCTCCCTTTACTCCCTCCTTCACGTTCAGATTTAACCTTTTCTGTATTTTCCTACTTGAATTGACATTTTCCTCAACATATATGGTGCATACACATTCATGAACTTTTACCTTTTAAATCAACCATGGTTCATCTAATTACTCTTTTAAATTCTTTCAATACCATTAAAAGCTCATCTTCCTAGTTCTTAGTAAGATTAACAACAAAAATAACAATCAATGTTTGATTGTATCCTAAAAATACATATTTAAAACTATTTGATAGAGGTTAAGTTCCAACAAGGGTTGGTTTTGAATGGATGGTTCAGCTACATCCATATGCGATGAAGAGGCATTTCAATTTGGGACTCTAGGTTCTACAAATAACACTCTTCACTACATGCATAAATTTCTTCTATTTTAACTAGATCATTTATGACATCTATAATATTCTTCATCATCATTTTCTAGATATCCAGAAGCTCTAAAAATATTTAAGAGATTTTTCTCCTCCAAAGGATATATCTCCCATATCGATGGCACAATTAATATTAGCTTTTGCTATTGCAAGAAAAGGTCTTCCCAAAATTATAGGTGTTTGGCTTAGGTACTGGGGTGGATTCTTGTCAAGAATCAAAAAGTCAAGAGGAAAATAATAATTTTTAACCTTGATTATTACATCTTACAACATCCCTCTTGGGGCTCTAATTGATTAATCTATTAATTAAAGCATAATTGGTGTTAGTCTCAATTGACTTATGTTGAAATGTTCATAAACTAAAGTTGGTAATAAATTAACACTAGTCCTAGATCTAAAAGTGCCTTTGGAAGGTAACTCCACCAATATCACATGAAATTAATGGAGTTTATTGGGAAGTTGATCTTATAGGACAACACTAATCTCAGTTGACAACCTAATTTTTTTGCTTCTCTACGTTGAGTATATAATTCCTTAAGACTTTGGCATAAGATGGCACATGTTTAATAACATCAACTAAAGGAATATTAATATGCACTTTTTTCAATATTTCTAATAGTTTACCCTTTGGCATAGGTTTTGTTTTAAGGCATGGTTCTAGGACTATAGGAAAAGGAATAGAAGGTTTGTACTCTTTTGAATTTTCGTGATGGACCTCTTTTTCTTATGCTTGTTCTCTTAATTTGTCCATTTCAATTTCATCATCACTATCATAATATTTTTTTGTTATTAGGGTTTGGTTTGCTATCAGCTCTTCTTTACTATTTTCTATTATATTCTTCTCTTTACCCTTAGAAAATGTCACTAGTAGTCTATCTATCAATTCTATTATGTTCCTTATTTTTATTGGGGATCACTAAGTAATTTTCCACTCTTAAGTGTGGAAACTACCTTGGCATTTTCAAATTGAGATGCTGGATTTGGGTTGTGTGAACTAGTTCTTGCTATAGTTGATGTTTGAAGAAGAAATTTAAGTTGATATTGATGTCTAGGGTTCACTATGGGTTGACTTAGGAGCTGTCTCAAGTCTCTTCTTATATTAGATTTGACTAACTGCCCTCCTTGGGCATTTGGCTACTGCAATAATTATTGCAGCATGTTTTGTTGTTGTGTCATCATCTGTCATTGCTGCAACATTAGATGTTGAAACATGCTCATCATTTCACTAAGTTGTGGCTGATTAGTAAGTTGTTGGATAGATTGTGTCAAAGGCTGATTTATTAGTCCATATGGTGTTGATGATCATTTGGGGTTTGTATTGATGTTGAACTAGGTTTTGTTGTGGAGGTATGAATTTATTGTTTTTGACATGACAAAGGTTGTGTGGTTGTGTGATTTGTTATTGTGGGTGGCTAGTTTTTTCATGAAAAATTAGGGTGGTTCTTCCACCCTAGGTTATAAGGGCTAGAGTTTGGGTTGTTCTACTACTGAGGAAAGCCCTGGGCAACCTATACTTATTCTTACACTGGTGTTATATGTTGTACTAAGATAGGATAGTGATTTTCTATGTGACTAGAGCTAACATAGTGAGCATGATTGATAAGATGAGATATTAGCTGGTGAACTTTGATTTGGTCTATTCTAAGCAAGTATTTGGTTTAGTTTTTTGTTTAAATCATTCATTCTTGATAATTTTTCTAACTTCATTTTGATTTCATTCACCTCATATCTCCATTCTCCATCCTCATTGTGACCTACCTCGTATAGACCTACTTTGTTTGATAGCCCACTACTCCTATCATAAGATAATGATGATGATGCACTAATTCCAAGAATTCTCAATAAGTTCCTCTAGTAGTCTATATGCTCTCCTGATTTTTATTCATGAATGTCCCTCTGCAAGAATGAATACTTATGTGACTACGTCAATCCCTCATAAAATATTTGTACTAATTGTCAGTTAGCTATCCCATTGTGTGACATTACATTTCCTCACCAATCCTTTGAATCTACTCCATGCTTCATGTAAAGGTTCCCCTTGAATCTGATTGAATCCCATAATTTACTTCCTCTTATTATTATTTTTTTCTCTAGGATAAAATTTCTTCAAAAAATCTTGTGTCATGGCAACTCGTGTTCAAGTCTCGTCCTAATGTGGAAAACTAATAAATAGATTCATCTTTCAATGAGAAGGGAAAGAGAGTCAACCTTAATGCATTGTTAGCATCTTTTATTGTACCACAAACCATCATAAAATCCTGCAAATGTTGATATAGATCTTTAGTATGATTTTCATAAAAAGTGGATAACATTTGAACTATCCCAAACTTAATGTCATGCTTACATATTGGGTGTTGTAAGAAGTTTATGACTATCAGTAGGTTGAAATACTCTTTCAATTGCCTCGGCAGGTTCTCTACTTCATTTGGTTCTATCTTCATAATTATTTTTTTCTATGATAGAAAGGTCATTCAATTTTGAGAATTGGTGCTACAATTCAAGGTTTCAGGGATATCTCCTACTATGCATGCATCACTCCTACAATTTTTTTTCTTTTTTTATCAAAAAGAAAAATAAAATGAAATAAAATAAAAATAAAAATTAGAGTAAGAAAAAATATATATATTTAGATATATATTTAGAGAGATGAATGTCACCACAATTCCTACGATCTTAAGCAGTTGAAGTAGTGGCTAGATCTTAATCAGCTGTAGGAGTAAATTAAAATTTACTATTTTTCAAGTAGAAGTCTTATACTAGCCACTTGAAAGGGCTGCTCTAGTGACTAGAAAGTGATGATATTTTCAGCTTTTTCTGATATGAGACTTTAGCCAATTATGTTGCATGTGGGAGCTTTAGAGTTATGATAATGTCAAAAATAGATAGAACGGGTAACCTGATAGTTGTAAATTGATAAAATATTAAGAAAGATATTGGTAGAATATTTTCCTAGTCCTAAGAATAATCCGATGTGATTTCGGGACTGATTTCATTACAAGAGTGTCTCATTTTTTTCTTTTCTCAAGAAGGAGAAAGGCTCAAAAGTTGACTTAACAAAATGAGTCTTATATTTATAGTTAGAAAGAAACTTTAAAAGGATGATGTAATAAATTTGAGAATAGGAAAAATATATTTCCATATGATCAAAACACATTAGTTATGAAAACACATTATTTTGAAGAAATTATTCTTAACGTTAAAATTAAAATTTCGCATTAAAAAATATTCTAAAATATTTTTGACCCCTGAAAATATTTTACTATTATGCAGTTGCTGTAATATGGTTTATGTAATTTTCATATAATTTTAAATCCATTATCTTGCAATATTTCATGTTTTCTGTGTAATAGAAAAAAAGTTGACTCAAGAATCAACTCAAGACCTTAGGAGAGAAACTGTTAGTGCATGGGACAACAAAGCAAGAGAAATGACAAAAAAAGTAATTTTTAACTAATCATTTCGAAACTATTTTTACTTGCTTTTTGAATGTTAAAAATCTCAAGAAGTCAAGCATTCCACTTTGCAAGCTGCTAATGAATTTTGAGCCATAAAATTCACTCAATAGAAACCCAAACACAAATTTTAAGGCATTGTATTATTTCTATGTTATTTTTGATATGTAATTAAGTATTTTTAGAATTAAAGCTACCTAGACTAAAGAATCTAGAAGAAATTGATTTAGTGCTAATTTGGTTGGCCTCTTACAGCTATGAATCCAAAATATGTGCTTTCAAGAGACACTTGTCTTGATTAGGGTTGGGATAGAGGTAGCTAGGTGAAGCCTTGCTGTCTAATTTTTGTGTCACTATGATTAAGGGAAACTTAAGGATACAATCCTGAAGAAAGTGGTGGAGGTCAAGTGGGACTAACCAACTATAATTTCAAGGTTCCATAATTTTGGTTAAAGAAGCAAAAATATAAGAATAAATGAATAAATATTAATTCATCCCCCCTTTCTTGGTTCGTCTCGTAATCTCTTTAAAACTAATAAATTATATGATGTAAATTTACAAGTCTTATCCCTTCAAAATTGGGTGTTGACACTTTAGTTTTTTTATTATATTTAGCTGCCAAAAATTGTGTTTTAATTTTAGACTTGGCCCAAGTGTTGACATTATTGTTTCTTTGGTGTTGATGTTTTGCTTGGATGTTGACCTTTCTATAAACACTTGTTGGTTTCTATTTGGAGTGAAAAATTAGCCACGAGGTATAACGTGATTTAGTCGTTGTATAGTAAATCACAAAAATTTAAAATTTATAAAACTAAAAAATATTATTTTTAAGATATTTAGAAATATTTTAAAACAAATATATCAATTATAATTTAATAAAACTTTAAAAAATGGTGATAATTTTCCAAGTCAATCACAAGATGTAATATAATATCTGGTAATTATTCATAATTGTCCTCAAAGAATACTATTTTCTATGAATTTTATACTAAGAAATGAAAAAATATATATATTTAAAATTCACAAAAAAGGGAAATAAGGGTGTGGATGTCAAGATGACGTCAACACCTGATGAATGCGAATTAGACAGATTCTTACGTAAGTGATTAGAGATGAAAGTGAACAAAGTTCCGCCTAGTGATTCTTATATAAGTAATTACAGATGATTTAATTGATCAAATTAAGATATGTAAAAGTTAAAAAATCGTAAGTGAATGAAGTATATTTTGATAAATTAAAACCAAACAAATTTTCACTAAATCAAGTGTAAAGTAAGTTGAAAGTAAAAAAATAGAGTTCCGACATCACGGCGGCAATGCGTCGATGATGCACCGAAATCTTGAGTATTCAGGAGGATCGTCGTGAGGTGTCCACGGCTTTGAAGGCTCTCATTGGACAAGGATGACATGGGCAATCTCTAGATCTCCTTGCGAAGTCTAGAGATCAATGAAATGGGTCATTGAATCGTCTCCGACAACTGTCACTTGGCAGAGTAGAAAAATGACAACTTTGTGGCTCTTCGACGGTTGTCACTTGACGAAGAGGAGCTGGATGGAGGTAGGGCACGTGTTAGGGAGCTTCATCCTCAGGTTCGCGCAGCAAGATAAGACTCTTCATCGCATTTAGTACGATCTCCAAAGGTGGCGACTCATCTCCCGACGATTGTCCTCTTCTTGATAATGACTTGTTCGTCGATCAATCGAAGATGCTTTACTCAATGGATTTGCGATCCTTTTATCACAAATCATTCAACAATTTTAGTAACAATACTCCACAAATCACGTTGATGAGATTTTTGCCGATGATCTAGTGAAAAAATGGTTGCTTAATCTTGCATTGGTGATTTGCAGGAAAGTTGTGATAATCAGATAAAAAAAAATAAGTTTTGGCTTTGGGAGGATTCAAATCCTTGCCGGTTACCCGCCCTCTCTAGGGAAGGTGACGTGGGTTTAGTCCCACATTGGTTGTGCGCCGACATTTCTGGTGAATATAAAGTAATATTACATTTTCGATCAAGTCCCTTTCTCATGCGTGTATGACCACTCCTTGCCTCACAATCGGCTAGCCACCAGTGACGTGGAAGGGAAGTGGCGCACACATGCCCCCATCAGTTCAAGCCACTCGAGCCCCTACTCGTAGCTCCTGCCCGACTATACTTCCGACCCACTTGTAGGGCCCAACTGGCTAGCAGGCCCTCCTCATTTTGTCTTATTTTTATTTTAATTTCTTTTCCTTCATTTATCTCAAGAGTAAGACTCTAAAAATCATATAAAATCACATAATTACTTAAAAATTCATGTTAATCAACTGAAAATTACTTTTCATACTTTAACACAAAATATAAGACTAATTATCATGAGTTAAGGTTAAAACTATATTATTTAATAATTATTAACTCATGATAATGAAGACTTATCACACCCCCCAACTTAAATCATTGCTAGTCCGTTAGTAATAGAATTATAAAAATAAAAAATTACAAATCTCAAACATCATATTTCAATACATAAAAAAAACACAATTAGAAATGATGTACTTTTAGACATTTTGGACTCTTATATCAAGTATTTGAGAATGATGTCAAGCACTTAAATATTTAAGTACTCCTTGGAATAATAATCTAAACTCCACTTCTTCTATTCACATCTTTATCACTTCTTCACTCATAGATATATTTACAAGATGTTCTAATTATTAATACTCATCTAAGAATAATATTGATCCTACATTTTCTTCTTTCTATAACTTGATTTTTTAAGTTTACATTATATTTCTTCCTTCTTTTTTTATATAGTAGATAAGTAGCTTTTCCTATAGATAAATTTCAACAATGAGAATTATGTCTCACACCCTCCATGTGTATTCTTCATTTTCAGGATTTTCACTTTATCCACTTATTTTGTAGCAAGTGTTTTTTTTATACATAATTTTCGACAATGAGAATGATGTCTCACACCCTCCATGTATACTTTTCATTCCTAGATTTTTCACATTGCTCTATCTTTTTTTTCAAAATAAGTGATTTCTCCTCACAAGTCCTATAGAGCAAGGTGCAAAAATCTCTATTAAACTCAAATGATCAATCAAATTTTCACATCAAGTAAATACTATCCATCAAGATCATGAAGTGAAAATCTGTAAAATCAAATCCATATTATTTATCCTATATCCAAGGAGTATTCCAACATTTCATACTACTAGATTATTCTTTTGACTCAATAATCATCTTCTTAGTATCTTTTGGTATCAATCAATCTAATTGATTTAACTTTTCATGTATGCAATATGATGTAAGAAATTTGTAAATTAGATAGTTCTGACAATTCCATTTTTAGTAACAATAAATTTGTCAAAAATAAATAAAAACTTTCTCTATAGCTGTAATTTTGAATTTTAGTAATATATGTCTAAGAGATTGAAATGTGAGAAAAAGGTCTCTAGAATTTCGAATTTTTGGCTATTTTTTGTCTACTATTTTTGACAGCCTATTGTTTATGACAGAAAACCAAAAAATAGATGTTGTAGTTTTTCTAAATTTCTTTATTTATATTTTTTTTAGTCGTTATTCTAAGTGAGTATGAAAAAATAAAATACAAACACATGTTCTTCATTGTCCTACAACATAAATTAGTAATGAATACTTCACCCTCCAACTTAAAAATGACATTGTCCTCAATGACACAGAAAATCGAAACAGAATATGCAGAAAATATAATTTTTAAGTGAAGCATGCATATGTGTAAAGTTAAGTATTAAAAATATTATCATAAATGATAAAACTCAAAAAGACATCACCTCAACCTCATTTTTAATTTTCCACTTTGTCTTACACTCCTCTTGCACTTTTCTGAAAAAAAGAAATACAGAAACAAGTACTGCGAAATTCTAAGAAAAACAAAGCTTAAAAAAAATCAAACAGAATGAATTTAATGTCTTCAGTTGGACAGCTCTTAGATCATATAAGATGATGTATGGCCATCAAAATATAT